AAAAAAAAAAAAAAATGGGAAATTTTATGAACAGTGCATAATTTTTTTTTTTTTTTTTTTTTTTTTTTTTTTTAAATTTTTTCCCCCTTTTTTTTTTTTTTTTTTTTTTTTTTTTTTTTTTTTTTTTTTTTTTTTTTTTTCCATATGTAAAAAATATTTGTTCACCATCCTATATGTTTTACATATATGTGTACATGTATATATTTATTTGTATTTGTATTTGTATTTTTTTTTTTTTTTTTTTTTTTTTTTTTTTTTTTTTTTTTTTTTTTTATTTTTTAAAAATTTTTTTTTTTCTTTTTTTTTTTTTTTTATTTTTTTTTTTATTTTTTTTTTTTTTTTTTTTTTTTTTTTTTTTTTTTTTTTTTTTTTTTTTTTTTTTTTTGGATTTGTTGATTCCTCCACTGATTATTAAACACACATAAACTTTTTCAACAACTATAAAAGGTTATAAAAAGTCAATAAAACTTATCAGTCTCGTACGAATGAAAAAAAAATGAGCGAATCGAAGAATTAAGGGTTTTTTTTTTTTTTTTTGTGCGTATTACCTTTCGCGAAATGTGCAACATTTTCATCTAGGCATTCCATTCAATTGCTATGTATGTGTGTACATGCCCTTTTTTGTATGTTAGTGCGTATGAAAAAAACTTGACTTCATGAGAAAACATCTGCTTTTGGCACTCCTATTCTGTTTTAATAGCTATCATTTTTTGAAATTACAAAGGAGATGGTCTTATTCTTTCCTGAATAACAGCAATAATGTTTTCAGAAAAAAAGAAAAATATAGAAGCAACAAGTTAAAATGCAGAGTGGAAGGGATAGAATACAAAGTTCAGAATGTGGAAAATTCGTTGGAATTTTACAAAAATGTGTTAGGTTTTAAAGTATTCGAGAGGGGAGAAAATTTCGTGAAAATGATTTTAGGTCCCAATGAGGCACATATAAAATTAATACAAAAAGAGGACAAGTTGGACATGACTATAGGAGAGGTATTCGAAAAATGACGTGGAGCATTGTAAGCGACCACTCTCTAACATCGGTACATCGAGGGGAGACACGGAGATTATGTACAATGTGTAAATGTGTCAATACATAAGTTTTGTTTTTGTTTTTTTTTTCACTTTTTTTTCCCCTCCCCCCTCCATTCCTCACTACTACTTCGTTAAAAGTGTGCTTTGATTTCTTCTTGTACCCCAATGACAACAGCATTCTTTCCTTGGTCTAGGAATAAATTTAAAAGAATTCGAAATAAATAAAACAAAAATGTACAGAGGAAATGTGGAGGAAGGAATAGATGAACGACCTATCACGGCGTGCATATTGCCAGACGAAGATGTAAAATGAAAAAAAAAAAAAAAAAAAAAAAAAAAAAAATATATGTATATATATGTATATATATATATATATATATATTATGTGCAAATATTGTGCATGTTGATGTCGTTTCGCTTAGGCACATTAAGTAGAACCATATTGAAACATGTTCAAATTTTTCTTTCCTTCGCATGTTGAAATGCATAATTTTGAATTAACTATCATAGGCACAAATAAGACGATTCTGGAAAAATTGCTTCATAACAGATCCAGATGGATATGGGATCGAAGTGGTGCTGACGAGTGAAGGCAGCAAACTTGATAGGGTATATACTCTGGCACAAAGATTAAAATAGAGTGAAAATAGACCCTCTCTAGGGGCGCTACATATATATATGTACATATATGCGTGTGTGTGATTGTGTGTACATGCATTATTGCTCATTTTTCACCCAATTGCTGAATCGATAATATTATTACCCCCTTTAAAAAAATGCAAATTTTTAGATACGCCTTTTTACCACGTCTACGAAGGACTCTCAAAGGTTTTACTCGGACATTTTGGGAATGGAGGTAAAAAAAAAAAAATGGCATTATTTTAAACAAACAGTATGTTTTTATATATATATATATATACCATGTAAATCCCGATTTGTACATAAAATTTTTTTTTTTTTTTTTTTTTTTTTTTTTTTTTTTTTTAGCTTATAAAAATACAAAGCCATTTAGAAGAAATTTCTTATCCCTGGAATGTGTATGGTGGAATGAGTTATTTCTTTTCTTCCAAAACAAATGGAACCACGCTGCAGTTAGCATATGCATATGATGAGGATAAGGTAAAAATATATACGCTTGACGTTCTAGTATGGGGTGTATATGCAAGGCCATCTGCATTTTTGTTTTACACATGGGGAAAAGGAGACTTATCATTTAACCTGTGTCACATCATTTCCTTTAAATATGTTTCGACAGTTTAGTGTGTTCACTGCACAAAATTTCTCTTCATTTTATACACTTTCTTTACACATCGACGTGGCCTCCTTTTTTTTTTTTTTTTTCTCATCAATCTTTGAAGCTACACATGGGAAATTCATTAGGGAACTTAATTTTGGGCTTCAATGATTTATCTCAAATTAAAAAGAGGTTACTAGAAAATAATATAAATGTGGAAAAATCAAATAGTGGCTTAATAGTGAAAGATCTGGATGGATATAGCGTTTATTTGAAGAGCGAAAATTAGAAGAAGAAGAAAAAAAAAAAAAAAAATAACAAAAAAAAGTAATAAAAAAAATAAATAATAATAATAATAAAAAATTCTTATGAACAGATGGAAAATTTCAACAGTATTGTGATCAATAACTATATCCAATGTTTTATAAACAAATTCATATAAAAAAAAAATTCGCATAAAGTTAATTGGACACATTTGAATTGGAAGACGCAACAACTAGGAGATATATATATATATATACACCGGATATTTAAAAGGAAAAAAGTGGAATAAACCTTAGAAAAGGGCAGGTTTTAACACAAATAAAAACTGAAAAAATTTACGTAATAAAAAAATAAAATAAACTCGAAAATGGAGAAGTGTACATATATATATACAAATTAATGAACGATGGTGTAGATAACTTTTTACAGAAAAGATGCCAAATAGAGCAACTTGGAGCAACTTTTTTTTTTTTTTTTTTTTTTTCTTCATTTTCTTGTTTAAGAGATACCCAAAAATAGTGGAGTTACATTTTTCATAAAGTCCCTTCTTTTTTTACTGGATATGTTTCTTTCGAATGCACTCCTTTTTTTTTTCTTTTTTTTTTCATATCATCTTTTGTTTTTTTCTTATGGCAGAATGTACACAATGTCTGCAAATTATCAAAGGAAGCTTGCCCACCTCCTTTGCACACAGGTAATATATGATCCACGTGCCAAATGCGTCCGTCCATCGGTTTCTGAAGTATATGTGTTAGATGATTAATATTTTCAATAAATAATGGATATTTTTTAATGAAATAATCAATTTTTTCATTGATTGGAAAATATTTTTGACTTTTAATTTGTCTAATTAAATTTGTGCAATCCAATTTGCAAATATTACAAACACCTTTATCTCTTTCATATATTAAACGTCGTATACTAGTCGAACTTTTTTTTAAGAAATACATTTTTCTACAACTACCTTGACAGAATAGATTGCTTTCATCACATATGAGAATATTCTTGACATTATTATTTTGTGATTTAATTGTGTCAAATTCATTTCTAAATTTTTCAATAGTTTCTGCGTTAGAATTTTGATGTAAATATTTCATTACATTTGACTCTCCTACTATCATATTTGTGCACCGTTTTAATATATTTTGGCAATATAAACATTTGAATGCATCGTTCCCTTGGTCATATTCTTGATAATAGAAAACTTGAAATTTTCCCTTGAAGCTGTTTTCAAGATAAGCCTTTGCGTAGGTCTTATCCTTTGTAACAGTGTTTTTTATATACCTTTCAAATGTTAGTGGTTTTGTTACATTTCGTTCATGGCATATATAGTTATTTGTTGTTATACTCATATCACATTTTTTCTTTTCTATTAATTTCTTTTCGTTCATGGTTAGATTATTATAATTTTGTAAAAATTTGGTTGCGCACCTTTTTAAAACATTTCTACACATTTCATCACCTACATTTGTCAAATGTTCGATGGAAAAGTTGGTTTTCTTATTTTCTTCTTCATTGTATGCATGTATTCTGTTTGTAAGTGTATTTATTTCGAAAAGGTAATTTTTTTTTTTTTTTTTATTCCTCTCTTCGATTTGACATTCTAATGGTTCCTTGGTTTCTTCATTTGGAATTCTACATTTCCTGGAAGGGGATCGTCTTTCACTAAGCAATGGAATGATGCTTAATTTACAACTTGGATTTTTACAATTGTTATTCTTTATGCATGCATGATCAGCATAGTTGTTGGGAATGATGATGTCATGCTTGTGAGATGCATCTTCACTGTGAAAATTGGTACTAGTACCATCTCCATTGATGAGTGCAAGTTGATCTTTTGAAATTTTTTCACAAAAGAGATCTTTGGCAGAAAATTCAGTTCCATCAATAATCGATCTAGTACTATGTGAACATTGAGTGAATCTCTTCCACGTTTTGGAATCGCTACCTAAACCATTTTTCAAAAGAAAATAAAAAACATATGTGTTAAATTTTTGATTTTTTCTAAATAATCTACTTTCACATTGTTGAAGATGAAAAAAATTGACTGGGAATTCTAAAAAAAAGCATAAGTTGCAAAATGTGAAATCTAATCCATGGCTAACTGCACATATTGTAAAAATTCCATAGTGACAATTTGTGTTCATTTTAAAAAATTGTATTTTTTCATGTTTTTCTTTTTCATTTAAGCTCCCTTTTAATACAACATAATCTATAATTACATGTTCCTCTTCTTTTTTCTTTTTTATTATTTTTAACAATTCCTCTTCGATACATTTACAAACAATTAGATGATAGCAAAAAATGATTTTTTTTTTTTCAGGGAAATTTTCTTCAATATATTTCATGGAAAGTACAATTTTGGATATTCCCTCTTCTTGCTTTCTCGACTTTATGTCCACATGAAAAAATTCACTCAGTATTTGTCTGTTCAAAGTTTTGCACTTTTCATATTCTGATTTTTTCATTCCTTTTGCATCCTGTATGATATTGGGAGTACATTTTTCTTCGATACTTGGAACATCTTCTCTGTGGGATAACCTGGAAGCATTATTTGTGGTAATTCTATGCGACTCATTTGGTAAATAAACGAAAAATCTTCTCATGTCAGGAAAGTTAGATGTGAATATACCTGATATTGTTCTTCTTATCATTACAATTTTTTTTAAAAAGAGATGAAATTCCCATGATCGTAAATTTTCTTCGAATATTTTTTGTCCTCTGTAAAAATATTTTTTACAAAATTCTTCACCAAAGATATATTTATTTTCACAAAATAGTCTTTTGTCATTTATTAAATATTTAATTTGATGATATATGTTTATAGGTCTGTTTATTGATGGGGTACCACTCAAAAAAATAGCATTTTTTGTGTATTTAATTTTGTGTTTCAACAATTTTGTTAGTTGGCTTTGTTTTCCATAGTGCACGGTTCTGATGAAATGGCTCTCGTCTACAATTATCAGTTTGAATTTTATTTCTTTCAGTGTATGCCATAGTTTTTTGTAAATGTCAAAGGAGACGATGATTACTCTGTTAATGGGTGGGAAAGTGTGACGGGGCTTTTACTTTATGTTCGCGTGTGAGTAGATGTGTAGGTAGATGTGTGAACAGATGTGTAATCAGTTCTGTGGGGAGTTGGGTGAAGAATTCGGAAGATTCGTTCGCTAGTCATTTGATTGGTTGCCCAAAATGGGCATCCCGCATAACTTACCTATAGAGGCGTAGATCCTCTGGGATGTCGTTTGAACTACAAATGATCAAAACCATAGATGGATCAAAAGAAGGAAGAAACTTCTCTATCTCTGTAAACCAATTAAGCTTAAGAGAAGAGGGGGTTACAATGAGAGTAGGATAAAGGCGATAGAAATAAAAAATAGAAATAGATTGTAAAGTTTTTCCTAGTCCCATTTCGTCAGCAATTAATATTCTTCCATTATGCTTTTTAAAAAAGTAAATAGATTTTAACTGGTAGGGTAAAATAATTTTCTGAATTCTTCTGGGGAGTTTCTTTTTTATTTCTTCTAAGCAGATATTTTTAATTTCTTGATGAATTTTTTTTTTAATTTTACGTTTTTTCTTCATATAGTGATGTTTCAAGATCTCTGTTCTTAGTCTTCTCCTATTGAAAAGGTATGAACATTTTGTTAGCTCTTCAAGGTTGTATGAATGGACTATGAGTTCTTCTTCTGAAAGGGGTTTTGTATGCAGTAGATTTGGAGGATGTTTCTTTTCCTTTTCAGTTTTAGAAACTATATGATATGAGGTGTTCTCGTAAAGTAGTTTCTCACGTTGATTTATCTCATCAAGTGATGGTTCATATGTGGAGTACACATGTTGAATAACGTTTGAAAATTTACATTTTAGGAAGAATTTATACGCATTTGTTTTGTTAAGTGTGGGCATGTATAAATGTCTAAAGAAAAGAAATACACACTTTGGAATTTCATGAATAAAACATTTGTTAAATAATTTGTAAACGAAATAACGCAGCATTAAGGGGTAAGAAGCAATTTCGAATACACATCCGCAGAGGTAATTGTTACTATTTACACTGAGTCTTCTGAAAGACATTTTTTTCTTTATATCTTTTGACAGATTGAATGGGAAAATCCCACTTTGTATATAATCTTTTCTGGGTTTCCATGTCAATGGTAAATATTTCATTTCATCAAAAAAGTCTTTTTCTTTTATGTATGTCCAGGTGTATTTATTAATTTCATTCCTGAATTTTTTTTTTTTTTTTTCTATAAAATTTATAAATTTTGAGTTGTACAAGAAGAGAAATTCTCCTTTTTCCATTTTTCCCTTTACTCTGATGTGGTTATTTTTCGTGAAGTGGGAATAAAAGTAATGATAGATTCGGTTAAGTGAAAAATTGCAACTGAAGTGGGAACCGAGTGTAGCACAGTAATGGGAACGACCATTGCTGTGAGGAGAATTCGAATTGAGACAGAATGGAGTGTCTATACACGTATTTATCTTGTATATGTACTTTATAATTTTTCTGTATTTTATTCTTTTCTTTTTTATTTTTTTCAAATCAGTGATTATTTCTTTTATCATTTCGCTTAACATTGTGTTGAACTCATTGGCGAAGGTGAGGTTCCCAAAATGGTGAATACGGTAGGAGCGAGGATTTTCCATTTCAAAGCAGATTTTTCTTTTATTCTTGTAAAATGATTTTTCTCTCTCATTAAAGATGAAGTTATCCACACTTTTTTTGGAAATTTTCTCATAACATTTGGTGCAGATAAAGAAGTAGCCATATTTCCCCTCCTTTAAAATTGTTGAACTGTTATTGCATTTATTGCATTTGACATATTGTGCTAGTTTTTTATTCTTTAACTTAAGTTTTTCCATTATATTGTTAAATGTATTATTTATTGAAATTATCTTACGAAATTTATGATTTAGAGAATTGTCTTTTTTGCAATATAAATTTCCATATTTTCCTCCCTTTTCTCTATTTCCACATTGTATGCATTCCGCTCTTTCCAGTTGATCGTTTGTTTTAGGAAGATTTTCTTCATAGTTCATGCTTAATGGCACATATGATGCATTGGCAGATAGTTCTCTTTCCCCTTCACTTGGATTTCTATAACGAGAGGTGTGGATCATCATTTTCTTTGTTTCTGTTTCTAAATGGGTTATGTCACAAATTTGGGGAGGATTCTTCGTTTGTTTCGTCTGTCCTGCCTGTTTCACATGATTAGGGCTGGTCACACCGGTTTGGCTTTTCACATGGCTAGAGCTTATCACATGGTTAGAGCTTATCACACAGATTGGATCTTTCACATGACGCACTCCACCCTGCATGTGAGATCCCTTCCCTTCCCTGGCCGAAAAATTTTCATGTAAAATAGTTGTGTTGTATAGACTTGTTGAAATGGGGATATTATAAGTAACATCACTGTGCTCGTTGATTTTATGCCTTATATATTTTTTTTTGTTCCGTTTCGAAAAGTACTTACTTCTCATGTTTCACACGGAGAGTTTCCTTGGTGAAAGTCTCTTTAGGTATTTCATTCGTTTAGTTTGTCTCGCCCAATTTTGAAGCAGCTTTCCTGCTGTTTTTTAACTTTTTAATTGCTTAATTTTTTTTTTTTTTTTTTTTTCTACCAATATGCTCATTTTGCACAATTTGGCATGTTGGAGCGTTGGCCTTTTTTTCATATCCAGCAATGTATAATAATTGTTCTTCATTCAGTAAAGTGATGAATGTGGCAAAAAGGTGTGGCGAGAAAAGTATGTCGAAAGAATATGACGAAAAAAAAAATATGCATGCTCTCTAATTTTGTGTAGGCAATTTAATGAAGCTACTTTTCATAGTAAAAACATATGCGTGATTTATGGCCTCGTTCCTCTACCCCTTTTTTTTATTTTTTTTATTTTATTTTATTTTTTTTTTTTTTATTTTTACAATATGGGAAAATGCATGAGATAATATCCATATGTTGTAGTTGGTGCTATGGGTGGATAATTACTACACACTATCCCTTGAAAACTCGAACAGTTTTGTTTAATTTTGCAAAAGTGTTTTTAAAATTATCGAAATAGGTTTTAATTTTCTTTTAATTTTTAGAGTTTAATTAAAAAATACGAATGAGACACAATGTACATAATTCAGTAGGGATTATGAAATGAACTGAAACGAAAAGCATAAAATTTATCGTCCATGATACGTGGACACGTAGCAACATATTTATATATTCACATTAACAGGCGTTGTGGATATATGTGCAAAATGTACATATGCGAATGGTGGAACATATAAAAAATAAAAAAAGCGTGAATATTAGTTAATAAGCATAAGGAGAAGATAACGAGAAGAGTCTGCCACGAGTCGCGAATGCTCCCTGGTCATTTTTGCAACGACTAGAGTGGGGGGCTTTCTTAAATGGGTTTGAAAAAGGTAAGAAACATATTGAAGTAAAATAAAATAAAATATATATTAAAATCAAAAATGAAAAAAAAAAAAAAAAAGGAAAGAAAAAAGGAAAAATTTCGTAAAGCTGAAAATAATTCAGCAGTAAAAAAAAAAAAAAAAAAAAAAAAAAAATTAATTAGGTATTATTTTCTCCACAGATAACTGCTTTTTTTTCTTCTTTGGAGTTTTACTATTTTCATCATTTTTGTTGTTTATTTTTATAAATTCTTTGGCAAATTGGTTCAACTTATTTTTGTCTTCAACGCTGTGTTGAAGGAAGGCGTAGATTTCTTCCGCTTTCTGCATCGGCGGGGGGGGAATAAAATAAAAATAAGTAATATAAATACACAAATAAATACACAAATAAATACACAAATAAATACACAAATAAATAAATAAATATATATATATATATATATGTACACACCCATGCACACGTATTGCTTATATTTACATGCGTTGGCATACCTTGAAGTTTTTCAGAAAATTTAGCACAGAGTCGTCCAAGGGAATTTTGCAAGAACTCGACAGTTGCTTCAGGTCTACAAATTGGGAAACGAATACAAAAAATTGGGGGGCGCTAATATTGTAAAAGTTCCGAGAGACAAGCGGTGCTTATCAGTTATGCACATTTGGGCAAAAAAAAAAAGAAAAAGGAACGTAAAAAAAGAGGAAGTAAAAGAGGAAGTAAAAGAGGACGTAAAAGAGGAAGTAAAAGAGGAAGTAAAAGAGGAAGTAAAAGAGGACGTAAAAGAGGAAGTAAAAGGTGAAATAAAAGGGCAGAAAAAATGTACCGAAAAAAAAAGACACAATAAAAGGACAATACACGTGTACGGCGTGGATATATAAATAGCCACGTTAAATGTGGCTTACCTGTTAGTTCCCGCTGGGCAGAGGTGTTCATTTTCTTCTTGATATTTTCAACTATGAAGGGAAAGAAATTTGAGGTGATTGTATAATCATTGTATAGTTAAAATGTGTGTGTTTTTATGAGGGGTATATATATTATTATGTAGGTTCTCATACATATTATAAAAAGGAAATAACATAAAAATTTGGTAAATTTTAAAGAAAAAGTGTGCATGTCCGAAGGGATGAAAACGTGTGAAATGTAGCGATTTGTAAAGTCATCCTCCCCTCCCAGCTGCACTTTGGAGAAATATTTTCCTTACCTTTGACAGAAGCAGAATTTAAGAGAGGTGGAAACTTTTTATCCTCCTCATTGGTATTAATATCGATACCTTCGCTCTTCCATTTTTTTTTTTCACTTGGGTTTTGATTGTTTATTATATTTGTATTTTTCTTTCCTTTGCTACTTCTGATGTCATTGTTTTCTATAGTTATTAAAGAATTGGTATAATTACCACTACCACTACAAACAGCACCACCATTGGCAGTAGTCATGTTCTTTGTTTTATCATTGTTAGTGGTAATGGTCTTATTTGGAGTAAGCGCTTTTGTTGTAGTTTTGACCTTACTCTGTTTTCCTCCTACTCCTGTGGTTAAATCAGGAAAGTTTACATTATCAGAATTTTTTATATTATCATTGTGTGAGACATTCCATCCACATTTCTTTCCATTGGGACCATTTGCATTGTTAATGTTACTGCTTGCTGCTATTTTCTTCTTTGTGTTTTCAATTTTTATTTTCATATTTATGCTTTTCTCTTCCCCTTTCATGATGTCTACTAGTTTATCTATTTTTCTTTCGCCTGTTATGCTCCATTTCATTTTTTCCGTTTTTTTTTTCCCCTCACTCTGCTGGTTGGCAGTGTTCACCAGGTGGCTGACATCATTCTTCTCACGTTGTTTTTCCTTTAGTTGTGTTTCCTCGCGCTGTACCTCCACAGCATGGTGGGAGTCATCCTTCTTAACCTCCTTCTTGGTTTTCTTTTCGTGTTGTTGCTGTTTTTCATCATCCGAAGGTTGCTCCATTAAGAAATCATTACTTTTGATTGTCTCCGTACTTTCTTTTTTCTTTTTTTTAATGTTATTTTTCTTCTCTTTCTCCCTTATGCCTGCAGTAATTTTAGATTGATCCCTATTCTCATATTCCTTTCCTTTTTTTTTCGTTTCCTCCTTATGGCCCGTCAAGGAGTTCATCATTCCGTTCATTTGGACTTCAGTGTTGGTATCATTTGGAGAATTACTCTTCGCATTTATCTGTTTCTCTGCCAAGTGGTAATTTTTTTCCTTTGATTTTCCACCTTCGTTCGATTTGTTTGTTGCTTTCTTTTCGTTCCTCTCCTTTAATTGACCACTTTCATTTACCTTGATTCCCTTTTTTTCTACACTTTCCCGTTTTAATTTTTTTCCCTTTTTGTCTTTTTTCACAGTTGAATAACCTTCATCATCATCATCGTCACTATTATGTTGTTCCTGTTCCTGCGTAATGGCATTTACTTCTTTTGCTTGTTTTCGATTTTCTTCATCTGATAGTTTTGGCACTTTTGGCGCTTTTGTTGACGCTTTAACATTTTTTCTTCGATCCTCATTCTTGTCCTCATCATGCACGATACTTTGATTCGTATTTAACCTCTTCGAAATTGATATGATATCGTCTGACATGGTCATGTTGTTATTATTCTTACTGGGCATATTGATTTTATCAATGAGAAGATTGTTCTCTCCCCCCCCTTTTTGTTGTACCTGTGCATTAGAAGAAATTACCTGACTGTTCATAAATTTTTTCATATCCTTGTCGTCATTATTATGCTTCCCATTATTACTGAGATTATTCGTATCAAGCAAATTATTTATGGATTCTTCTACCATTCCAGTTTTGTAATTCTGATTATTAGGTTCAGAATACTTATTATCCATTTGCTCACTGGTGGTTCCATGTGGGAAAATGTTTCTTCCATTTATTCCATTATACGTGTACATAGGAATTTTTGGCAAACTTTTTTGTTCTTCATCATGTACAACAAAAACTTTTTTCGAATAGGGATTCTCATTGTCGATTGTTTCATAAGGAATACAATGTCTCCCCACACCACCACCTAGACCAGATTTAGGAAATTTCATCTCTTGCAAATCAGTAGTAATACGTGGATATTTAATATGAATGTTACTACTACTGCTATTATTAAAAGGGATATCTAAAATGCCTTTTCCTTCTTCTACACCTTTGTAATTAGCATTACATTTTTGCACATTTATGTCACTTGATGATGATGTGGAAAAAACATTTTGTTCTCCCTTGAACATTTTCGAATTTTTAATAATTTCTTTCAATTGTATGGTTCGTAAAATAGATTTTGTGTTTTCATCAAAATCATCATTTGAAATAAGATACTTTTCCAAATCATTAATTTCTTTGTTGCTATCACTATTACTGCTAGAGGAGTTAATTCTCCCTTTCTGTGCACGTTTTTCTCTTATGATAGACATAAGGGCTTTTAATTCCCCTTTTTTTTTTTCTTCAATATTTTCTGCACATTCTTTGTTATTATACAACACATTTCCTCCTGTCATAGTTGCGTTCTTTATCGATACATCCTGATTGTAACGATTAGGTTCGAGGTTCTCTTTGTGTATCATCGAATTGTTTATTTGATTATCACTACCAATACTATTATTATGAGCACTATTATTTTTACCACTTGTCATTTGGGACGTACTAATACCCAGTGAATTCTTTTCTATATGATGACTTTCCAATGATATTCTGTTTTTCACTCCTTCGAGATGGTTTGACAAATCGTTAATATTCTGCTGTGTATGAACAAATTCGTTTTCATTTTTCACATTGTTGTAATTATTTTTGGAAAAACTTGACAGTGGAAAAACGAATGGGAAACTACCAGGTGGGAAAATTTCATTGAAGTTAACCCAAGGCATATTTTTGTTAAATCTGATAGGCAAATCATACGGGAAATAGTTTAAGGACCACCAATAAAACATAAGTTCAGATGAAAAGGGGCCTTGTACATTTCCTGCTGGGTCTTTATACTGCCATACGTCCCCTTTAATTTTATTTATTCTATTCATGATGTGTATATATGGATTTTTCGACAAATCCATGTTGGTTGTATGTGTGTTATTATTACTGCTGTTATTAGCAACATTATTATGGACATCTTCAGTTGTCTCATTTAGGAATTTTCGTGCATGATCATCCACGAGGTTATGTCCAAGGGGAATGTTACTACTCGTACTACAACCATTGCTAATATTTTCATTATGAGGATAGGATTTGTTATTGTCCATTCCTTCGTGTGTTTGGCTTTTTTTCCCTTCCTGTATGTTACTTAAATATTTTCTTGTCATTTTTCCTTCATCATGGAGATGATTTGATGAATCTCCTATGTAATTCACATTGCTGTTATTATTACAGTTTGTTCGGGCAATGTTACTACAGGTTACAATATCTTCTGTGTTGTTATAACAGAACCCGTTGGCAATTTGGACATCATTGTTTGTGTTCCCCATATCACTGATTCTGTTAATTCTGCTAGTCATCATTTTCTGTTTATCATCCACGTTGGTATACGCTACACCTATGGCATCTGCACCTGCATCTGCATCTGCATCTGCATCTGCACCTGCACCTGCACCTGCACCTGCACCTATATTTGCACCTACCCCCCCCACAGCATCATTCTTACGTAGATGCATTGCAATTTTATCCAATGAAGTTTTATACTTACTCATGGGTGCACTGGTACATATATCACTATTTTCGTCATGCATGTGATTAGCTTCTTTAGTTTGAATGACATTTTCCTCCTTGGCTACTACATTTGAACTATCCGTTTTATCATTTTTCTTTCCAGTACTAAAAAATCTTAGCCAACTACTAACCTTCATAATAGAATTCTGTTCGTTCTTAAGAGCGTCAGACTGGTTATTTTGATGGGTATCCATAATGGGCCCTGTTTTGTCATCCACATTTATATCAATATGATCGCATTTTTGAACACCTTTTTTTTCGATTTCCTCCTCACGTAGTAATAACCTTCTATTCCCACCATCAAATGGATGATGGGGATATTCTACCACCTTATTATGTTTTATTTCCTGGGAAAAGGAAGAACATGTATCATTCTTTCTGATACAATTCATTTTATTTTGCATATTAGAATTATATTTGTTCTCATCCTCATAATTATCATTTGTATCAGAAGTGATATGACATGGTGGAATTTCATGATTTACATTCATCTTATTATTTCCAAAGGGGGTTGAGATATTGCTTCTCTTCCTACTGTTGACATTTACACCACTGTTGTTGTATACATGCTTGAAAAAGCCAATGTTGCTGGTGGTGCTACTTTGTAAATTCAAATGCGTTTCCTCAATGTTTGCATGAGTTCCAACATATAAATGTTGTTTCTTTTGCATGCTCAGAATATCTGAAGTATCATCCTCATCATGTAGGAGGTAGTATCCACAAGAATCTACAAGTTTTTGATTATTTAAAAATAACTGTTTTAATAATTCCTCTTTTTCATTTTCACTTACTTTGTTATACAAATTTTCATCTATTTTTATTTTATTCATAATTTTTTTAAAAATAAAATTTTTTTTTTCCTCATTGGCTAGTTGATCTTTATCCATTAACAATGCATCATTACATCTATTATTGTCATATTGAGGAATATGTTTTAAGTTGTTCATCTGCGACGACTCAACATTTGCTGTATATCTGCCTTTCATTATGTTTGCAAACGTGGTGCTATTGCTCTGATTGTTCTTACTAGGCAGACTGTATTGATTATTTTTCTTGCTCGTGGTTGAGACAGGCCTCATGACGCTCACACCTCCTCCCTCTGCGTTCATGGAAGAGAAAAGGTTCGCGAGGTTACTATTGGTCACTGATTCGTTCATACAATTAGGGCTATTCCCCAAATTCCCACTCCGATTATTAATGAGTTGGTTTGGATTAATATGTTTATTCACTTGACTCACGGGAAAAATCTCGTCGTGTTCCTTGCTGCATTTCTGATTGGGGTATAATACACCATCAATGGCATAGTTGTTACTGCTGCTATTAATATTTATTCCAATTGGGGTGTCGCTTTTGACGCTGCTTTGAATGGAGCTGGTATTGTCAGCATTCACGTTTTTATTCTTGATTTTTTGTAATAAACTCTCCTGAGGTATGTTGGTAAGCACGCTATCCCTATCCTCTGAAATTCGTCTGCTTCTAAAAGGATCATGCTTTGTATATCGCGAAGATATGAAATACTTTTCGTTTAGGTTGTCCCCATGAACGAATTGATGATTGGGTTTTATATTCTTGTAGCTATCAAACACATTTCTCTTGTCCATTTTCCCCAAGTGGTTGTTGCTTTGAGATGATAAACTATTAAAGGTGTGATCTGCTTGTGAATGACCTGAACGTAATTGACCTGTGCGAGATTGGACTGCATTTATCCCATCGAAACGATAAAACTGATTGGGGTCTCTGCGCGCATCATTCTCGTGATAATTTTGACCAACTATGATGCCCCTATGTTCTCCCTGTAAATTGATTTTATCAGTATCATATAATTTATTAAAAATAAATTCCTTTTTTTCGTTAAGGTTTTTATTTCTATTAATGTTATTCTTATGGAGGAATAATTTTTCATTAAGGTAAAATTTATAAGAGCTGCTTTCATGAAGTGTAGCATTATTTCCTTCATGAAGCGTATTAGAAATATTGTTATCATTACTTGTTTCCACAGGATTTTTATGTATATTTTCCACGGATGATTTCATCTGTTTTTTTTGATCTTCTTTCCCCTCGGCTTCCTTAATGTCCCTATGGGTTTTGCAATCCTTCTCCTTTTCCTTCTCCTTATCTTTATCCTTTTCGTTTTTCTTTTTTTTCTTTTTTTTACTTTTTTCTGAGTTTACCTTATTACTGCTAGCACTTTCTACCCTTCCTTTTTCATTTTTAATTCCATTTTCATCCTTGATTTTTCTCTCTGCCTGATAATTTCCGTCATGCATATGATTCTCTCCCGAGAGGTGCAGCTTGGACATGATCTTCTGCTGTTCATTTGATTTTAAATTGCCGTTGTTAAAATTCATATTCTTAAAGGAACTTTCATTCATTTTTTTCCCTTTTTGTGTGGGAAAGGCATTAATACCAATACCAATCGTGTTGCTATTATAACTTCTATTCTCGGTAGCGTCCTTAACAGACAAATCATCTTTTCTGTCATTCTTCAATTCTGCAGTATTCTCAACATCGTAACTGTTAACAGTTTTGATGGTATTATTGCTATTCTCATTATTTCGATTTTTACCCAAAGTGGATGATGTAATACGCGGGTCTAGTTTTATATGTAATGATTCAAAGGACATTTTATTATTTTTATCAAATTGTTCACTCATTTTATGCCACATAAAATCATCGGTCGCTTTTTTATTATCAACAAAGTTGGGCTTCTTTCTTATATTACTCCAATCATCTTTCATTACATTTTTCGACTCTCTATTTTGATTTACCTTTACACTTCGATTAGTACCATTAAAAATGGCATTATTCATTCCACTGCTGCTGTTGTTGGTATTTACATTATTGTTGTTTGTGAAATGTCCAGGTTGATTCCTCACCATTTCAAATGAACCTGATAAAAAATTATTTCCCCCTCCTCCTCCTCCTGCTCCTCCTATTTTTCCCATTTTTTTCCCCATAGTATTGAGTTGCATATGAGAATTTTCATTTGTTTCATTTTTATTCATTTCTTCCATAGTGTACTTTTCTCTTCCACCTTTCAACTCATTATTAATAATATCTGTATTTCTTCTGTTTATTCCTCGGTTACTTTTCACATTATTACTCATAATTGCCTGTACTCCTCCGGATGCGATAGACAAATTATTGTTATTATTTCCACCTTTATTGTATATATTTTTCTCGTGCAAATGATTCATGCTGTAAATATTCATATTGTTTGATTCATTACTTTTATTCATGAAAATATGTGCATAATCGTTTCGACTGTCTCCTCTCTTGAATTTTTCTTCTGTCATCCGGTAAGAATTCTGTAGCTTATCATTGTTAATTCCACTGTTACTGCCACTATTATTACTATTGCTATTGACACCGTGGATGTCACTACTATTGCCACTAATGCTGAACTTTTTGTATTTCTTAATTTTCCAATCATCCGATGCAATGGCATTAGTTCCAGTACCGTTGATATTTAGTGAACCGTTATTAAAACCCTTGTTTGACATTTGAAAAGTTGTTCCTTCAACAGTTTCACTTATGCCATTATTTGTGTAGGGCTCAATGCTTCCTTTCTTAGTTCCACTTACATTTCCTCCTCCCTTAACATCAAAGAATGCAGATGAAGGAGTTGTAAAATTGAAATTTTTATTTGCATTGTTCGCATTATTTAACATATTAGAATTGTTATTCATTGTCTTTTTTGAATTATTATCTACCATTCCAGAAGTGTCACCTACTGCATCGTTATTGTCTGTCGTTAGTCGTCCTCCAACTGTTCCCATGGAATTCAAATTCATGGTGTAGTTATAAGCACCATTATTACTTCTGTTCATATTGTTGGTACGATTACCGGTGCTGGGATGTCCTATATTGCTGCTCATGTTGTTCATATTTTTATTAGCAAAGAAATTATCGCTAAAATTGTCTCCTCTCTTGATGTTCACTGCACTTCCTCCTCCATCTTCTCCTCCTCCTCCTCCTCTTTCCTTGGGATACGTCATCATATTCCTGTTTACATTCCTCACATTATCATTGTTACTTTCATTTTCGACATCTGAATCACGAGGTGTGGTAGTGCTGAAATTTTTCATATTATCCATAAAACCTTTATTAATCCCCTTTGCACCTCTTGTATTTTGATCATTCCTCAAATTTTCATTCAATTTATTGTTTCCTTTCGAGGATCTCCAAGAAGAAATAGATTTATCATAATCTCTCCAAAGGGACTTGTTACCACTGTTGTTATTTCCAATTCCTATATTTGCATTATTGTTTGCATTCATAAATGATGTAGTATTTCCATCAGCATAGAAATTTGTTTTTCTGGAGAAACTGTTCCTATTTGTATTTCCGCTTGTGTTTATTACCCCAAGATCTGAATCGAATTGGTTTTTTCCATTTCCGTACACATTATTATTATTGCTGTTGTTTTGAAGACTCTTACTAGTATTACTATTATTACCATCGAAGAATTTATTGAATTTGTTGTTCTTTAAAAAGTTGCTATTTCTCTTGTTTATACTATTTAGAGGATTATTTGAATTGATAGATCCTTCCAAATTGTTTTTGTTCAAGCTGTTATTATTATCTCTGTTAAAAAAATCATTTCTAATTCTTCCTCGGTCATGATCATTGTTGTGAAAATTAAAAGAAGAAGAAGCAACACCACTTCCACCACCGCCACCACCACCTCCTGCTCCTCCACCTTTTTCTGAATAATTCCTTTGAGACTTATTGTTACAACTTTCATCTTCATAATCGATATTTTTATTATTATTATTGTTATGTTCATCTTCTGCATCATCGCCTCCCAAATTGTTATCTTCGTTATCCATTTTGTTCATACTATTAACAAGTTCTGGGAATTTAAATTTATTGCTACAAAGAGGGACATCGTGATCTTCCCCTAATCCTTTTTCTAATAATATCAGTTCGACATATGCATACAAAAATTCGTTTTTTGTATACATTAATTTGTTTTCATCATATTCGCTTTTTTCTGGACTTTCATTATCTCCATTTTCTGTGGCGGTCGGAATAACCTCTTCGGCTACATTTGTTTCCTCCATTGTGGAGAAGATTTGGATATTATGTTACAGAGTGGGGGGGGGGGGGGGGAGGGTGATATATTGTCGTGTGTGTGATGAATAACAACAGAACTTTATTTCGGCCCCTGTGCGTTTCACTCTTCTTTTTTTCTCTTACACTTTGAGCTAATCGTATATGATCTTACTTAGTGCCAATCGTATATGATCTTACTTAGTGCCAATCGTATAAAATTTTACTTAGTGCCAATCGTATAAAATTTTACTTAGTGCAATGTCTCTGTCAGTTATCTTTTTTCTCACACCGTTTATTCGTATGTTGTTTTCTCTCTATTAAATTTCCTCTTTTTTTTTTTTTTTTTTGTTTTTTTATTTTCCTTTTGTGTGTTATAGCAGGAAGGAAAAATAATATGATATCATAAAAAGTTGGGGAAATGTAAGAGAAATGACACAAACTTTTTAAAAGTATTGATAATAATGTTGTGATGATCCGTTACGCAATTCAAAAAAAAAAAAAAAAAAAAAAAAAAAAAAACGTACAAAATTGAAATGGATCGTGTGAGGGAAGAAGGAAAAAAAGAAAAGGGGAAAAACTGGGGAAACTTTTAAATATGTTCAGGAAAAACTGGTGAAAACTTAGGTAATATTGGTGAGAAAATATGAGTAGGTGTGGTACTTATATATGTCCTCACAGGGATATGCAAAAAGTTTTTTTTTGATTGGCTCCCATAGGATTCATACCGGGGGAAATATATGAAAAAGAGTACAATCGCAACAAATATATATGGCGGTATGTTATATATTATGTATATGTAAATATATGGATATATATATGGTACGTAAATATGTATATGGGAAAAATGCTTAACAAAAAATATACATACATTTGTTGCGAATGGTATAGTTACTTGTCACAGTATTTTTTTTTTTTTTTTTCCCTCCGTAAATACAAAGGAAGTGTGTTTTTTTTTTTTTTTTTTTTTTTTTTTTTTTTTTTTTTTTAAAAAAATTTGAATGTTTTTTTTTTTTTTTTTTTTTTTTTTTTTTTTTTTTTTTTTTCTTTTTTTTGAATAAGATTCGACGGCTCTTTTTTTTGTTTTATGTTTTTTTTTTTTTTTTTTTTTTGTTTCCTTTTCATGTACCTTTTACGATTGCATATAAATACAAGCTCATGTATGTTGCAAACGAGAAGATTTTTATGCTTATCGTAAAACTACGTAGTGTTTATATATAGTAGTGTTTTTATAAATTTCATAACTCCTTTAATTTAAACTAAGGGCGTTGTTTATTTTATTTAATTAGGGAGTTGTTTTTCTTTTGTTTATAAAATTTTCCTTTTCCTGAAAATTGGCTTAGGTAAATGTATTATCATCTCATTATATAAAAAGGGTAAGAAAAGGAAAAAAAAAAAAAAAAAAATTAAAACTAAAACGCAAAAAAAAAAAAAAAAAAAAAAAAAAAAAAAAAAAAAAAAAAAAAAAAATTAAAAATAAAAAAAAAAAAAAAAAAAAAAAAAAAAAAAAAAAAGAAAGAAAATAAGAGCATTATTGTATTTTACTGTGGGTACATGAAATAGAAGGTGAAGCAAATGTATAAAAAAGATTAAATACATTATATATATATATACATACGTATGGGAGAATGCCTAAATTATATTATAAGTACAAAATGTGGATGTAATATATATATTATGTATTTATATATATTACATGTGTGTTTATATGCACAGTACGTGTGGTACTATAAAATTGTACTTTTTTTTTAAATAGCCTTAAAATTGTCAGTACGAAATGTTGCTATATGTAATTCCTCATAAAAAAGCAATTAAAAATAGCTTAAAAATGATAAAATGTCGGTTAGGGTATATGTTACAATACATATATATTGTAATGCAATGCAAATTGTATTAAAATGGAACCAGCAAGTTTTTATACATTTTATATATAGATAGATACATACATATATACATATATATTGTATATGTATGATTATAAAGTATTGCATTTAAAATTGTGTTAAAATGGGAGGAGTGGATGGGTAAATGTTATATTTTTTACAAACTCTTTACGAGTTTTCGTTTTTCACATGCGCGAACATGTAAACACAGTTCGCACATACATATATATAAATATTTATAATCATATACATATAATATGTATGTAAAAAAAAAAAAAAAAAAAATGTGAATACTTTGAAACTGGCTGGGGAAAAATACTTATAACACGTAATTAATTTATTATTTTATAATAAAATGTTAAGCACGTTAGCTTATGCATGAATAATATTATATACAATATATATTATTGTACATATTTAAAAGTATTCCAAAGTAAGCAAAATTGTATCAAAGGTGAGGTGGGGGGGAAAGAAAATGAAAACGAATTATAAATATGAATATATGATTCATTCCTCCTAATGAGTGATAAACAAACAAATGGGTACCATATTATGCGTATACATAAGTTAGTACTAGTGTACATGGAAGAGAAAGTTCTTGCGATCCATGAAGGATTCCTTTTTTGTGATATTTTAAAATTTACATGCATATTCTATAAATGAGCTCTATATTCTATATATATATATATATCCCCCTCTGTTTTTTTTTTTTTTTTTTTTCTCCGTATTCTTATGAATGTCGTAAAAAATGACAGACCTCGGACCCAACTTGCTAAGACCAACATGTGACAACAAAATATGAAATGATAAAATTGGGATCCCTTCCCCTCTCTTCCATTTATTCCAAGCTAAAAATTATATCTTAAAAAAAAAAGTAATAAACGAACCGATATGTATGATGGCACTATGAAATTCACTTAAATTCATTCGTATGTGTGCATAATGGATAAGAACATTTTTTTCTTAACCATTTACCTTGACGAAAAAAAAAAAAAAAAAAAAAAAAAGGGGTAGATGAATGGTGGGGGGAATATATTTAAATGAAAGAGTAGTTAAATAAATTTTTATGCACATGTATGTAGGCACATATGTAGGCATAAATATAGGCATATATATCTAGGCATATATTAGGTATATATATACACATGTATATAATATATGAATGCACAAAGCAACGTGAGAAGGAAAAAAAAACGCGAGGGAGGAATTAAATAAATTAATTTTCTCTTATGAAACTCAAGAACCAACGTTGGTTCTGCAAAGACGTGTAGGATATTGGCGCGTCGAGAGTAAAAATATCTGCATCGTTATTGAACAGATGGCAAAGAGAGAGGGAGAAAAAAAAAAATAAAATAAAATAAAATAAAACTCAAAAATGAAGTGTTTCACATGAGTAATATTTAAAGTATTACCATTTTGTTCATTATATATATAAAGACGATAAGAATAATAATAATTATACTACTAATAATAATTATACTACTAATAATTGTTATACTACTAATAATTGTTATACTACTAATAATTGTTATACTACTAATAATTATACTACTAATAATTATACTACTAATAATTATACTACTAATAATAATTATACTACTAATAATTGTTATACTACTAATAATTGTTATACTACTAATAATTATACTACTAATAATAATTATACTACTAATAATTGTTATACTACTAATAATTGTTATACTACTAATAATTATACTACTAATAATAATTATACTACTAATAATAATTATACTACTAATAATAATTATACTACTAATAATAGTTAGAGTAATAATAATATTATCCTGCAAGTGACGTATAACATGATTGGATGAAGGGGAGATAGGCTAGGCAGCTCCATTTGTCATATATACAAATGTACACGAATACGGGCACCTCCTAATATCCTTATTAACCCAAATGTATGCATGCAATTCTCCTTCATTGTGATGGAACACACATGCATATATATATATATATATATATATATATATATATATGATAATATGTGAAATAATTCTCACGCCATGATAATATCACCTGTGTTGTTATAATAGCCCTGTATCCCACAGGGATCTTGTTATATATTTATTTTTTTTTTTTCATGTAACCATATATATATGACTTTTTGAATGGGTTACAAGTGATCATTTCACCCTCACCCCCCCAAAATGTTCACGTCTACATTTGCACCATAAAATCATTATTTATTCATTTTAATTTTATTTCTTCTTAATCAGGAATGCATAATTGCATGTATAAAGTATATACATTCTGATGAAAAAATTTTCATTTTTCTTCATTCATTGTGCTGAGTTTTAATTTCCTTTTTTTTTTTTTATTTTTCATTATATTTTTTTTTTAAAGATTATTGTAATGATAAGCATAAAAAAAGGGGAGGAGATTCAAATCAAAACAATGCATTAGATTATGAAGTATATATAATAGTTTATAAACATATATATATTTTGATGACGTCTTCTCCCCACCTGTGTCGCGTGGTAGAATGTTGTTTATAATTGTTTAATCCCCATAATACTAGCACCAGAAGAATATACATAGATAATTTTGCATATTTATAAAATAACACATATAAAATATATATCTTATCTTTTGTTAGGGGGTAAGGTGGGAATACATAGATAGGAGAGATCATACTGTGGTTTACACATTGTATTATTTGTTATTTTTTCCCAACTGAACAAACCTCATTTCGATTTTAGATAATGAAAAAAATATATTTTTACATTGAAATATATCTTTTGAAAAAAAAAAAAAAATTACACTGATTTTACAAGTGAGGAAATAAAAAGGACAACCTGTGTAAACACAACTGGGATGTGCCGCTTGGTATTATTCAAATGCATGCGTAAAGGCACCTGTAATTTCAAACATACACACAAGCACAAATAGAAACATTTTAAATAGGACAAATATTATTTGAAGTGCTCATAAAAAGCTGCTAAAACTACATGATTAAACAATTTACACATCCTAAGGTGTAGAGAAAATAAGGCTGTATATAATACATCTTTTTTTTGTTGTTATAACTAATTTTTTGCGTTCTCATTTAAGCGGGTCATTAATTCTTCCACGGATTTAAATCGCTTCCCTATAGTGGATCGAGGAAAATAGGAAAAATAAATTAATATAACGTGAAATAAAATAAAGCAAAACAAAATAAAGCAAAACAAAATAAAGCAAAACAAAATAAAGTAAAAAAAAATAAAGCAAAACAAAATAAAGTAAAAAAAAAATAAAGCAAAACAAAATAAAGCAAAACAAAATAAAGCAAAACAAAATAAAGCAAAACAAAATAAAGCAAAACAAAATAAAGCAAAACAAAATAAAGCAAAACAAAATAAAGCAAAACAAAATAAAGTGAAATAAAATAAAGTAAGAACAAAAAGGGAACCCTGTGTAACGGTGCTCATTGTGACCTCGCGGTGTGATTAGTCCTAATCACCAAATTTCATTTTGTGTTATGAGGGAAGAATATACAGATGCACTGCATTGTATGTGTGTGCAAGCATGTGTAGCTGTCCATTTATATATCAATCCAGTCTCAAGGGCCGTACCCATAATAATGACAAAATGGATTGAAGCATTTTCTAGGTATAAAAATATTCGTCATACACACATACACAGGGTGGAATTTGCATTCATGTATCCTTACCTATTCTCGAGTAGAACTGTTGAATGTTGGCTTTTAACAATTTATAGTCCCTAAGCTTTTCCATTACTAAGCGGGTTATGTGGTTGTTTTGGAACAAAATGAAAAAGTGAAGAGGAAAATGATCATGTGTATGGGGGGGGGGGGGCAGCTCGGATGTAATATTTTTATTTATTCATTTGTCACATATTTTTGTCACGTATTTGCCATGTATTTCTGATTTATTTATCACTCATTTGGCACTTATTTTTTCCCACTTATTTTTTATTTTTTTTGTATACTCTTGTTTTTCAAAACGTTTTTTTTTTACCGTGGGGGATGTCTGCACATTATGATTATAAAAACTCACCATATCTTTTTTTATTTTCTGTGTCTAGGGTATTTATAAATTCTCGTTCATTCCTTATTTGGGATTCTACTTGTTCTCTGCGTGGTGTGAATGTGCGAAGGAGAAGTGGGGTGGTCATAGCTGATTGTAGATGCGTCAAAATGGAAGTTAAGACGAACAGGTTATTTGTTGACTTTGAGAAAGTCATTGGAAGGTTTCATATGATGACAAGTTCGAGAAGGCATACCGATGTGTCCTTTGTTGGATCCTCATAGAGAGGTAAAATTTTGAAAAAGGGGTATTAAGACCTTGAAGAAAATCAAGATTTCCCATTAGAAATAAATTTTTTAGAATTATTCTTTTGTTTTCATCGTTATCTTTTACAAAAATGTAAAGAGGCGTGTCAGCATTTTTTGCATTTAATGTATTATAGATCATTCGAATTTCGTTCGTTTTTTTTTTCAATGAGTTTATTATTTTGGTCCTTTGAAAATAAGACCTGGTGTCTTTCGAATTTCCAGATGTCGATGTTGTATTTTCCGCTTTCCCTTCACATATGCAATAGGCGGATGTATACAACAGACACAACAAGAGGAATATGGAGAACAGAAAAATGTGATATGATACCATTTTCATGCTTTAAGTACTTTGGAAAAGGGAAAATGTGTGCAAATGGCTTTTTCTCTATAAAAGATAAGTACTTATATATATATATATATATATCAAAAAGGTTAAACAATGTGGAGGTGCTTTTTTTTTTTTTTTTTTTTCCTTTCTGTTTTAGAGTTATAACATTCGTCTACTTGTTCCACTGTTGAGAAACCTTAAGGGTAACTTTTTGTTATTTATTTTATTTATTTTATTTTATTTTTTTTTTTTTCCCCTTTATCCATAACGCGGGATGCTTGGTAAAGATACCTTGTAGGCAGAGTTTGTGCATATGTATTGATATTTGTTGAAGTGTATTTTTATCTTCATCTTATGGTCTTTTTTTTTTTTTTTTTTTTTCCGCCAATATTTTTACCAACTATTCTATTTTGTTATTTTGTTATTTTGCCATTTTGCTATTGTGCCATTTTGCTATTTTGTTATTTTACTATTTTGTTATTTTACTATTTTGTTATTTTACTATTTTGCTATTTTACTATATTGCTATTTTACTATTTTGCTATTTTACTATATTGCTATTTTACTATTTTGCTATTTTACTATTTTGCTATTTTACTATTTTGCTATTTTACTATTTTGCTATTTTACTATTTTGCTATTTTTTTTTTGGAGTGGACGGTTTTATAATTTTCGTTTCCCTCGAAAGGTATTGAGAAAAAAAAAAAATATGCAAAATGGGTAAAATAAAAAAATATCCTTGGAGAGTTAACTTTGGATGGATTTTATTTCATCAATGTTTCAAAACGTGTATGTGTGTGTGTGTGGGGGGGTATGTACACTTATTTATCAATACAGAATTTTAAAACGGTATAAAATATGAGGGTATGTATATGTATATGCACACAGGTATGTACAAAGACAAGTGTACACATATATATTTATTTATTTACTTATCAACTTATCTACCCCATGCTTCTCCATTTGTAAACGCAAATCCCCATCACTCGGTTACTAGTAGCGGTCCTAAATCAACAAAATAGAAAGTATCACTGAGTTTATTTGTTATCTTTACAAATGGGAAATTATGAACTCCCAGCATGATGGCAAGCATTCTGACACTAACAGATTTTCGCTGGAAAGGTTTTATAATACCAACATGGATTGAAGAATTAAAAGAAATCAAAGAAGATTGTTCGTTGTTGATTCTGGATCTACTTTCATCTTGCATTTCGATAAGAATATCTATCTCTTCATGATGATTGTTATAAAATGAAAAAACTACTGTGAGTACAGATGAACAGTTTATTTCTTTAACAAAAGAAACTTCTAATTTGAACATATGAGATGATGGCATTTCGACCTCTAAGAAATACTGTGACCATATGGAATTATTTGCAGCGTTATCAATAGACCATTTTATAGACAAGGTGATAATGCTTTTATCGTTTTTAAATTCAAAAGATAAAAGTTCTTCCTTATCTTGGAATCCCTTCGTAATGCTTGTTCGATTGCTTACATCTTGGGTACATTTTACGCCTCGATTTTTTGCCTGATTTGTGGTCAAATTTATGCCTTGATTTATGCTTGCCATTGTAAGAGATTCTTCAACGGTGTGATGCTTACTCATGACATGAGAATTTCCTACCTGCATGTCATAAAATCCTGTGTAGAGAAAACTCCTCTTTTTCTCCTTGACCTTTGTATTATTCTTTGAAATAATTTGTACAGAGTTAACAATAGGCAGGTAAAAGCTGTATGTGTCTTCTGGATGTAGACAAAGTGGAAATATATCACCATTATCAATGTTAACAGATTTTGAAAATAATTCATATATATTTATTCGATTTTTCTGCGTGACATTTTCAATTTCTAAGTATAGATATGGATGAACAATTTTGCATTTTATGTTAAGCGGTTTTTTCACAATAATTGGTTTGGTTAAAATTATTTTTTTAAAATTTCTTTTTGTATAATTTCTACTGTACATGTAATCATCTAATTTATTTATGGATTTACATATACCGTACATGTTTAAATTCAGGGGGAAGTTGCGATCGTTAAATTCTCCATCGTGAGGTGAGAGACTGTGTTCCCCATAATTACCATCATCATCTTCATCGTCATCATTTTCATCGTCACCATTTTTATTGTAACCAGTGTAACGATTGTTACCATCTTCATCATAATTGTCATCATCATCATCATCATCTTCATCGCTGTCGTCATTTTGTGTCTCTTCCCAATTGTATATTCCATTTTTTTTTTTTTTTTTTTTCCTTTTTTTCTTTCTTTCATTAATCATGCTGGATGTGAAGGTCGATGACCACTGCACGTTGTCCAACAGCAAAGACGGATAGTGGAAAATTTTTTTTAAATTTTTTGCATTTTTTTCAGTAAGGAAATAATTCCCACTTCTGGTTTTAGCTACCCTGAAATTCTCATATAGATATATCTTTAAAACTAATTTCTTATTTACATATTTTTGTGCAATGTTGAGGGGTAGTTCGACCATGTATATCATACCCTCTATATGGTATGGTTGTTCCAATGAAAGGAGAACATTGTCAATATCTTGACATGTCTCCTTGTGATTAGCTACTTCGATCAGAATTCTTTCTTCATCCACTTGGTACACAGTTCCATTTGAGATTTGGTTTCCATCCCCATAATAATCATATAACATATTATTTCCCCATTTTGTTATTTTCTTTTTTTCTGAATCGCCAAGGAGAGTCCTGAAGTCCTTGGGAAATATTCTCCTGGCTAGGACCCATTTGTATACAGTCTTTAATTTATTTTCGAAATATTTTTCTTCCTGTAAATGAAATTTATGTGCAAGCGTCGAAATTTCTATCCCATTATCTTTCGCAAATAATATGTCCATGTGGATATGATAATTTGTATTTTGCTCCAACCAAGCTTTTACATTTTCCTTAGAACGGGAATTGTTAACATGTTTGACGATTATTCCTATGTAAAGCAGCTCACCTAACAGTTCTTCCGATATAGCATTAGTATCATGTTTATGTGTTTCATTGGAGATATACGTTTTTGGATTCTCTCTTACTTTCTGTCGCTGCAATTGTAGCTTTGTCTGTTCCTGCTTTTGTTCCTCGTAAATTTCCTTGCAACAGAATTTCAAAGCCTCCTTGATATTTTTATGCTTATTGCTGTTCGTTACCACTAGTTTTATTTCTGCACCGTTTGCTTGAGCAGTCATTTGGCCCGGATACTTTTGCGGCCTCTACAGTGCTTATGCAAGCAGCTTGCCACAAAAGGGTGCGCGTGTGATATCACACGAATACATGCATATGTATATGTATATTTAGATTTATTTACACCTATTTATATTACATCTGTTTACATCTATTTATACGCATATTGAGAAGAAAAAGGGTTTACAAAAGAAAAAAAAAAAAAAAAAAAGAAGCAAAAATAATCATTTTTCTTTTGATCACTATGTAATAAAACCCAGGTGCTTATTTTGCACCGCTTAAGTTTCGTACGGGTATTTCCATTGGGTTTAAGAATTTTTAAAAAGAATCTCCCTCTTCCCCCCCTTGGGCTGTGGTTGAGTGAAATTACCGCTAGTATTTTTCAACTATATTTTGCATTTTATCGCTTCTTTAATGTGTGACCTAGGAATGTTTTTCCCTACTTATTTATTTTATTTTATTTTTTTTTTTTTGTTTTGGTTCAAGGTTTACGGTACCATTTCGCTTTAGGGAACAAACTTTTTGTGCAATTTTTTTTTTTTTTTTTTTTTTTTTTTACAGCTAAAGGGTCTGGAGTTTGTACTTGTAAAAAAAAATATAACTATGCCTAATATTGGGGCTTAGCTACTTTTTTATTTTATTTTTTTAAACCAAATAAGTTTATCATAGTGTGAACTGTAAATCCGCACATGTGTAAGAAGCAGGTTTTTGCGTGAACGAAAAAAATGAAAAAAAATTAAAAAAAAAGTAATAAAACTGCACAATCATGAGTTCAGGCATTTTTTTAATCCTTAGAATGTGCTACACATTCAAATTAGCTGAAATTGTTTAAACAAATACAAACATAAAAAAAAAAAGAAAAAAAAAAAGTAAAATAAAACAAAACAAAAATAGCAAAACCATATATTTATATAGAGTAATGATCATTTTTGCTCCATTAGCTTAAAATTTTTTTCTTGGGGCCCAATTGTTTTTTCATCACAATAAGGGGCGTTTTTTTTGAGACATATGGTTTTAGCTGAAATAGGGAAAAGAAAAAAATTATAAATGTTCTCTTAAAATAATCTGATATCATATGATATATGTGAGTACAGCTGATACAACATTATAGACGCGAGAAGGGGGGAAAAAAAAAAAAAAAAAAAAAAAAAATGATAAATGCTATGTCTCATTCATGTCTAGATAAAAAGAGAAAAATTGTGTAATAAAAGTGTTTAAAAAGTTACAATGGTTATTTCTTATATTTCGTTTTATTTATTTTCCTTCTTTGCTTCTGTTTTGTTCTTTTTTCTCTTATTTTTATCTTATCTCCCCTTACATTGCAATCACTCAAGTCGGGGACTCGGAAATTAGGTATAAGCATTTTATTAATTATAAAGAAACCTATTATAATAAGAAATAAAAAAAGTAGTGCATTGAATGAATAATTGATGGGGGGAAGCTGGTAAAATGGTTGATACATTTTTTTGATGTTTTAGGGTTTTTTCCATATTTTTATGACAAGAGTGGATCAATGGAAACGGCAAATCACAACTGAGAGTGTGGTGGTAACTGATTTGCCCACCGTTTAGTTGTGATGTCAATATTTGCAAACATCTGCAACATTATAACGTTTTACCTTTTTTCGTATGTCGTCCTAATCCAATGGCACCGAATCCTTTCTTAAAACCAACAGGTGCATATTTTGCAATAAGTGGTCCCTTTCCCTTACTGGGTCCCATTTTAGCCAACTTGAAAACATCAAGTTTTAACATTGTTAAGGTGGTCCAACTCGTTTGGAATGGTAGAACACTAGAGTAAGATGAATGAAAAAGAGTGGAAAACAAAACAAAAAAAAAAAATTCAAAGTAGAGAAATTATTATAGAGATTATTTTCTCCCTAATTTTGTTCTGTGAAAAGCGTTACTTGTGGAAGGCCATATATCTTCCATCGAGCAACCATTAGCATACGGAAGAAATTGTAAAAAATAAAATAAAAAATAAGATGAGATAAAATAAGATAAAATGAGATTAAATGAGATAAAATATAAAAAATAAGATAAAATGAGATAAAATATAAAAAATAAGATAAAATGAGATAAAATATAAAAAATAAAATAAAATAAAAACGTGTACAAATATATTGTGCTAACGGATGCTGCGGTGCTATGTCCATGAGTTCTCAAAATGTTATTATCTTATAATTTCTATAAACGCTAGCCAGTGTTTTAGAGGCACCTTGCCAATTTTTTGTTATCCTTATTTTGTGAGCTCTCTTTTATTTATTTTTTTTATTAGTACTCTTATTATGTGCACCTTATTTTTTTTATCATTATTACACATTAGACTTAATTTTGTGCACGTTATTTTTATTACTATTGTATTTACGTTGTGTACTAAACTTTTGTTACTTTATTTTATTTTATTTTTTTTTTTTTCCCCGTTTTGTCATAATTTGAGTATATTGCAAGAGAAAATGTCAATTTAGAGATGTCATTTGTGGTTAGGAAATGCAAGTTATTAGTGTGGGAGGAGACTGTGCTTAGCATCAAATTATGTTTACATGTGAAACGCTTTGCATAGGTGTGCATATTGCAAATCGAACCCTTAGCATACATGAAAGGTTCTGGAATTGGAAAAGTGTGCAGAAAAGTTAGAACGATAAAGTTCACTCGTAACAGTAAGCAAAAAGGAACACATTTCTTTTTCCACAGGGAAGAAGATAAAGGTACACAAAATGGTGGGTTCATCGAGATGGTAATGTCGTGGGAGTTATTTTGTTGGTTATATTTGCTATAGCTTGTTCTTTATTTTTTTTAGCTATTTTGCTATACGTTGTTACAGTTTAGTGCATATTTTCACGGGGTTTATTCCTCAAATTATGAGATGCATAACACTTCCCCTTTTTTGCACTCAAAAACATTGTTAGCCATTGAAGACAATGGGCATGTTGCGTGAACATATTACATCCTGTCCAGGAGAAAGCAAAAATAGAATACTGATAGTAAGCATATATTCATCCGAATGTTAGTGGGTTAAAAAAGCAAAGGTAGAAGTAAACTGGAGCACAAAGTGAATACCTTAGAGAGAGAGGATGTAGAGAAGTACTTAGTCACTTCATATAAAAATTAATTCACATAAATGAAATGAGGAAACTGTAACGATTTTGGAAGAAAAAAAAAAAAAAAAAGTCTAAATTTGGTTACAATTGCATAATAGAGACAAAAAAAAAGATATACGTAGGTATACCACTTTTGAATGTTCAAATGTTTATATCCTTTTTAAGGACCAATTTGCTAAAGATATTTTTTATCAACAGGGAAGATAGATTTCCCCTTTGCAAATGTTCAAAGCGTTTTATTATTACGTCCTAGAGTAGAGATAAAGACATGTATTTAAATACTTTTTCATTAGAGGGTATAAAATATATGTTAGTTCCACCTGTCATAGAAAGAAAAACGCATGAACAAAAGTATATAACTTCTTCTCTTCCTTCGACTGTTTAATATGTTTGGCTTTAAAACAATGAAACACTAAAAAAATCACACATATTATTTTATGCATACTGTCTTAATTAATTTCTCTTAAGAATTTTCGTTCGAATGAACTAGCCTTTTCCCTCTTGAACAGAAAAAAAAAAAAAAAAAAAAAAAATATTTATGATAGTGCTAAAAGTGAAGGAATTTTTTCTTATCTCATAATTTTTGTGTGCACGCGGAAGTTTTGTTCTTTTTTTTTTCTGCACATTTTTTTTTTTTTTTTTTTTTTTGGTGCATATACACACACATGAGCGATGAGGAAGCGGGCAGGTAATCCAAAACGTTGGGGAGTTGAAGTATCCTTTAAAGAGTTTTGAAAAAGGATGAGGTAATTTTTATTTCATACGTCTTTTATTATTGATTATTTATTTTGTTATTATTATTTTTTTTATTCATATAGCATGAAGAGAACAAAGGTACAAATGAGCATGTGTATAACCAAGAGGGCACTATACCACATACCGCCATGCGTATTGGCCCATTTTTTCTATTAAACCGGTTTGTTGCTTCATTGCTTTATTTTTTTACTGTTTTCCTGTTTACTGTTTTACTGTTTACTGTTTACTGTTTTACTGTTTTACTGTTTTACTGATTTCTTTTTTTCTCTTTTTTTTATATCACAACAGAATAAATACACAGTTTTGTGCCACCTTGCAAGGACTCACATTTCTCTTTGGAATTTTAATTGGGTCATTTTTATCGTCATCAAAGAGGATGTATTTCCTTAAAGACCTATCCAAAAGGGTGTGTAAGTATTGTGTAAGTATTGTGTAATTATTGTGTAATTATTGTGTAAGAATGTGTGTATACACTTGTGTATGCATGTATGCACATATGAATGCGCGAATGTGTGTATGTACATACATATGTTAGCTGCTTTATGGATAGGAAAGGATGGACAAGGAAAGAGACCAATTGTTGTTCGTATTTTTTTTTTTTTTTTTTTGTTCTTTTTTTCTTCTTTCTTTTCTCTGCCCGATTTTAATGCAATAAAGGTGCAGAAAAAAATTGCAAGTTGGCTAAAATTGTAAAAATGGAGTGTGCAAAAAAAAAAAAAAAAAAAAAAAAAAAAAAAATGGATTGATCAGGTATATAAAATGGAACGAACAAAACAGAACGGGACAAATCAGATCAGAGCAAAGTAGAAAAAAGCAAAACCGAATAAACCAAAACGTATGCACTATGTGTATATATGCACACACCCACACATCACACACGTATGTACAATTGAGAAAATCAATATGAGCGTTGCTCATTTTTGCAAACAGGTAGTGAACAATTTAGAACAATTCTTGGAGATATATTCTTGATACATGTATCGAGGGGTATCGTTTTTTTTTTTTTTTTTTTTTTTCAACACATATGCATACATAATACTCTTGATTACTTATTTATTCGTGTAGTTTGTTTTTAGCTCTTGAAATATTTTTTGTTTTTCATGCATGCGTATGTTTAGCTTCAAATACTCTTGCTTTGATAATTCTTTGTTTTTAACTTTTTATTTTTTATTCTTTATGCTTTACTCTTTATATTTTATTCTTTCCTCTTTGCTATTTATTCTTTTTTTTTTTTTTTTTAATTCTTTATTTTATTTTTTTTTTGCTCCATTTTATTTGTTTGAGCGAGCTTTTCTTGACCTGTGGCACGATTTTCTTGTCTGGTCACTTTTGTGTTTACCTATTTTTTATATTCCATCTAATAACTTTTCTAATTTTTATCGTCTATTATTTGTTTTTTATTTTCCTGATTTCATCTAATCTACTCTTTTCGCTTGATATTTACGTTAAAATTCTGTGAACTAATTTTTGTCCTTGAAGTCTAGTAGCAAGAAATTTCTTTTCAATTTTTTTTTTTTTTTTTTTTTTTTGTATCATCATATTTAATTTTCTTATTGCAATTTGTACTTGTTGTTTGTCATTATTCTTATTTTTATACCTACTCGTTTTTGTGTGAATTTCACTTTTATATTAGTTTTCACCTTTCAGCATTTGCGTTTGTTTTCGTTTTTGTATTTCTGTGCTGGGAATTCATCTATCGTTTTCTTAAAATAGCATGTCTTGTCGTCCCGAAGAAAAAGAAAAAGGGAAAAAATAAGGAACATTAACAATAAAAAAATAAAAAAGTAGAGTAAAAGGAACAAAACCAAGAAACATTACTTTTGTGTTTGTTCGTTCGTTTGTTCCTTAGTTTGTTTGTTTGTTTGTTTTTTTGTTTGTTTGTTTGTTTGTTTGTTTGTTCGTTTTTTTTGTTTTTTTGTTTGTTTATTCGTTTGTTTTTTTTGTTTTTTTGTTTGTTTTTTTTGTTTTTTTGTTTGTTTTCGTTTTTTCATTCTTTGTGCATTTGCTCATTTGTCTATTTGTCCATTTTTCCATTTGTTCCTTGCTCTTTCCCGTCTCCGCGTCACTGCGAGTATGAATTTTTCATCTAATCAAGCAGAAGCTGATAAATTTGTTTTGTATTTCTTCCTAGTAAATGAGTTAGCTTTAGATCTAGTGGACAAACCGTGTGTGTTTACCCACATTCACGTGTGAGTCATTATGAATTCAATGATACGTCGAGTTTGTGAATTTGAGCAATTTGTATTTGATGTTTAGTCATGAATTTTATTAAATATAAAACAATATAATATAATTTTTTTTCAATTTAAAGGTTAACGAAATTGTAACATAATCTATCATCCGCTTTTTTCTAATTCTGTCTATATGTATACATTTTTTTTTTTTTTTTTAAGTATATTATCCCGTTCATAATTTTTTTTTGTATCTGTGTTAAAAATTTGTTTCTGTTTATCTGCATGTTAATGTATTTTCTCATACGTAAAAGAAGAAGATACCATCCTGCAAACTTGATGATACGCGTCTTTGCTTCGTTAAGTTTGTTTTCTTAATTTTTTTTTTCTCAGTTTTGTTTCGTTTACTATGCCAAGTTTACATGCCACTAGAGCTCCGATTTCATGATTCCTTTGTCTCGTTTGTTTAGTTGGGCCACTTTTCTATTCCATATTTTTCTTCATACGCATGAGATTCAGTGGTATTTCTGATTGATTGCACGCTTAATAAATCAGAAGTCCTAGATTCGAATCAGAGTTAGTGAAAGAGATACAATTTCGCAACCTTGAATATTTTTCGTGTTCATGTATTTGTACAGAATTTAATTTTTAACCGATTTATCCATTGATTTTGTGTGCATGTGTATATGTTTATCTAAATTCCCCTTCAGTTTGTTAATGTTTTCATTACCATTTTGAAGTGAGAAAAATTTGCTTATTATTTTTGCTTATTCGCACCATTTACCATTTGTTATTTGTATCAACTAGAGGCTCCTTTTATTTTCAATTTAAAATTGTTTGCATAATTTTATCATTTCTGAATTATTTATTTATTACTTTTGTTTTTGTTTTATTTGCTAGTTCATAGCTCAATCGGAGAAATCTTTAGCTGTGATGAATTTAGTGAAGTTCGTTTATTCTGTCTAGTCTATCGAATTTTATCTAATCTACCACGAGATCCTCATTTTTGGTATTTACCTTGTATTATAAACTCCATTTCAAGCGCGCTTCCGATTTGCTAAGATTTTTTTATGTGTACTAATTTCTACACTTTTCTGATTTTACCTTTTTAAACAATCCCTGATATATGAATCGTTTTTGTTACTTTGTCTCTCATTGTTATTCCAATCCAGTTGTAGATCTCCTAATCTTTCGTTTTGCTAATAGCAGGTTATATTTCTGATTACAGCTATTTTGTTTGTTGCTTCTACGTGTGCAGTTCACTCTATCAGACATAGTTTTAAGAGTTACACCTTTTTGACGTGTATATCATTTTACTTTTCATAGAAAAACGTGATCCCGTTTTTTTCTCTTTTGTCATTGTAGATAACATGTGAATATCTTAACATAGTGGTTTTCAATTTTTTTTTTTTTTAGAAAAAGACAAAAATTATTCTAATGATAATATTTTTTCTTCTATACTACCCCGATAATGAATACTTGATTTTATGTTAAAATTATTTGCACATAAGAATTTACATTAACTACAGCATTTCCTTTTTTTTCATGTGTGACTCTTTTGACAAATGTGAAAGTTCGAATGCACATACATATAGAAAGAGGGATGTACATCAAGTGATGAATAGTTAAGTGTGTCTTTTTCTCTACACAATAACGTGTTCGTGTAAATATACATAGATGCTGTAGAATCTGTAGGAAAAAAATTCCCAACTCTTTTGAAACACTGTGAGATAAATGCAAAACTTGAGTCTTGTTACAGATTCCAAAGAAGCACTCCAAACAGCTCTGAGGGGAGAGATGTGCAAGGGAGGTACATTGTTGACCCAGTTGGTTGTGTCCGATGAGATGCGCGGAAATGTGGGTGCAGATTTAAGTTCGAGTCGGAGTGTAGATGCAAGTGCAGATACAAGGGCAGACACAAAGGCAGACGTAAGGGCAGACACAAAGGCAGACACAAGTGCAGACGCAAGGGCAGAGATAGGTACCCATCAGAATGACCAAGCCAATGAGTCTTCCCAGTTAGAACCGAATGATCAATCGGAATTCGTTCCAAGCGTTGATGGGGAAGATGGTTTTCCTCTCTTAGACACCCCCAAGTCGGAATCAAAAACAGAGAAATTGAATACGAAAGAAACAAGCGAAAATAACGATTCCCCTGAATGTATACAACAAGGATGTATAAAAAAGGAGCCAATAATTTTGATAGATAAGGTAGAAAGATGTTTAGTAGTTGAATGGTATGAAAATGAAATAAGAAGGGAGCAAAGAATATCATATAAAAAGTATGGAAATGATAAAGCGAAATTAAGAGCAAAAGAATTAATCGATAAATTAAAATCAGGAATAACATTTGAACAGTTATATCCAGATAAAGGACCACCAATTGTTCGCGTTTATGAAGATGTTGGAATCTATAGAGTATCATTAATAAGAGATAGAATAGAAAGGGAATGGAGGGTTGAATGGTTTGATAATGGAATTCCTATGAAGGCTAGATGGTCCTGTAAAAAAGTAGGAAATGATGAAGCACAGAAAAGAGCTGAGACATTTGCACAGAGTATGAATGAAGGCATTTTTAATCCTATACTTTTACACAAGGCTACGGGTACTCGCTTTTCACGATCTGATAGAACTGTTGTTAAGATTAATGTTTACATGAAAAAAAATATTAAGAGAAAAAGTAAATGTAAGATAATTAAAGGAGGTGAGAAATGCACTACATTGAAAGGAAAAGGAATTAGGAGTGGATTAAGAAAGTCAAAATTGAAAAATACTGATCAATTCATCGAAACTGTAGTTGACAACTGTTCAAATGTTGTTAATAGAAGCAATAAACATGATGGAAGCGCTTTTGATAATGTTTTTTGTCATTATGATAATACCATGGTAGATGTAATATCTGATCCTAATTTTTTAGCTAGTCCATATGGAAGTAAAGATGCTAGTACAACTATAGATGAAGACAATTCTAAATTATTGATGAATGATAAAAATTACCTTTCAAATAATTATCCTCAGGATGGGACTAAGAGGTTGAACAGAACGGTTGATAAAAAGAAGAATTACACCCCAAGGGAAAAAGGAACAAAGGGAAAAGAAAGAACTAAAAAGAGCACTAAGATGGGTTCTAAATTGAAGGGAAAGATGATAAACAGAATGGTAGATAATAACATGGGTTCTGGAACTAATGGTCCAAACGAGATAGATCTTTTCACGTGTTGTACACTATTGGACGGCCAGGATATTCCTCATTTCGCATCTAACAATAATCATCATCTGGAAGAATCTAACATTTGTTATTCATCCATTCGATACAGTCCGAACGGAGGGAATATTCTTTTAAATTGTAAAAATGGGAACATAGAATCTTCTAATATGGAAAATAGCTATTTAAAATCCAATGAGAATTATGATGGTTATTGTACGAATACTCATATGATAAAAGGGGTTGATCAATCCACTCATTATGAATATGCTATTAAAAATAATAACCAAGAAAAATGTGACAATTTCAACGTTAGTCATGATAATATGCATTATGGAAATATGCAAAACTTTCATTATTGCAGAGAACATATCCAAAGTGATCAAATGGTATGCACCGATCTGAGTGTAAGGAATTGTGCAAATCCTTCCTTTTTGAGAATAGAGGAATATAATCCCTTCAGCAACAACCCCTGCTTGATGAATAAGAACAGGGAAGGAATTCCTGACATTAATATTTTTCGAACACATGATTTTATTCACTCAAGTGAAGTAGAAAAGGGACATGCAGTTAGCGAACTCGTGGGTGACTCCATAGTTGGAAATATCCACAATGTGCAAAACCAACTGAAAAATAAAAAAAATTCCAAGCATCGTATATGTCATTTGAGGAAAATAAGTAAATGTGAAGTGGACGAGAATAGCACGGGGGGCACGAATGTATGTAAGAAGAGCCAAAAAAATAAGGAGACCAAGTATGTGCACAAGGGCAAAAAAGAGAAAAAAAAAAAACATATCACAGGGGTTGATAGCGGAGTTGGCATCGGACATGGTAGCTGCAATGGGATCAGTAATAATAGCTGCAATGGGATCAGTAATAATAGCTGCAGTGGGATCAGTAATAATAGCTGCAATGGGATCAGTAATAATAGCTGCAATGGGATCAGTAATAATAGCTGCAATGGGATCAGTAATAATAGCTGCAATGGGATCAGTAATGAAGTCGAAAGGGGCAACGACGGTGAGCACCATACAGACGAGTTACATAACAAGATGGAGAGAAAAAAAAGAAAGAGAAGTACAAACAGAATTTTTAAAAGTGATGATTTCCTAGTTGACGATGAGTTGTGTAATTATTTTTCTTCGTATCATAAGACGCAACATAGGAAAAGCAAAAGGACTATGAAGAGTGAGATGAATGGTGTTACAAACAACACTGTAGATGATTCTGTTGGATCCTATGTGGATAGTCAATATAATTATGTTCCTCGTGTTGCATGTGTGCAGAAGAGTGATTTCATGCCTAGGGGTTGTGATGATAAAAATTCAGGAGAAATCGCAGAAAGTGAATTTGTGCTACAGTCCGGGAGGCAGTTGGGGCCTATCAATGCAGAAATGGATGTGAGTTCAGACGCGAACATTAAGGTGAATGGAAATGTGTGTGACAGCCTGAATGGAAATATGTGTGACAGCCTGAATGGAAATGTGTGTGACAGTCTGAATGGAAATGCATGTGGCAATCTGAATGGAAATGTGTGTGACAGTCTGAATGGAAATGTGTGTGACAATGCGAATCGATTCGAAAGTGCACAGAACTCGTTAAATGCCTTAGGGAAATACCACGTAAGGGAAGAAACACTTAAAAAGGTACAGAGACGTATGAAAGTTTCAAAGTCCAGTCGAGCTAGCCAAAATGTTGAAAAAGTAGCGGAATCAATAAAAGCACAGGAGGACCTATTTTTTTGCAATCAAAGGAATTTGACGAGATCATCCCAAAGGATGTTCGAGTTATATGAAGAAAAGAACGAGAATGCATGTGGTGGACTCAACTCTTATGCAACGTGTAGTGGAGGTGATATATTAATTAACGATTCTAGTTTCGCACACACGCCCATTAACAATAATAGGTGCAGGAATGGTGAGACATATAATGAGAATAATCAAAATGGAAAAGGTGATTCTTGTGTAAAGAACTATGATCATGCAAATAGCGCTTATTATAAAATGGTGCCTCCTTATTGCAATGTGCAAACAGAAGCGTGCAATAATAATATGACTGAACGAAAAACTCACATAATGAATTTAAGAAATAGGAAAAACAGAAAGAAAGTAGTGAATATTAATGATCATTTGAGTGATGATTATCATCAGAAAAAAGATTATTTAAATTACAATTTGATTAAAAATAGTGAAATTGAATTTGTTGAAAACCCAAGAGGGTATAGAGTACCATATAAATACCAGTCTAGAATATTTTATGAACATTTTGAAGTTCCATTAAATTCACAAAAGGAATTTGAAATACAGCAAATTTATTTTGCCTGCTTGTTTTCTTTACATATATTAGCAGTTGGGTGGAATATCAACAAGAATGCCAAAGTAGAGGATTACATACAAGAGTTGTCAAATCCTGAGTTCCGATCTATCATCTCGAACATTTCCATGGGTAGTGGTATACCTACTATTACTGGAATTAATAATTCTTTAAGAACCCTCGAACACGAAGGAATGATTCATAATAACAATGTTAAGCACAATGTCCAGAAAGTTAGCAAAATGGAGGAAGAAAATTGTGTCGAATTGCAACATGAAGTATTTTTAAAATCCAATAATTGTATGAATGCATGTGTTGATGGAGACTACCACTACATGAACAAAGAGGTTGAGTATGATAATAGTGCTCAGATTAATGAAAATGAATCTGTTCCTGTAGATGATATAAATTGTATGAGTGAAAATGTGGATGGATTAGTTAGACGAACTGTATTGGATAGAGGTGGAAAATATGATGGAGAATATAATTTGTGCGAAATGAACAATTTTAATAGTGCAAATGGTGTAAATGGTGTAAGCAATTTGAGAGGGTTAGATGAGACCAAGAATTTAGGAGTTTTAAATTATGAGCAAGAGGAGAGGGAAAACACGAATCTAATGAATTACGCAGAAATTGTAAATAATTATGAACGGGTATATCCGTTTAGGGATCCAAATGATGTTCGAAATTTAAGCGGCACATATGGTACACTGAATACAAACATGTTGCAGAACATGAGTAACTATGTATGTGTGGGAGATATAAATTATATGAATAATATGGGTGGAGAAATTTTTTTGAACGATTGTACCCAAATGAATGGGACGAACAATGGCACTGGAGGAATGAGAGCAGGATATCATGGAAATCTAGTAAGCAATGCAAACAGTACCATGGGAATAAGTTATCATATGAACAATTATGAATACTATAAAAATTTTGATTCTACAATTGAACAGGGCAACATGGTATATATGAAGAGACCAGATAAGCTAAGCACTATATGTGTGAACCCAGATGAATGTATGAATAATTTGAACGGATCGAACATTGATGGGATGATATTTACCAACATGAATTATCCTAATGAATTGAACCCACTACATCTAAATAGCAAAAACAGGATGAACCCATACATAGATACTAATTTGAATGAGGCATATGACCATGTAAGTAATTATGTGGATGTGAGTGAACCCTTTGATTATGAGCAAAAGGATGCGGAAAAAAGAATCCAAAGCTATATGCAAAATATGAACCTTCCCAACTTGAACATTGTGGGCGAACACTCCTTCACGAATTCGCTATGTTTGGACGAAGGTTGCATTGTGCCAATCCAGGAAGGAGAAGCGGCAGCTGGGGCTGAGAATGGGGTGGAAAATGAAGTCAAAAATGGGGTCAAAAATGAGGTCAAAAATGGGGTCCAGAATGAGGTCCAGAATGAGGTCCAGAGTGAGGTCCAGAGTGAGGTCCAGAATGAGGTCCAGAATGAGGTCCAGAATGAGGCCCAGAATGAGGCCCAGAATGAGGTCCAGAATGAGGTCCAGAATGAAACCAAAAATGAAGAACAAAATAACCTTATTTATGACGACACAAACGGAAATGTAAGCAACTATTACAACAGAGTGGATAAAAAGATGTACCATGTTCCCATGTTGGATAGTCAAAGGGGAGAAGACTGCTATGCACATGTGCATAGTAACATAATCGATAATAACAAGACAGATGCTTTATCAGTATGCGAGAATGTAGAAGGTCCATACGGAATGGAATGTAATGAGTATGAAGGATTACAGCCTACAGGAAAAAATGGCATTCACAGTAAGAGACATGGCCTAATGAAAGACAATTTGCACACATTGGACGTTGGCATGTGTGTAGGAAACAATGTGCATTTGGCAATTCATTCAAATATGAAATATAGACAAGATGAGGAATCGGTCTTAAGTCGCGTGCCTACAAATGAGCATGATGTGGTAAACATTGAGGAAAACATATTGCAGCACCCAAGGATGGGTTTCACAGTCTTACATTATGTAGAGGGGGATGACTTACATCAGGGAAATGGACTTAGGAAAGAGAATTACGTGTATTATAATAACTATGCTAACGTGTACAATGATATCAGAATGGTGGGGAATAATATACACAACGTGAATGAAGAAATTAGTTACAATAATGTTGACAAAAATGATGAAAACAGTAACACTAGCCAAGACAGCAGTATTGAGTATTACACTTACAACAATCACCATTTGAAATTTAACCATGTATTGAATAATCTGCAAAATTATGGTAACTTAGAAAGGGAAAACATTTCCTGCAATAATGTAGTGGATAGGCAGCCACAGTCTCAGTTTAATGACTTGTATTATCAGTTCAGTGTGTGCAATGGGGGGTCTAATCCGTCCAATTGTGACGTGGTGAGTGGAAGTATGATGAGTAATGACATGATGAACGATAGAATGGACTCCGGGTTGAGGAAGAAGCACGTGGATGACCTGAACAAGAACCAGAGCAATTATGACGAGATGGTATACAACAACTATTCTAAGGAAGGGAATTTAACATCCACGTCTATATCTACATCCATGACTAATGCAAAAGATATAAGTAACTATGCATATTACACAAACAGGAAAATGATCGATAAGCTAAGGTCAACTTCTAATTCTAGTACTATAAATACTGAATACCTCCCCAGTAATCTCTTAAACTCCATAAGCATGAACAATATGTGCCCCTCCAACAATATTAATGAGCAGGCGCACAAGTAGAGAAAAAACAAAAAAAAAAAAAAAAAAAAAAAAAAAAAAAAAAAAAAAAACAAAAAAAAAAAAAAAAAAACAGAGCAAGGCAAAAATGACCAAATACGTAAATAAAAAATTTAACGATTAGCTTAACCGGACCAACAGATTCATGTTCAACTAATCCTTCTAACTATAAACGGAGAGTTTGGCATAACATTAGGATTAGGATTCCATTTGAGTGAGAATTTATGTTAGTATAATGTGTATTTTTTTGTAGAAAAAGATGAAACGGCGAATTGAATGGAAAATGGCGCAATTTGGCCTTCTCCATGTGAAGCCGTTTCAATCAGCGTACAGTGGTAGACAGGAATTTTTTTTTTTTTTTTTTTTTTTTTTTTGATATTATATACAGTACCAAGTATGGGACTCTTATATTGTGGCAAAACTGTTTTTCCTTTTTTCCATTTAGTCTAGCACAGCACAAATTTTTCACTTTTTTTTTTTTTTTTTTTTTTTTTTGTTCTCGTGTAAATTCAACATTTGTTTTGTTATCATCCATTTGAACTTTTTATAAAAATGAAATGCAACAAGAATTGTGATCAGATGGTTAATTTGAAAAGTTGACTCATGAGAAGATATATTTTCCAGTTAGTGTTAACATGTTGTGTATATGTTTACGATTGCGTTTACACATCACGGAGATGGGAATTTAAGGATGTTCGTCGGGTTTTAAATGTATGTAATGTTTAAGCCGCTTGAAGATTTTGTTTTGTTGTTCTTTTTTTTGCATTTTTATATAATATACATGTGATATTTTAGCATTAGCACAGGGAATGTTTGAGAGGGGAGGAAAGTGTGAATTTTTTTAGGTTCATGCTATAAGTACTTTTTTTCTTGAAATATAATGATGTTGATAGCACATGCTTGTAGGGAATATTATATCAGGTGAAGATAAGTTCAATGTTTATAATTATCTCATTTTGCACCCTTATAACAAGAAAAAAACAAAAAAAAAAAAAAAAATAAAAATAGAGCGAGAAATAAAATAAGTTGGAATAAAGCGAAAATGTTCCATGTAATAAACCACCTTCATGTGAATAAATTGTAGTGTGCTCTGATAAGAACTGTTGGACAAAAAAAAAAAAAAAAAAAAAAGAAATTCAGAATATTGAAATCTTGCAATATTTTTATTCTATTTTTCTCCTTAATGAAAACTTTTTGAATAGGTGTTTTTGAACCCTTGCGATATTGGAAAACAGAGAGTTCGGAAGGCATAAAGGCTTACGAAAAGTTTACACAAAATGAGCACGTGTAGCTATACATGCATGAATATGCAGGTATGCATTACATGTTTTTTTCCGTGTATATGCACGTAAATCCTGAATCGAAAACGTTGGAGATTTACTTAATAAAAAAAAGAAAAAAAAAAATTGAGTCACACATGCATACATATGTATATATATATATATGAAAAAATCAATTGAAGTTATGATTTTCCCTTTAGGTATGCTTTTATTGAGGTCTCCATCATTTTTTTTTTTTTTTTTTTTTTTCATTTTCAGAATGAACTTATATGGTAGTAATAGGAGTAAACAAATTTTGTAAATTGAATAGCGTTATTTAAAAGGGGAAGAAATAAAACACACCAAAGAAATGCAGAAAGGGAAAAGAAAAAAGAAGCCTTAGAAACAGGAAAACAGTGTATGCACAAATGTATGAATGTATGTATGTATGAATGTACGTATGAATGTATGTATGAATGTACGTATGAATGTATGTATGAATGTATGTATGAATGTATGTATATTATACACATATATACATTATGGTATACGATGAAGCTACATCATACCTAGTTATTGTTCTACATGTTATATGAGAAGTACAGATGAGTTAAACTATCTTATACTTTTAACACGAGCCCAGTTTATATGAATATTTGTATGTATACACCTACCATAAAATCATGCTCCCTACCTTTTCATGATCTTCTTCCTACATGCTTAAGCAAGTGTACAAAAGTCGTTTAATGTGATTCACCTTCATTCATTCGACCATTCGTTCATTTGTCCATCTGTTCATTCATATTTTGTAAATATCACACAGTTGCAGTATATATTTAACCTTACAAGTGTAAATAGGTGGGTAAATTTGCAATGAGCTCTTGTAATATAACAAGCCAAAAGTAAAAAAAAAGAAAGGAAAGGAAGGGTAGGAACATAAATCTTAAGTTGTGTGTAGGAAGGTTTTTTTTTTTTTTTTTTTTTTTTTTTTTTAAATTATCAATGATAGGAAAATATGAAGAATGTAAAATCAAATAGGTAATTACTAAATAAAACGAAATTAGAAAAAACATATATATATATATATATATATATATATATATATATTACTAACAATTTAGAAAGGTTTAAAAAAGAAATATATGACTGTTCAGAAAAAGTGCAAGGAAAAAAAAAAAAAAAAAAAAGTCTATATACGTATTAATAGTTCAGAAAAAAAAGTGACAGGAAGATAGCAGAATTTAGAAAGTGCCAAAGGAGAAATGATGAATAGATATGCGATTAAAAGGGTTTATAAATATGAACAAGAGTATAAAAAAATACATAAATATATGAATATAGGAATTGACTATAAATCTAGATTTCACAATAGTACGTGTGAGGGAAATTTTGTAAATACAGGGATTGCCAGAATAAATAAGAAATTATTCCTGTGCAATAGCTTGAGAAGACGCAAATCCACCAAGAGCAAACTTGTTAGGGCATTGTGTTATAATTTCAGAAGAGGTGTGTTGTATTCGTGTAACACACAGAATACTAAGCTGCGTATGAATGGTGGTGTAATAGAAGGAAGCAGGGTGAAAAAGGAGAAACCTGAAGAACGGGAAGAACGAGGAGAAGAGATTAAGCGAACTCGAATTGGTGACTCACATGTGAGGAGAGGAGCGACGGAAGAAGTGGAAAACAACACACAATTTTTAAATGTATTAAGACATAAACATATTTTAAGCGTTTCTGATAAGTGTCCCATATCTGGTTTTTGCATTTCAAGTAAGATGAAAAGAATAAAATTCAGGAATTTCACACAAATTGTTGGAGTATCCATAAAAAAGGAGAAGTGCATGAAATTTTCCCGATTAAGTATCAACGAAGTGTTAGATTTTATACGTAAAAATTTATCAAGGAAAAATGACATAAAAACGTGGAACAGCATATTTATTCAGTTAGATAAATTAGTGTCGAAAAAAAGCAAGAGTGAAGAATACAAAGTAGAAATTAATGGATTTTTTGATAAATTGTCAAATTTAGAATATTTCATGGTTTTAAACCATCTTAAGGATGTCGATGAAAACGTGAAAAATAATATTTTGAATAACTTATTTTTTGAATGCTTCGTTATGTCCTTGAGGGAAAGGGATATTACCAATTTACACGAAAGAGGGAAATGTGTCGAAGAATTGGAAGGTGCTATTGAAGTTGAATCTAAAGTGTATGAAGAGGTTCCTGGTCATATGGGAACAATGGATATTCTGCAAATGGAAAAGAAAAGCGAAAGTAAAGTAAAATCATACATGAAAAATTTAAAGAATCTTTTAAGTATTTCTGGGGGTAGGAAGAGCCCAAAGGGAGGGGACGTAATAGAACATGTGAATGAAGAAAATAGGGATTGGATTAACAAGGAATCACAGAAAAATCAGCTTCAGTTAAAGGGAGAAGAGAAAAAATTAGACACTTTTGAAAACAACTTGGAAGCAGAATGTGCAAAGATGAACATTCCCCATAGCAATACTTGTGCAATTTCGAATGAATACTATAGTAGAGAAAAATCAGGAAGACTGAAAAAACAGAATGATGCTTCAAGGAAAGAGACATTGTATGATGTGAGAATGATTAAGCGGTGGTTTAATCTGATGAATTACTTTTCAAATAAATGTGAATATGTTCCTATTTTAAGAGATTATTTAAATAGAATATTTAGACAACATATTGATACATTGATTAGTGAGAATTACTTTTCGAAAACGGTACATCATTTGACAAATCAAATAAACAGTAAAAGCATACATGCACTTATATGGACTTACGAGAAAAAGTTAGATTTAATGAAACCATACGATTTTAGTTACAGTTTAATTATATTATTACGATTTTTAGTACTAAATCATAATTTATTTAATAAAATAATTGATTATGCTATTGCAAATCCTTTATCTAAATTTGAGAATGAAAAATATTTCATTCGTTTTATAAAGAGTGTAGATAATTATCCTTTGATTTATCCTTCTAATTTGGACTTTAACAATACCGAATTTTTTCAATCCAATATGAAAGATTTGTATAATTTTACTTTTTCAATATTTCTTAAAAAATTAAATAAAAAATTGAAATTTTATTCTTTAAATAATTTATTATTTTTATCCGAATGTTTAGGAAAGGTTATTTTTATTCCTAATACACAAAATCAAATTTTACATATGTTTATAAACAAGTTGAGATACCACATAGATAATTCTTTAAACCTTTCAAGTGTCGACAATTTTACTTTGATACGTCTTTTTAAAATTAGTTCTTTCTTTTCATTTGTTCCAGAAATGGAAATTTTTTTGAACACTTCAACAAAGAGCCTTAAGAAAACTCGTAAGTTGGTTCAAGACGCGGATGCTCACTTCAGACCGTACGTTGAAGTCTCTTTAGGGGATATTGACGAGTTGGAAGTTCTCTCTAGAGAGGCAATAAGTGGTAGAGAAGGTGGAGAAGATGTAGATGGTGGAGAAGATAGAGATGGTAGAGAAGATAGAGATGGTAGAGATGGTAGAGAAGATAGAGATGGTAGAGATGGTAGAGAAGATAGAGAAGCGACACAGTCAAATGACATCCACCTGGACATAATGAAGTATGTGGAACCTTCACTGAATGAATTGGAAACACGAAAAATGAAATCGACGAAAGTTGTTCAAGTGGGTGAAGAATCCCAAAAGGCTGAAGACTTCTCAAATGATACACATTTGAAAGAGGAAAAAAAGAGTATTATGAAGGAAAGCGCATCTAGTTTAAATAAAAAAATTCTAAAGAATAGAAATGACAAGACGATAGATGAAAAGAACAAAAAGAAAAGTATATGTTTCAACATGAATGATGAGAAAGTGATAAATTATTATTATGAGAAGTCTGAGGAAACAGACAGATGTTATCACAGAAATTTTTTAACGAGCTATGATTTGTACCAAGTGAAAGATAATGCATATGAAATGAACAGCTACCTTTTGAATTACAATTTAAGTCATGACAATAGTGGGAAGAAATATAAGAAGAATAAATTTTTATTAAAAAATATTGTAATGTTATTATGTGCTCATATTGACAAAAATTTGGATGATGTAGTTAAAGAGTTGAAAAAGTTAAGGAGCACAGGAGGTGCAAATTTAACCCCATTATCATTGTCACATATAGGAACAACTTCATCTGAAGTTTCGACCCACACATCAGTGTCCTCCCCAATGAACGTAGCTTGGAATAAAGACAAATTAGTGATCGAAATTAAACACATAAATGAGAAAAATGCAGAGAGAGGTTCCAAGTGTAAGAGTGATAAGAATATGTATATGGAAAATGAGCTGTACAAGAGTTATTTAATTTTTTATGATTTTAGTGTTCTAAGTGATATAGTGAAGTTTACACATTTTTCCATCAACACTAATAAACATACTTATGATTTAATAAAATCCATAAAGAGAAAGTTAGAGGAAATGATCCAGTTTTATGATTTCAATAAAGTATCGAAAATAGTTGGTGGAAAACTACCCATAGGATGTGTAAGAAGCGTAGCGATGAGGAACATTTCCATATTTCAATTGCATGACTTTTATTGTGCATGTAACAATTTTAGCCCATCATTTTTGTTTGGATTTTTTGATATTCTGTTGAAACTGACACCTAAAATAAATATTATAAATGTAGATAAAGCTAGCGATTTGTTTAACAAGAAAAATATTCACAAAATGGAACATCTGGAAATTTTTGAAAAGGTGAGAGATAGAAATATAACCATTCCGTTTATCGTTTCTTTGTTGAGATCATTAAAAATAATCATATCATCAAATTTATTCCTTTCGAATAATTTACTTAATGAGCATATTACCACCATGGTTCAGTATTCTTATTACGTTTTGTTGTTTTATTACTATAATAAATATAACAAGAGGCATGAAAAATATGGCAAAGATTTCAAGAATTTGAAAGATGAGGAAGTATATCTAGCAGAGAGAAGAACAAACATGGATCATCCTCCTTCTTCTTCTTCACCTCCTCCTTTTGAATCACCCTCACTTGGTTCTCCAACACGGTCTGAGCAGAAAGATCTAAGGAGTGGTATTTTGTTTTCTAACCGTAATGATAAAACGAAGGGGAATGTTAAACACGGGAAAAATACTACATCTGAACAATATCACCATAGAAGCAACCATGACGATGCTGATAAGGTCGATGTTGATGAGGATGAAAATTTTCAATTCCAGGGAACATACAAAGGTGTTTGTGCAGGAAGACGTGGTACAAATAAAAAAGGGATAGAACTGCTTCGAGAGGAGGGTGATATTTATGGTCGCATGGAAAAGGAACAAATGGAAAGTAATAAAGGTATGTATAGGAATGGGATAGAATTAAATGATGGAAGGGGAAGTAATTATTGTTCTGCTGTGTTTGATGATAGTAGTGACTGTTCAGCCATTTCGAGTATAATAAAATTAAATAAGAAAAATAAAAAATTATGCTTATTTGAAGATTTATACTTGGAAGATTTCTGTAATATTTACTTGTGTTTATCAACATCATTGTATTTTTTAAATAGAACTGATGAAAAGTCGAATAAAATAAAACATTTAATATATTTAGAAGATAAATTTCTCAAGTTAGTAACTAAAGTAAAGTATATGAAATATTTGTCCGAAAATTTTATCTTTTTTTTATTTAAAGCACCATCCACATTTAAACTAGAAGAAGCATTTGATGGAATAATTCCATCTTTAAAAGTATATAATAGGAAAAGTAAAAAGACAAGTGAACTTCTCTCATCAATAACACATTCTCAGAAGATGAGAATTTTGAGTTTACCAGCAGCAACTGCTTTTTTCTTATGCAAAATAAAATTGTCTATGTCATCCAGTGGTAGTAAAGAAGCTAATATCGTACGAATAGAAAATATCAAAAAATTGTTTGAAATTTTAATGTGTGATTATAAGTTGCTCTCTGATTGCGTTGAAGAATTATTTATTAATCGCAAGAAAGTAGGTTCAGGTGAAATTCTCCATCACAGGGATGGAGAAGCAGATGGTATAGCAGATCATAACGGAGGAGAAGAAGAAGAAGAAGAAGAAGAAGAAGAAGAAGAAGAAGAAAAAGGAAAAGAATGGGGACAAGGTTACGGATCGGCAAATGGATCGGATAATTCAATGAAAAAAGGTTCTTTTGAAGAACAAAACAGAGTGTACCAATCGAAAATGGGCACAACAGATAGAAGTAACAAATACCTTGATGGAGTCACGAAAAAAAAAAGAGCTTATTCTTATTTACCCTATCTGTTGTCAAATAAAGTGGATGTGAAGCAAAATGCATATTTCGAAATGTTAATAGGAGATATGTTTTTTGGTGTACATGAAGTTAAAACATTGTATGATCTTCAAAACAGTTTACTAAAAACAGTTAAACATTTAGAAACTGCCCAAATTAATTTGAAGGTGAATTATAAAATTACACAGATACAACCAATTCATAATGATGTCTTGGGATACCTAGCTGAGTTATCCAATGTAGTGAAGGATTGTCTATACACCATTTTCCTTTCACAGCCATATATTCATAAGTCTACAAAAAAGTATACGACAAAAAGTTTAGTTAATTATTTTATTAACAAGTGCAAATTTGTCAGCGATTACAACATTTTCGATGATTGCAATAATAAATCTTTTAACGAGTTGAAACGCAGCAAATATATGACCAATGAATTTTGTCGCTAATTTTTTTCAAATCCTAAACCCTTTTCCCCTCCAATATTTGAATAAAATTATAACTCCTATATATTACTTCCTTACCTGGAATGGAATTAAATATCAAGTTTTTTTTTTTTTTTCTTTTTTTTTCTCCATTCGATGAATAATATGTCTATTCTTTTTTGTCATTCCTATATAATATATGACCTTGGCGTTTTGCCATTTCGTTTGTCCCTCATTTTTTTTTCGCCTGCCCACCCCATAAAAAAAAAAAAAAAAAAAAAAAAAAAAATCGCAAAGGATTAAATTGGGACGAATGGCACAAAGGCAAAGCAGTAGTGCTGTCTTTGTTTAGTTCACAACAAAATTTATAAAATTTGCTCAGTCCCTTATGTGTGACTGGGGTGTCACTTTATGTTGATACAAATATAATTTAACCACCAGTTTGTTCACGCGATGTTCAGGGTATTTGCCCGTACATATACTAGCCAATTTATACATTTGCCTATTCATACGTTCGCCCATTTATATATTCGCCTGTTCATACATTTTCCTATTTATGTAGTCTTCTATTTATTTACGACCCCCCTTATATTTCCTCTAATGTTATGTTAAACTTTACAAACCACTTCACTTGACACATTTGGATAAATTCACATCCAATTATTATATTTCTCAAGTTTATTTTTGTTCCCCCATGTTTCTGCATTTCGAGCATGTAAAATATATATATATATATATATATATATATATATATCCATCGTTTCCTTTTAAGTTAGAATAAAGCATATGCACGATGAAGTGGAATATGTTTGGCGATGTAGCACATTCGCTGATATGAATTCAAGAGTGTACATGTCGAGACAACTGTGATTTGTTTGACTCATGATCCATTCAACCTTTTTTAGTAAATATACCCATAACACATACCGAATTAAAGAAAAGTAAAATATATGAGACAGTATGTTGGCCAATAGCACGTCCAAACCTTTTTCACATTGTTGTCTACTCAAATCATTTTTTTCCTATCCCTTTGTCTCTTGTCCATTTCACAATTTTTGCGAAGCTGTGTATTCGTTCGTTTGTTCGTTGTTCTCTCAGTTTTTTTTTTTTTTTTTTTTTTTTCTAAGTCGTGTGCAACATCTCGCAACACTTCTCAATTTTTTTTTTTTGGTGCACCCAATTCTCCCTGTATATCCGGATATTGTTCCTAATTTCTCGTTTCAAGTGCAATATTTAACTGGTCGGAAAAAAATATCAAACCAGTTAACGGCAAAGTAGGCACAAACTCGTCCCCTCGGGTTGGAAATAGAACCTGTCTCTTTTTTTACGCTTGGGAAAAATATTGTTTTAAAGAAAATGTCTCTATCTGAATGAAAAACAAAGTTGAGACTATAAGCAAATGATATAGGAATTGCTTCAAAATTGCTTCGAAATTGTTTCGAAATTGCTTCAAAATTGTTTCGAAATTGCTTCAAAATTGCTTCGAAATTGCTTCAAAATTGCTTCGAAATTGCTTCGAAATTTCTGTAAAATCGCTGCAAAATCTGATCTACCAAACAAAATAAGAACCTGGGCTCTTTGGCACAATACCCATAGCAAGGACAAGGTAGACAAAGGTTAAATGCCTACGCGAAGGGTAGGAAAGAGCAATAATTGACATATATTTGTATTTCCATTAAGGCAAAAATGATTTAAAAAAAAGAAAAAGTATAATGAAGATTCTCTCTCCTCGTGATAAAATTTATCATTTATAAGAATACGCATATTGAGAATCTTACGCGAAAATGGTGTAGCACATGCTCTATTAAATGTAACATTTTTGCACATTTTTAAAAATGTGGAGAAGATGGAGAAAAAAAAAAAAAAAATGTGGAGAGGGGTGGAAAAAAAAAAAAAAAATGTGGAGAGGGGTGGAAAAAAAAAAATTGATTCTTCATCTCAACAAAAAGAATAAGTGAGGGCTATTTTTTTTTTTTTCTCCCCTCTCCACATTTTTATTTTTTTTTTCTTTTATATTAAACATAGACTTTTAATTTGAGAAGAGAGGTCTTAAAGATACATGAACAATTGTATATAAGTAGACAAAATTAAGATAATCTTATGTGTGCTTTAATGGGTAAAGTGAGGCGATATTTAAAAATATCTCTAAAATACATGCACGTGTGTGGAAAGAAGCCAAATTTTTTTTTTTTTTTTTTTTTTTCCCCCTTCCATGTGATTGTAGAAGCATAAATTGTTAGTAGTAAACGAAATACTAAGAGGGACCTGAATCATTATTTTTTATATGCGAAACCTAAGTTAATTTATGAATCTTGTCTAAACAAACATATGGTCTATGGTTTTGCTCCTATACCTATATATGTGAACCTATAGAATGAAGCACATATATATATACACACATGAACATACTTTTAGCCAAAAATGTCAACCGAAGAACTGAACGAACAAAGTGCTGTACAGGACGAAGGTTCAAAGTTAGAAAAAAATGAGTTATCAAAGGAAGACAAAAACAAGGGTGATGAAAATAATGAAAATGTCCAAAAACGATTCGAAGCCCTAAATAATACTATCGAAAATATGAATATGCATTTTAATACCATACTAAAGGATAACGAAGAGAAATATATATTGGCATTCAACACATATATGTACGATGTTCAGAAAGAAATACGAGTTTTGAAAAAAATTGTCAAGGAAGAAAAAATAAGAGAATTAAAAGATGAAAAGGTGAAAAAACTACAAAAGGAACTTAAATGGTATATAAACGAATGCTTAAGGTTGGACAACGTTTCTCAGTTTTTGAAAAAGGAAGCTGAAAAGTGGAAGAGGAATAGCGAACTTATGAAAAATCACATGTTGTTTTTGGAAAAAAAATTAGCCAAAATGTATGATAAGGTGATTCTAAAGGAGATGGTAAAGAACGAGGAAGGTGGAGAGGTCAAAGTGGGAAAAATGGATGAAAATTATATACATGAAAAGGAAGAAAGTAAGAAGGGTAAGTTTTACGGAAATGTAGGAAAAAAACAGAGAAGAAATAATGCCCGCCATAATGCTCAGAAAAGAGGGGAAGCTGAGGACCAATGTGAATGCGGAAATATTGAGAACAAAACGAAACAAAAATCCAAAAGAGAAGATAACATGAATAAAGAATTAAATTACAAGGTAATGAATTTGGAAAAGAAATTAAAGAAACAAATAAATATAAATTGTACTTTACAGGAAAAGCTGACAAGGCATTATATTGAAAAATCGCAATATGAAAAATTATTTATTGAATGTGCTCATCAAATAAAAAAAGACTTGGGGAAATTAACGATGAGTAATGATAAGGAGAAATACGTAGAAGAAAATTTCTTGCCATTAATAAATGGTTCCGAATTAAGCTACTTTACCAAAGAGGAGAAAAAAAAATTATTAGTATCCTTTTTTGCTTCAAATGATTTAATTCAATTTGTGAAGAAAAACGTTTTCTGTAAAGAAAGACCGTCAATGAATTTGCAACCAACAAATAGCTACCCCAGAATAGGCATGAGATATCAGAAAAAATGCGACATTTCGCCGTTTATTTTGTAAATCCATCATGTGTATCCCCGTATTAAATAACCCAACACAAGAACATGTGAATGGGGACGAACATTTCCACATTGGTAAAAATGTGTAAATTTATGAAATCACATGTTTATATACATTTTAGGGATAACATGAATCATTTATGAACTAGCTTTTTTTTTTTTTTTTTTTGGGGGGGCTTATTTTTGGCATTTTCTTATTCCATGTTCATGTAATTTTTAATTTTTTTTTTTTTTTTTTTTCTCAATTTTATTCTGACTTTTTAACAAAAAATTGTTAAAAAAAAAAAAAAACTTTTAAAAAAATACCATAAAAATGGCATCTTTCAAAGGAACAAGTTAGAATTATTCAATATTTTGAAGTGCTATTTTTTGGACAAGCCTTGGCAGCGAGAGGGAAAGAGGAAATAGCTCCCCCTTTTTGCTTATTTCCCAACATTCAGGTATACGCAAAAAAATATGCTCCTTGAGTTGATTGAACTGAAAAGGGGGCTGTGAAAAAAAAGAAAAAAAATATATGTATGGCAATAATAAAAAGGAACACAACTATGAGGTGAGAAACAAACATGCACATATATATATATGCATCGTGCGTGAATATTTATGGTCTTCGTTTGCACACATTTATGAAAAGCCTTGCACGCAGTGTTACAAAAGACGAAAATTCAAGAAAAAAAAAAAACCCAAGGATAAGGAAGAAACATTCTGCTGATTGTACACAAGAAAAAATGTAACTATTCATATGCATACAAGAACGCATACTTGAATATGTTTACACACCCACACGCAATTGTGGGATGTGCTCCTATCTTAGGATAAATACCCTTTTTAAATGATTACCTAGATATCCAGAGCAAGTACATTTTACACACCCAAAAATGTTCTTGATAAATAGAATAAAGGAAATATTTTACGAGGAGGAAGGTAAGAACAAATCAGAAGAACAAAAGGAGAAAACGAAAGTTCATATTAGTGAACTGAAGGACGAAATATGGATATACAAAAATGAGCATAAAAAGGAACATTTAAGTGAAGAAAAAGGTAGTGAATACGAAAGTGAAGAAGATTTTTATGATGAAGAAAATGAAAAAAAAAAAAAAGATCATTTTTTAGAAGTACCTTTATTTGATGAAGATGAGTATGGGCGCAGTATCAAAAAGAATTTGGTTAATTTACTTAAAAATCATGTTAACGTAGTTTTCTTTTCTTTTCTTTTTTTTTTTTTTTTTTTTGTTAAAAGAGTTTTCTGCTTTTTTTTGTTTTCCAGATCAAAATGTGCACATATGATATATATGTCTATGAGTGCTTAATCCAGCCTATGTCAACGTTTTTTTTTTTTTTCTTACATATATCTTGTCTTTTAACAAATATGTTTAGAGGTATCCTCCAGATAGGAAAATTAAAGCAATAAAAAAAAATGAAGAGCCAGAAATTAGCGACGAAAGTTTAAGTACAACTGATGAAGAAGAAGACATTGAGGAGCCATTTCTTGATTTATATGAAGAATTAAAAGTTAGTACACGAACTTGTTGAGTTGCGTCGAAGTCTATATGTCGTAAACAAATAATGAATTGTGATGAATTGTTCCTAAATTTTATTTCGGCGTGTTTATTTGTGCTTATCCGTTCGAATTGTTTTTTTTTTTTTTATGTATCCTTAGTTTATCTTCTTTTTCGGTTTTTTTACTTCCCTCCGAAATAGAGAGAACAAATCGCAAAGGAATTCTATAACCCAATGCTTAGACCTCGATTATGGCGTTTTGAATTTTTTATAAAGAGCATCCATAACCTAGAAAATCAGTTACAAAAGAATTTTTATTTAATATCCTTTGGGAATATCAAGTAAAAACTCGAATTAAATGGGGAATATATGCACGGGATGTTCCATTCCGTATAACATCGCTTGTGCAAAAGTAGGTGTGTGATAGTGTATTTACCCGAAATAATTGAACTCTTTATTCTTTTGAAGGAAACTGAAGCTTTATGGAAACCTGAAGATGGAGGTGTTATACACACCTGGATATTCCATAGAACCAGGGGAAGTCAAATACTTGAAAATTCCACGTAGGAAGAGAGAACAGGAGAGAGAACCGGTGAAAGAACAGGAGAAAAAACAGGAGAGAAAACAATTTGGAGTAAATATTGGCATGTATATATATATATATATATATTTGTGTATAAAAACTTATATCCGTATATATGACGAAGTGAAAACAAATGTAAAAAAAAAAAAAAAAAAAAAAAAAAAAAAAAAAACATGAAAATATCATTTTGCACGAACACTTTCATGTCACCTTGAATCCCCTTTACAGTGCCCGTTTGGGCGGAAAAGGAGCTGAGCATATCTTATGAGGATTTGCAAAATTTCGAAATAAAAATAGAAATGTGGCGAATAAAAGGATTTATATTTAATGAACTATATTCCTCTTCCAAAAAAACATTGAAGGAGATTATTGAAAATGATCCAGACACGAACATAATCCTTAGAAAGAAGATAGAGAAAAAGAACATCACTTTTGAGACCCAGCGTTTAGGGGTAATTTTCTCATTCTCTGTTTTTCGCGTTTCTCTCTTATGTATTTATCCAACAGATATTTTCCCCCGTTTCGCTTACTGGGGGGGTTCACTCAAATTGAACCATTTCGACCACATGCATAAATGTATAAATATATAAATGTATATATGTATAAATATATAAATATATAAATGTATATATGTATATATGTATAAATGTATATATTTATATATATATGCATACTTATCTGCTTTACCCTCTAGGTGTATATGCAATTGTCAGAGATATTCGAATTTCACATGGCGTTGGACAGCTGGTGGTTCATAGCAAATGTCGAAATGCCCCAATATTTAAAAGCTCTACCAAAAATTTTACGATTCAAATTTCCCCTAAGTGAAGATGATTGGGTTATTCACAGTTCGCACAAGTCACACAATAATTTTTGGCTTTACCCTGGATATTTTTGCTTTATTGGAACTTATCAACAATTAGCAAATGCCTTTTTTATCCTCACAGTAATATATTTTTCATTTTTTTTTTTTTATTGCACCAAAAGGGAATGTTTTATTACGTACCCTATTTTTGTTTGCTTATGTGGGATACACTCTTGTGTGCTAATGAGCAGATTCCTTCTCTCGAGAATGTATGAAATCTGTTCTGTCCTGCTTGATTGCTTCTCATTGTTTTTATTCCAGTTGCTTTTACTCACACTTTTTTTATTTACATTCTCTCGTTTCCTTCTCTAAGGTACTGTCATGTAACCCTAGCAATAGATACAAACCACCCATACTCTTAGGATCTTGTATCATATCCTTAAAAACTGTGACAGAACACCCTTTTTTTAAGTATGGATAAGAATATCACTTCAACAATGAAGGCCACGCGTGTTGTTGGACGTTCATTTAAGGAAATTCCTCGCATATATACATATATATATATATATATATATATATATATATATATATATATATATATATATGTGTTTGTTCTGTTATGTTACTTATCTATTTGGTTACCTGCTTTACCATTTATCTAGTTGGTTCATATTTTAATTTTTTTAATTTTTCACTCTCCTATCGCCCTTTTGCACCTCCAGAGGCATAGTAAAAAAGCTAACATTAGACAAGACAAAGTTCAGACAGGGTGAAATTGTGGGGAATATAAAATGTTTTGTCAACAGCTATGGGATAGATGAAGGAGACAGTAATGTGCAAAGACCGGTTCAACCGTTAAGTGACGCTACACTAGTAAACCAACTTGTTTTGAATGATCATTACTTAGTGATAAGGTGGGTACAGATATCTTTTTCATTCTTTTGCATTCTTTTGCAGTTCACGTGAAGTGATGCTATGAGGTTCCTCCAGTTGGACACATGAACGTGTCTAAATGCATATACATATATGTATACAAAAACACATATGTTTATAAACATATATACATATTAACGAAAATATGTGCTTATTTTTGCATCGTAAACGCCCCCGTACCCCCCCCTCCCTTTTTTTTTTTTTTTTTTCCTCGTATCCGTCACCAGAATAATAAAATGCGAAAACCTAGCCATCAGTAGCATAGATCTAAACAACGTGAATATAAACGTGTGGGTGAAATGGGATGGAATTGTTAACAAAACAGATATAGTGTCGAAAACTACTTCTCCCTTTTTTTATCAAAACTTATATTTCCCCATACGACTAGTAGATAAAAAAGAATTAACACATGAAAGTTTAATAAGGAATGTATTGCCAATTGATTTAATTTCCAAGGGAGAAATATGTTTCGAGGTTCATAACAATAATGAAATTTATTCAACAATTTTAGGAATTTTTGAACTACCCTTTGCTGACATATTTAATTATGGAACACCTGATTACAGATCTCTGGCTCAGGTAAATTATGAAACTAGGTGAAAGATTTTTTTTTTTTTTTTTTTTTTTTTTCCATCATTTCAGCAGTAGATGTGTCTACTAAGCCAATGCCTCTTTTCTTTCGCTTTTATTGATTCGTTTACGATGGGTTCTTTCAGGATTCATTTCTTTTTTCTTCTCCAAAAACAGGAAAACTCCCAAAGTACCTCCATGTACAATGATTATAAGGATAATTATGACATGTCAAATGGGGGAATTAACATTTCAAGTGATAACTACGACGATTATTATGTACGGAAATATAAAACTGTTGTATACAAGAATACCTTAGGTAGGTGATGAGTTCCCTGCATGAACAAAAATATTGACCTTTAAGTGTTTGCGTTGGAGGATAATTGATAATTGGTGTTGTAGATTTTTCTTCCGCTTCTTCTTTTTCTTCCGCTTCTTCTTTTTCTTCCGCTTCTTCTTTTTCTTCCGCTTCTTCTTTTTCTTCGCTTCTTCTTTTCATATTTTCCCTTTTTTTCCTTTACATTGACATTCTCCATGACAGAGTTAATGTATTCTAGGGTTCATTTGAAATCATTAAATACAGAAAATATACAGACGAAGAAGGACTCAACAATTTCGGTAGAAGCCTTTGTCATTCCCCCACTCCCCAGTGGATTGGTCTTTGTGGAAGGAAACAAAATTCAAAATTCTTCTACAATTTACAAGTCTATGTCGAAGAGGTACGAAAAGAATGAAAACAAGACTCAGCTCGAGGGATCAATCATTCATCATTTGTCGTATACATGCAAAGCAGACGATATTTTTTCTTTGTATACATATAAGTTTGAGATCTCAGTTGTGTTTATTTTTTATATGTACACATTTGTGGTATGCTTGAAAACACAATGCAGGTGGGAAAGAGACTTCAACAAATTCAAGGATACATATATACAGTGGTTCCCGAGGGCAATTAAAAATAGGAGGTAATGAAAGAGATATAAAACAGAAAAAAGTGATTTTTTTATATCATTATTTGTCTAAGGAAAAAACGTATGCAGAATTACGTACTTGTCCTAATAATTTACATCCGCATGGGATCTACATATATATATGTTACCTTTCACTTGAAAAAATTTACACAATTTTTCCTAACACCTATACCCTGTTTGTAGTTACCCGTGTGTGAGCAGAAATGACTTTGATAATAACTATTACCCTCTGTGCAGTTTCATCACTTCGATTAATTTACCTGCTCAAGTATCGACACCTGGTAATTGCATTTAGCGTCATTTGGTTTATTGGTCGTTTTGCCCATTTATTTGTTGAATGGGATGATAATGTGCGTATGTGTATATGTGTAATTACCCATGCCCATGTCTGTGCCCACGTCTACATCTGTGTGTATTGGTGTGGAAGTGCTAGGGGGAGACAATTCGTCATATCCTTTTTTGTTACTTATTGTTACTTATTGTTATTTATTGTTACCACATTATTATGTACTACCCCCATAGTTTAAAATAATTTTTCCATTACTCCTCCCTTCTATTTCACTTTTACAAGGCCCTTTATTTCACTGGATTAACAACATTGAGTATATTGAAAACGAAGATGAGTCATCCATTTTCACCCCTCCGTATTTTTTCCTGTCATATAAGAAAGGAACCATACAGGATCATGCCCTTTTGCTGTGCTGCTGCTTGAAGGGTTTGGAGTATGATGCATACGTTTGTAAAGGTAAGAAAAACATAAGAGTAGTTTATCTGAATGTGTCTTTGAAATGACATACAATTTGGCACTCCTGTATGAGTAACTATATACAACATCATAGTTATAATCATGTTCAAACAAGAAGAATCACACAACATAGCCATGAAAAAATTGTGAAATAACTATAACACAAAAATGAAACCTAAACCTACTTTTCTCTTTCTGCTAAGGAACAATAAACAATGGGAATAAGGAGCACTACTGGGTAATGACGAGACATGAAAATGGATGGGTATGTTTCTGGGAAGTGACAAACAAATGTATTATACATTTGAAGAATAGGTGGAATAATAATAACTTTTTAAAAAATTCTGAAATTAATACACAAAAGGAAATGATCAATAAGGTAAATGATGGCAACGAGGAAAGGTATTACAGTGGGGAATATTTAATGAACTTTATTAGATATGGATTAGAAGAACTAAAAATGAGAGAAAAAGAAATAAAAGAGGAATATAACTTGAAAGAAGAAAACCAATTATATACTATGGACTTATATGGAGAAGAGCATATGAAAGATGAACAAGTTGACATAGAAGAAATATTACATAATGATGAAGAATTTTTTAATAATATGTTTGAAGTAAAATATGAAAAAAATGAAACTTATAATTGTAATAAAGCTTTAAAATATCTATTAGAAAATTTTTCCAAGTATATTCCTATTTCTCCAAAAGTCTTTTTAATCGATTATGAAAATACATTAGCTTATGTTCCTTATTCATCCATCGAGGTTATTTTCAATGATGAACAATTGTATGGCAATATGCAGAACCATCACCCTGCCTGTATTCTCTACGATTTGGAGAATAACTATCATTGGAGACCTTTTCTCAATCATTCTCCTGTTCATATAAAGAATGAAATTACCATTTCAACACCTCTCAGTGATAAGCTTTCGTAAGAAGAGTGAATCCCTGAGCACAGTTTTCAGTTGGCAATCACTCCCTCTCTTCTCTCCCCTCTATGACCATTGATTTCGACAATCCCTCTGATTAATTTGAAAATTTTGTTTGCACATTTGAGATGTATAGTTTTTGAATTATAATTTTCTCCATCTTCACCTCATCCCAACTCACCACATCCTTCTCTACAGGATAAAATACACAAAAGACTTAGAAGAAGAAATACAAGAAATGATTCTGTTCATGAGAAATAAAGAAGGTCTTGAAACGAACTTTGAGTATTCCAAGGATATAAGATGCTTTTTAGAAATGTATATTGACTTATGTGAATATAAATTAAATCTGGATAATAATTATAACCCAAAACCAGAAAATTATGAATGGGCTGAGGGATCAGATCCTAAGGTGGTGACCGTTGGGGGTGATGTATTTGCAGATGTAACACCTGAATCATTGCAGGCACAAGGAACAGGAGATAGAAGAGAAAATATGAATCAAATGGAAAAAGGTGAATTAAGAAAAACGTGGTCTCAATACAAAAATGATTTCTATCCAAATATTGAAGCACAATATGTAAATAAAGATAATTTAAATTTTTATGAGTCATATCACCCGAATGAAAATATGAATATGATGAATGTGATGAATATGGAACAAAAAAAGCATTTGACTAGCATTCCACAGGATTACGTTTATGGTATGAATGATGAGGTGTACAATAATGGAAAAGAACAATATATAAAAAATTATGTTTTTAATAATGGCCATGCTGGTATATTAAATGACTATGATGATAATGTAAAAAAGAAAAATATAAAGCGTTTCAGCAATGCACCGGTACATTATCAAGAGAAGGTCGAATATATGAAAGAACAGATTGTGCATGCACAACCCAGGGCTCAAGTAGAAGAGCAGACCTTCGAGAAGTTTACTAACACTGTGTCCAGTAGTGAAGACGAGAGTATCAAGCCACAGAAGGATGAGGATGATAATGATGACAGCTGCAAGTGTGATGATCATCAATTAGAAGGGGCAAAATTGAGAGAAAAAGTGAGAGAAAAAGTGAGAGAAAAAGTGAGAGAAAATGTGAGCGAAAAAGTGAGGAGAGGAATCAAGCAGGAAAATCATTACACCATTCCAAATGCAGAGGAAGAAGGTGTCCAGAACACAGAGAAGCTAAGCATCAACCTGCGTGATAGCAATGATAATTCTGAAGGAGATACGACTAAAAGAGATTTAAAAGATGATGAAAATGAAGAAGAATTGTATAAAGAAATAAAAGAAAAATATTACTATGATGGTGAAGAGGAGGAGGAAGGAGAGGATGAGAAGCAACAATACTGCAATAATAGCACAAGCGTGCAAAACAAGTTTATCAACAAGTATAACAAAAAATATAGCAGCATGTTTAAACTTGAAAAAAAGTTAAAGCTGAAAGAAAAGCTTATGAAGGAGGAAATGACCGATATTAAATTGGAACAAAATTTCTTCCAACATAATCTCCTAAATAAAGATGCATTTTATGGTTTTGTAGATACGCAGGTGTTTTTGAAAAATTTATTAAGCAAACACATATGTACAAATGGGGTAAATGAGCCAATGCATAACGAGTTCCACAATTTCAATGCACCATCTAGCGACACGACGAGATGTTTAAAAAGTGAGTGTACGTTTAATGGTTACCTCATGATCCCATCGAAAGGTTCTTATTCTAGGTGCCCATGTGATGATAATTATGACCATATCGAAGCGAAACAGTTAGATGTGAATGAAGTTGACCTTACTGTTGAGGAAACATTAAGACAGGGAGAGATCTCAAACCATGCAGCAGAGATATACAGGGGTAGCGAACCAGCAGAGGAACAAAGGGGTGGAGAACTGATGCGAAGGAATGTTAGTAGACCATTCCCTGTGAACCATGTGAACCATGTGAACCATGTGAACAATGTGAACAATGTGAACACTTCGAAATTGCAAATAAATAGAACCGATTCGAAGACCACAAGAAAAAATAACCCTGCGTGCATTAAATTTAACAAACGAGACAGGAGAAAGGGACACCTAATTAATCAGAAATTGATGAAATTGATCCAGAAACATAAAAAATTACGTCAAATTGGGCAAATGGAAAAGGAAAGATTGTATCACATGAGGCATTCTTGCAAAGGTGATGATGCCATTCATCGCGATGATGATGATGGTATAGCTAGTATGAAAGAAAGCTTGATTAAATGCAAACTTGTTCTGTTAAGACATGAGTTTAGGAGAAAAAAGAAAGGTCATTTATGTTTTAAGAAAAATTCATGCCATATAATAGAAAAAGTGAAAGAGAAAAAAAAGAGCTTTATTTTACCTAATGATAAAGAAGTAGTAGGAATATCGCAAGGGAGGAAATTATTCCTTTGTGAGAGCCATCACCAGATGTATACAGATCCAAATTTGTTTGATACAGGAAGTAATCCATTGGGGGTATACCAGGTATATGAGATGTTCAGATGAGAAGCAAGTATGAGTGATAGATGCTTATGACATGTATGAACATGCAGACATGATATATGTCCTTTGCACATGCTAAAGCGAGTACAAACTCTTATTTATTTTTTATTTTATTTTTTATTTTAACCATTCTTTTTCTGTAAACTTTTTAAGCAGAATGACGAAAAAGAGAAGATAGAAAATAATTACAGAGAGAAACCAATGACATCAAATAATTATGCAATCAACAACAATGGCTATATGATGAATGCTGACAATTTTCAGAGAACTTATTATGAAAACGTGCAAGGGAAAAAAAATATAAATAATAGGCTTGATGATAATGTCAATACTCAAAATGATGAAATACACCTACATGGTTTAAATGAGCAGAAAGAAAAAAAACCCACATTATTCCCTCCAAAAACTTGGAGTAGATTAGATTCCACCTCCAAGTATGTTGCTCATCAAATTTCTCAATGGAACTGGTATTATGCATTGGTAAGATTGCACATCTCGATTTCGCAACATGTTGTAATAAACAAAGTGGTGATTATTACGGGAAGGAGGCACTTGTTCTTTTTTCTCCCTCCCCTCCGATTGCTCTGTCTCCATCCCTGCCTCTCGCCTTCTGTAGGGTAATTCCATCTAAAATTTGCGTTTATTTATACCCATTTCTTCACACATGAGCACCTAAAATAATCATTTCTTTTTTTGTGCATCGACTCGCACTGTTTGCGACACGCTTCTATTTTGGACCTCAGGAGGAGCAGTATTTTAATTGGCAATACTACAAATTCCCCGTCCCACATAACCATACGTTTGTAGGATTTCCTATTCATTTTTCGACAATTGGTAAATTTAGAGGGCAAACTTGTATGTATGCATGTATGTGTGTGCATAGTTGGACACACTTGGCAATGTCGAACATCTCTTAACCGATTTTTCCCTCAGCGTCCTTTTCAACACGTATTTATGTTTCTTCTTTTGTCACAGATTTTTACGAGGTCAAGTCATTTTTGTTACATTCTAAGCGATTTGAAAATATAATGAAACTATCCATAGACAATATTTCATTTTTCATATATTGCAAAGTTTATCCTTTAGTTGGAGGAATAATGTCAAATTGGGTATTTTTAGGATGTTTGGTACCCTGGATGGTATTATAATGAGGGAAAAAACGAAACAACTTATCTTAACGACTGAGAATTTTTTTTTTTTTTTTTTTTTTTTAAGAACAAGAGCAGATAAAATGGCTGCTTATTAAATGTGTTTATGCAAATATTCCTTCTTTTTTTTTTTTTTTTTTTTTTTTTTTTTTTCTATATGTATATAATTTTTGCACTGTAAGCATTAACATCAATAAGGAAAAAAAAAAAAAAAAAAAAAAATACTTTCGTTTCACTTGTAGACTGCACAAGAGAGAGAAACTAAAATGAAGAAACCTCTGAAGAAGGATTTTAACACGAGATAGCAATATGGGAAATTTTAAAAAAAGAAAACACAGTAAAGAGATACACAAATGGGCACACCAATAGATACGCAAAGAAACATAAAATCCGGATTCAGCATTCAGCAGACTCAGCAGACTCGGCAGACTCAGCAGACTCGGCAGACTCAGCAGACTCGGCAGACTCAGCAAACTCAGCAAACTCAGCAAACTCAGCAAACTCAGCAAACTCAGCAAACTCAGCGTATTGTGACAGAACAGTGCTCAACCAACATTTGTACAATCTTGTTTTGGAGTTCATTGACTTGCTTATGGGTAAGATTCTGAGTATGAGAGCGGTAGGTTATTCGATAACATACACTTGTTTTATTACTACGTGGGTTATGGTAATGATCTATTTTTTTTACTTGTTCTATATTTTCATGAGCTACATCCCTACATATTTGGAAGAATAGACTTTCTTTAAATTCGTTACTAAGATAAAAAGAAATATCTTTTTCTACGGCTGGGAAATTACTAAAAGGATGAAATGGAGTTATTTCATCTTCTTTAAACTGATTAATAAACCGGTTGTCATTACTCCAAAATAAACGTATATCATTGATGTGGTATAAAAGCATGGCCAATCGTTCGAGTCCTATGCCAAATGCCCATCCTTCATGATTTATACTTTTTAAAAAATCGTTAATTTGGGATTGAATTTTCATGTTAAGGTGATCACTGCAAAGTTTCTCAATGATGGGTTGCATATGCGAATGGGGAATGGGAGTAGTATGGTTAAGTTCACTCTTAGTGGGATCTGGAGAGATACTATCCCTCGGATCTGAAGTAATAATCTGGGCAGTGATATCCGCGATATCTTCGGCCCCAATGACACGGGAGACAAAGGTATCCGTTTCTGTATCTTCACACGAAATTGAGTGGAGCTCATTTAAGAGTCCTATGTCATAAGAGGCAATTTCCTTTTCTATTATTTGGTGTATTTCTTCATCGAAGAGAGCCATTGCAATTACTTCTTTTTTTATTTTTCCACATCCCATGACTTCAATCCATGGAGGGTCCTCATCGGAGAATTTATTTTTGATCCCATCGATGGCTGTGGTGATATTACAATCGTTTCGACATGCGAGATGTGGTCTCTGAATATACAATTCATAAGATGGATCTGTAAAGGGAAATGACGTATTGTTATCCCATTTCATCTTTATTTTGGTAGAATTGAACAAGTTTGTAATCAACTGTTCTAGATTTCTTTTCAAATCTGTTTCTACATTAAAATTGTTTGGTCGTAGTAAAAATCCATCGGTCTGATGAAAAATGGGAAAATGGAACCTATCAATTTCATCCTTTCTATACACGGTTCCGGTGTAAATAACATTTTTGTAATTCTGTCTTAACAAGTCAGGTAAATGAGCTGTCATATGAGTCCTCTTTAATATGATCTTCTGATGACCCACTAGTTTTTTTGCTAAGTAGTATTTATAGATGCCATTTAAGTTCTCTAATGAGGTGTAAACATTTTTATGATGTTCTGAAAATTGCTTAATGTAATTTTCATTTAAATAAAATGTATCTTTTATGCTTCTAGCAGGATGTGTTAAGGGCACAAATAGGTCATCAAAGTTCTGCTTTATAGATATGTCACTATTTAAGTTGTCAAAGGATTCATATTTAAAAAAATTTTCAATTTTTTTTTTTACTGTCTTTATTGGGTGATTTGTAACATGGTGTAGTGCTTTCCCTTCATTTAACAAAATGAGTTTTGGCAACAGTAGCACCATTTCTTGGGGTTCTGATTCTGCATGTGGGTTTTTAAAGTAGCCTTTTGCATTATCAAAAATGAGGGGGCTGAGCAGCATCACAGGTTACAAGTTATCCATCTGTAAGGGCATTAGGAGGGAAATGCAAAAATGGAGAAGTGAAAAAAAAAAAGAAGAAAGAAAGGAAAAATACAATGCATACATATATACATACATACATGCATGCACATATATATATATATATATATATATATATATATACATAATCCAATTCCAATCCAGTAAAAGTGAAAAAGAATGAGAAAAGTACGTTGGAAGGTCAAACTTTTTGGCGAAATTCATTTGGGGGTAGTTAAGATATACATAACCAAGATTTTTTCGCCTCTCCCAGGTAATAGTTAAAATGGGGAAAGATTTCAGCAGGTGAATAACTTCTCACCACTTCCCTTGCATTTTCCTTCTCATAGTGCAGTGCTGTCGATTTTTTAAACGTTTTGTACCACCTCTCCGTTGGGAATCGAAATAATGGATGAAAAAGCAGAGACTCTGCTTACATGTAGATTGTACGGGTGTACATATATGCATGCATAGTCTTACCCATACTTTTCATACATCTTCACAGATGTTTAAAGAGAAGTACCCCCCACGGGACACAGTTTTTCAGGAGCCAACAGATTCACAAAATGATTCATATTTATGAGTGCATAAGAATGAAGCAGAAAGGAGAACCACTTAACCGAAAAAAAAAAAAATAAAATAAAAAAAAAAAAAGAAATACATAAAATAAAAAAAAAAAAAAAAAAAAAAAAAAAAAAAAAAAAAAAAAAAAAAAAAAAAAAAAAAAAAAAAAAAAAAAAAAAAAAAAAAAAAAAAAAAAAAAAAAAAAAAAAACAAAAAAAAAAAAAAAAAAAAAAAAAAAAAAAAAAAAAAAAAAAAAAAAAAAAAAAAAAAAAAAAAAAAAAAAAAAAAAAAAAAAGAATACATAAAATAAAAAAAAAAAAAAGAATACATAAAATAAAAAAAAAAAAGAATATATAAAATAAAATATAAAATAAAATAAACAATACATTACACATGTGCATTGAGTATATGTGCCAATAAGATGATGCTTACCTAAGTGACCTGGAATTACTCATGTCCTTTCATCATACAGGACTATTTTACATGGAATCATTTGGGTTTTACGAGGAATTTTGGATTTTTTTTTAATCCTATTTACCCATTATGTGTGCTGCAAATGTATGCACTTATTTACCTTTATAATATGCATGTTTTCATGCAAGATTTCTAAACATTGAATTTGTTAAAATGTTCTAACTTGAATAAGAAGAAATTTCCATTTCCCACACCCCTACACATACACAACGGCTCTTAAAAGGGGGGGAGGGGAGGGGGGGTAGTGTAAAACACCTACTTATAGTTGTAGTCTAGTACAAAAATAAAAAAAATAAAATAAAAAAGGTTTTACAACAATGTAGAAAAGAAAAATGAGAAACATAAATAATATACCTGGATTGACTATATATGTACAAGTAAATCTAGCTATATATGAAAAGTGTTCATATATATACACTCCATTTTCTAAATACAAAATAATACTTGGTTTATTTCAAAGAAAAGGAAAAAAGATATTCTTTTTTTTTTTTTTTTTTTTTTTTAACCACTAATTCTTTTTTCTTCTTCAGCATATTCCATTACAAGTGTTTGCACAATGTAGTCCAAATAAATACCTTCTGTTATTACCTACTCCCATTATCACTGCCATTACGGCCATCGCAACCCTTCTACATACCTATAAGTATGTGCATAAAAAATAATGTTTGTCCAAAGTGTTACTTTGTATAATTGAACTTACACTTGTGGCTATATAAACACTTGAAAGAAACATTTTCCTCTACCCATTTGCACATCCCATGTAAAGAAATGGCTTATTACAATTCATAGGAAAAGTTAGAGATATGACAAACCAAAAATATACCCCAATACACATAAAGATGAACTTATTATACAGTACCAAAAATTGGCAATTATATACTAAGGAACTATATTATTTGTAAAGAGCACTTATATTGTATTCTGACTCTAGAAAAAGTTTCATGGTTCAGATAATATTCATCTAATTTAGTCTGTCTTATAAACATAGTGAATGTTGTGCTTTTTTTTTTTTTTTTTTTTTTTTTTTTTTTTTTTTCTCCCTTCTTTACACTTTCCAAAGGAATCAAATAGGAAGTGAATTTGTATATATATATATATATATATATAAAATTTCTTAATCGTTAAACATGGTTTTGTTTTATGCTGTTTGTGTGCCACACTATTTTCTAACAAATTGCAATTTTTTTTCTTATGTCATTTTTTCTTTTCTTATCTCTTCTTTCCCTATTTTTTATTCCTTATTTTTTCTTTCCTTATTTTTTCTTTCCTTATTTTTTCTTTCCTTATTTTTTCATTCCTTATTTTTTTATTCCCTATTTTTTCGTTCCTTATTTTTTTATTCCTTATTTTTTCGTTCCTTATTTTTTTGTTCCTTATTTTTTCGTTCCTTTTTTTTTGTTCTTATTTTTTTGTTCCTTATTTTTCCTAATTCTCTTTATTTCTTTTTTTTATGCATGTCATTTTCTCTCTTAAAGAATTCCCTTTTTGTTTAGGAATTTTTCAACTGTTTATGTCGAGATAATTAGGGAAAACTTTTTAACAAAAGGCAAGAGAAAAAAATTGTTAAGAAGAAGAAGAAGCCAAGAAAAACTTAAAAAACAATTAAAAAGATGTAAAAAAAAAAAAAAAAAAAAAAAAATATATATATATATATATATATATATATATATATAAAATAGCGTGTTCTTTTCGTATGCTGAAAAGAGTTACAAAATTTTTAGTTTCCCCCCTTTTTTTTTTGATTTTCACCTGTGAGGGAAAATTGCTTAAGGAAAAACACGAATATATATATATATATATGTATGTATATATATGTATGTATATATATGTCACGTGTATATCTTTACGCATATGGGCATATGTACTTATATATAGTGTTATGGATACAATGTATGTTTTTTTTTTTTTTTTTTTTTATTGGTAAATAGATGAAGTATACAAGCTACTGGTTCCACGACCAATCAACCATTACATGCAGAATCCCAAGGTTTTTTTTTTTTTTTTTTTTATCAGAAAACCATATTAGTCTACAATTGATGCACAATGCTCGAAGGCATATACACGTATAGTTTAATTGGGGGATACAAAACAGAGTAGTAGTTTCATTGCATATCTATCCTACATTTATGTATACACAACTCCTTCTCTCAATCGCACCCCACACACACCCACACCCACAAGTATCTCCTTACTTTTTTTTTTTTTTTTACCCATCCTGATCGACATGCCTTGTTTTTACTTTTCTCATGCCCAGTTTTCTTATTTTTATGGCTTTTGTTAAAAATTTGAGTGAAAGGAATTAACCTTCATGTCATTAACAAATGAGTGATAGAGTTAAAATCAGTGTTCACCCCAATTTTGCATTTTCATTAACAATACCGGTAGAAAAGTTACCTCAAAAAATCGCTGCAAAAAACCGATAGAACAGAACACCCTTTTGTAACCTTTCTGATTTTGTTCTTAATTTCCTTTGTCACCTCCTCTGTACCCATTCTTTATACATAATAGAAGAAGGAAATACGAAATTTCTTTAATACATCCTAGACCTTTATTTCTCTACATTGGAATAATTCTGAAAAGAGTATCATATCATTAATACATTAGAGAATTTACAGTACATTTTCAGCTATTACACCTTATGGTGTAAGATAGATATTCTGTATTATTTTCTCCTCTCCCCTCACCACCCTGGTGTTACACAAGCGAATAGGAGTACGCGTCTGGTAGTTTCGAAGCAGGAAAGGGAGGGAGAAAAAATAAAGCAAAATAAAATAATAACAATAATAATAGCAGTAATAACAACAATAATAATAGTAGTAATAATAGCAATAATAATAGCAGTAATAATAGCAATAATAATAACAGTAATAATAGCAATAATAATAGCAGTAATAACAACAGTAATAATAGCAATAATAACAATATATTATAATAGTTTTTAGAAACTGCACCAAATAATAGCAAATAAATACAAGAATTTTCATTTCCTTTTTTTTTTTGAAGAGAAGGAAGATATACTTCTCCATTTGTTATGAACGGTGGTTATTCCATTTCTTCTGCACTGACACTTGGCCCAAACTTAGGCACCACTTGTTATTCAGCTGAGAACCATGGAGAGAGACGAATTCTACAAAAAGTATGAGGAATATTATGAAAGCGATATTAGTCAGATCCCACGTTTAATCGAGGGTCTGGATATTGAATTGTATGATTTGTATTTAAGTGTACTAAGTCATGGTGGGTATTCATGTGTTAGCAGAAATGCAAAATGGATAAAAATAGCGAAAGAATTTGGGCTTATAAATAAAGAAAAGAATATAAAACTAATAGAAGATACGAAATGTATTAAGGAATATTATTTGACTTATCTTAGAGAATTTGAAAGGATACATGAAAACATAAAAAAGGGGAAAATTATAACGAAAAAGTGTAGAAATGCAAAAAATTCGAATAATGTAGAAATGAAATATAAAAAGAAAATATCGATTAATAAAACTAATAAAAAAAAGGAAAAGGTAGAAACCAATGTTAACAATTTACGTCGTGTTGGACATATAACTAATTTTAACAATGTCACAACAGATATTTCTCCCCCAAATGTTATCTATAATGTAAATAACTTATTTCCCTATGTTAAAGGTTCTAGCAAAACATTAAACTTATTTAATGCTACTGCTAGTAATAATGTTATGTCTAATTATCTACGATTTCATAACAACCCAGACGCTGTTAAGGATAGCATATTTAATAAGGGAAATGTATATTACTGGGAAAATAATGGTGTCTCTACTGTTAACTGGTATAATGGAGATAGTGTGTTCGAGTCACGAATGAATATGAACAGTAACAAAGTAGATATGGGCAAAGGAAGGAGTGCAAACAAGAAGGGAATCAATAGGAAACGGAATCTTAAGATGGGTCGAGACGTCACGCAAATGGGAATGGATGAAACGCGTGCCACAGATCTGAATATGTCAAATTATGCGAACGTGACAAATTATGGAAATTATCCAAATCATGGAAATTACCCAAATCATGGAAATTATCCAAATCATGGAAATTATCCTAATCATGGAAATTACCCAAATCATGGAAATTATCCTAATCATGGAAATTATCCTAATCATGGAAATTACCCAAATCATGGAAATTATCCTAATCATGGAAATTACCCAAATCAACATTTAAACCATTTTCACAATAATAATGCTACTGATGGAGGATATTACCACAACGACAATTTCCCCTATGGCAGCTTTAGAACCCTTGATCAAAACAGTTGGATGGATCACAGTCCAATAAATGAGGAAAATTACTTGCGTAAGAACCATGTGATTAATCTAGAAAATACAGGTGCATGCAATGGAATTATCAGAAATGTTAATATGAGCAATAATTTTTTTAATTATGCGAATGTTGGTTTTACTGAGACACCACGGGCTTTTGATAATTCATTAGAAGGTTATAATTGCTTAAGCATGATAGTCCCATTTAGGACAAATTGTCGAAGCGATTATAGATCAACTTTTGGTGGTCATTTTGGTGGTAATTCCTACTCTATGCACGAAGGAAACGTTAAGTGGAACTCTTTCGAAAGAGATTCGGACGGGGATCAGATGGTAGGTTTTAATGGATTCATGAACCCGTTTGGGTCAGTTGGGTATTATGGCAACCCAGTAAGCTACCCCCCAGATGGAGAAGGATATTCCTTGCAAGGAAGATGTGACAATAATATGAATATTAGAAAATGCATTGACATATACAGACTACTAATGGGATTGAACACAAGAAAAGAAAAAATAGCTGATTTCATATTTTGCCTGAACATATTATACTCGATATCTGTGATGAATGATATGCTGATATCTCGAAAACAAATTAATATGACTATATGTATGCTTCTACAAATTTTAGATGAAATGCTTATTATTTTTTACTCAAAGTTGAGTATGAAAGAGAGGGCAATAGATATAATGATGAAAGCATTTCCTGATTACTTATTAGATGAAGAAGTAAATGGAATTGATAAAATGAATGTCATAGAGAATAAAGATGACAACCTTGTCGGATCTATTGGTGAGTACCTCAAAACTGGGTGTACCGTTTGTTGCGGATTCAGAGGAAAAGAATTTAATTATAGTGAAGGAAAATCCGAGGAGAGATGTTTCCAAAGTGGTACTAGCGTTATTATGGGTGCACTGTTAAATGAAAATATAAACGTGCATGAAATCATACGTTTGTATTTGTCTTATAGTGGGTATTGCAGGCATAAGAGCAGGAAAATCAAGAGACTTGGTAAGGATGGGGAGATCTGTACACATGATGAAGAAATCATGTCTGGTGAAAAGAATGAATCAGATGAAAAAAATTTAGGAAATGTAACGAGCACATCGAATGAGGATCAAGAATGGGAAGAATCGATTTCTTCTAACTCCAACTACCCAAGCAGCGTGAACAGCTCAGATATAGAAAATATAATCATGGGTAAAAGTGCAAGTAGAGGAATTAAACATTCCAATAATTTTTACATAGATAAAAAGGAGAAGAAAAAATCGCTCATAAAAAAAAGTAGTCAAGAATTTGTGTTTCTGATTTTGTATATCATGAACAACATATTTCAATCTCGTAAATATAGTTTGTACTTTTGTAGTAGGAAAAATGAGTCTGTTAAGGACGAGACAGAAACAAGGAAAGATAAAGGTGCAGAAACGAGAAGGGAAAAAGGGGAAAAAAATTATGAAAATATGAACAGTATAGGTACATGTCATACATGGGCTAATATGAAAAATAAAGAAAATATGGACAAGGAAAAAACAGTACTTGGTGGGAATTATTCCTGTGATGATTTAACTGAGGAAATAAAAATGAACGAATTGGGTAGAAGAGGAGGAGGAGTAGGAGTAGGAAGACGAATTAACCAAGGAAATGAACAGATAAATATACATGAATATGATTTTTATGAAACCAAAGGTAAGGATTATGTAGAAGATTTCTGTGGAGGTATAGAAGGAGGAGGTCCTACATCAAATAGAACTTTTGAGAGTGAATATTTGTCAGATAGCTCATCAGGTTCGACCTCTGTGTGCAGCATGTGCAGTCATAAAAGTGTGAACAAAAGAGAAAGTAGACTAAGCAGGGCCATGACCAGAACATACGCTAAGATGCCAAATGACGAAAATAAATCTTCACAAAAGGAAGGAGACGAGGCAGAAGTGATGACCAACTATCGAACGGACGAAAGAGTGCAGAACACTTTGATTACACAATTGAGGGAAGAGGCACACTGCATAGGTGAAGAGGCCAATCGCGTAGGTGAAGAGACCAATCGCGTAGGTGAAGAGGCCAATCGCGTAGGTGAAGAGGCCAATCGCGTAGGTGAAGAGACCAATCGCGTAGGTGAAGAGGCCAATCGCGTAGGTGAAGAGACCAATCGCGTAGGTGAAGAGGCCAATCGCGTAGGTGAAGACACAAACTGCATAACTGAAGAGACTAAGGTTTGTGACGTGTTTAACAGCAACCTTTTGAACACGAGCAGTGGTAACTCGCTTTTTCCTAGTAGTGAAGTATTTCCCAATCATGATGGGGGATCTGTGCGCACAGAAAACTGTGTTATTCCAGAGAATGAGTATTTTCACAAGTTAGGAGATATAACCCCATGTTTAACCAATGGAATCAACACAGATGTTGTTCATCAGACTAGTGATAATGTAAATTTTGAAAACATGAACAGAATGAATTTTACTCTTGAGAAACCTTACCCAGAGGATGTTAACGCATGCAGTAGTAATTTCCCAAATCAAAGCACGAACGAAACGCAAAAGAACTGCATAGATGTAACAAGTTGTCAGGAGAACCACAATAGTGAATCTATTTGCTTGAATAATGTCAATTTACGTGATAATGATCTGTATGAAGGGAATGCTGCAAAGAGGAACTGTACTGAAGAGGATGCCACAAGAGCGGGAGGAATAATAAACGTAAATGAAAGAAGAACAGATTGTGATGGGTTAAAGGAGGAAGAGAATAAATGTGATGAACACCTGAGTGGAGAGATCAATAGTGGTCGTAAAGATGTTTCGAAGGAGCGAGAAGCGATAAAAATGGAGGCCGGTGATTGGAGGAGTTGTCATCTGGATGAAAATAGGATAAAAAATGAAAGCAAAAATGGAATAGAAAATCAAAAGGAGGACGCGGACTTGAACAAGAACGACGATGCACCCACAGTGGACACAGGAGGATCAGTAAAAGGGAAAAAGGAATGTTCATTTGACGCAGGATTCAATGCAAGGAACGATGGTTCCGGATTGAGTAATAATGATGAGCTTGCAAATATCAAGAATGATGAAGTGGACACACAAAAGAAGAACTTTGAAGGTGCAAACCATGGGGTGTATGAAGAGTGTGCAAATAAAATTAAAGATTTCAACGCATCCTGCATAAGAGTAAATGGAAATAGTACGAATGATCACCTTTTAAGTAATAAATGCAATGCAGAAAATTACAGTGAGTCAGGAGAAAAAAAGTATAACGCTGTGCAGAATACCATGCATAATGGTATGCATAACACCGCACTTAATAACTATGGGTATAACAAAAATATGAGTGAAGGAATTGCATGCCTTCAGATGAGTAACAACCATTACGGGGGGGGGTATGATCCCACACGTGTGATGGAAATGACGCATGATTTAAATGATCCCTTTTTAATCAACAACGCATTTAATACGACTAGCCATGTGAGTCCATTGTTGACTGGTCAGATAGATGTAGGTTCAGATGATGGAGTTCACTTCGACAGGACCAACAGTGGAAATGTTAACATGCTCCATATATGTACCACTCCTCAGATTGGAAGCGCTTATATGAGCAGCACTTGTGTGGACAGTGTATATATGAACAGTCCGTATATTGGCAATCCTTACATGAATAGCTCCAATATGAATAACTCCAATATGAGCAACCTCTACATGAACAGCCCTTACATGAATAGTCCCCACATGAATAGTCCTTACATGAATAGTCCCCACATGAATAGTCCTTACATGAATAGTCCCCACATGAATAGTCCTTACATGAACAGCCCCTACATGAACAGCCCCTACATGAACAGCCCCTACATGAACAGCCCCTACATGAACAATCCATGCGGGCAAGGATTCCCCAATGTGCAACCAAGCAATATGCTTAACGCTAACAAGGAAAGACCAAATGCGTTTTACACTTCGAATGAAGAGGGTGAGAAGAATGATATGAGAAGCAGCAATAAAATAAATAAGAAAGAAGAACATACTGGAATCGAAAGAGTTAACAACACATCTGTATACACGAAGGAAGAGGATAATGTAGATAAGCTTCAAGATGAAAATAAGACAGCAAATTATGTTAAAAACTTAGAAGCTGAGGGATATGTTCGTAGAAATGAGGAGGATAGTAAGGCTAGACATTTTTGTAAAAATACGGATAAATCATGTGGCCATCGTAACAAACAAGAAATTAAAGAAATTTATAGAAATATGAAAAAAGAGATATATGAAGAAATGAAAAAAATATTTAAAGAGAAAAAAATAAAGCAGAACAAATTATTACATTATTTTGATTTAAGTAAATTTATTAGTATATTCGAATTAATTTTTTTGAAAAATTTTGAAAATATTATTTTTCATGAGAAAGCAATACAAAATATTTACATGAACATGTTCATATGTGTTGATATATTAAATAACGAATTGGGTAGAAGTATATCTCTGAAGTATATATTTTTTCCATCACATTTATTACAAAGTACAAAACGTTTAAAAATTACAGCTCATTTTGATAAGAAGAACAGATTATTTGTCAAATCAGACGGTTTACCAGTTATAGGAGGGAGAAACAAAAAACTTAAGCATAACATTAGTGAAGGGAGGGAAGTTACTGATGGAAAAATTTATAACACACTTCAAAATGAAGCTGAATGTACATGGGAGAAAAAAATAAACCATTCTCCTAACCTTTTAGTTAATACCCCAAACATGGAAGGCATTGCAAAAGATTATTGCTATAAGCAATTGTCACAAAAGGAGAATGCATTAGATGGTAACAACTTACCCATTGCACCTGAAGAGGTGAGAAATGAAAACCAAAATAGTACTCTGCTACGAGAAGAGAAAAAAAAGGGGATTAGTAATTTTGAAGAGAAGAAATGCTATGTTGAAAAAAATTACAAGAATGGAAAAAAGAACGAATTGAGCGGGGTGGAATACAGGGAAAAAATAAAGAAATTATTTTTAAAAATTTTTCGAAAAAATAACAAGAAATATAATATATATAAAAAAATCGATTATGAATATTTAAAAAGGAAGTATAAATATTATGGTCCATTTAATTGTCAAGAAAAAGAGAAGCATAAAAAGTTTATTATACTCGATTTACATGAAATTACGAAAAAAATTTTGTTAAAAGTGTATAAGCGCGTTAATAGCCACTTGAACATGGCAATTTTATCATTAAACATATTAACATATATATTGTATTTCTTACCTAAGAAGATGTTTCACGTGTCATTTATTCCATGGATATTAAATGAAACAATTAATGTAAAATGTGCATACACATATTTAAGTGTTCCTTTATGTATTTTAAATTATAACGGATTTCTTTTTCTTGAAACCATGATGAAATTTATTATTCGGATGATTCAAAATAATATGATGCCTTTACACTCATATATCTTATCATTTCTTCGTTTATGTTCCTTTCCATTATATATATATTTATACTTTGATATCCCTGTTTCACACACACTTATTATAACATCATTGTCTGCTTTATACCTCTTAGTTACATACGATCCTGATTTTTTAGCTACGGGTTTTGTTAATGCAAAATCTTGTGACACTCCTGATTCCTTGAGCAGGAACATCAGAAGCGATGATAATTTATCTAGTGGCAATAAACATAGCAGCGCTGATCAGATTTACAAAAAAAGAAAAGTTTGCGATCTTCAAAGTTCAGAAAATTGTGCAGCAAAATCGGGGGAAGACGAAGCGTCAAATGAGGACAAGGATGAAAAAACAAATGAGGTCAAGGGTGAAAAACCGAATGAGGACAAGGATGAAAAACCGAATGAGGACAAGGATGAAAAACCGAATGAGGACAAGGATGAAAAACCGAATGAGGACAAGGATGAAAAACTAAATGAAGGCACAAATGGGGAGACAAGAAATAATGTAGAAGAACTAACAGATGAAAGAAAAGAATTGCTGGAAAAAATTTTTATGAAAACCATGTTGCTATTTTTAAAAAAGTCCATTTATTTTAAAAGCATTTTCAATTGTGCAAATATAAATGAGAAAGAAGAAATGATGGTAGATAGCAAAAGAGTTCAAGTAATTTTAAAGAATTGGAAGATGAATAGTGAAGAAATGGAAAAAGAAAAAGAGAATTTTTGTTTTTCCAATATTGAAAATAAAGTCTTTTATTTACATGACAATTTACTTTTATATGCTCTGGACAATTTTCCTATTTCAAGCAGTGCTAAGGATATGAAAATGTGTGAAAACATAAGAAATCAGTTTATCAATCAGTATTGTACAACAATTGCTTTTTCTTATGACTTTTTAATGTCTGAAAATATTGAGGTACAAAGACTAAGCATTTATGCTCATTCCATAGTGCAAATTTTTTTATTTTTATCATCTCACCGTATCCTGTGGCAATGTTTATCACCTCATATCCCCGTACTAACTCAGGTAATTAACATTCTATTCACAGTGTTTGTAATGCTTGTGCATATCTATATCTTTGTGTATATCCCTTTTATATGCAATTTTTATCGCCCGAGCAGAGTTATATGCATATACGTGCAATGACTGATTTTTTTTTTTTTTAATTTTTGTGTCTGTGTGTGTGTGTATGTGGAAATTAATAATGCTCATGTATAGCACGTTGAAAATTTTGTGAATATCCACTTTTGGTTAACCTATTTTTTAACTGAAAAGTGGCACCCTACCCCCATGCATTACCCATTTGTTAACCAAACACTTCACATCATTTCTTAACCTCCCTATTCTTTTTTTTTCAGATGGCATTTATTCAGACGGACATCAGTAGATCCCTATGGGTAATATTAAAAGAGTACTATTTCAGAAGTTTCATGAGAGAGAGGAGAAGTGTGAAAAAATGCAATTCGTGCTTTGATTCAAAATTGGTGAAAATTGAAAGGGTAAAGTGAAATAAAGTGACGTGATAAGAGGGTTGCACTTTGATCGCTGATCTTTCATTAGGTATGTATATATATATATATATATACATACAATTTGTTTTTTCCTTTTTTTTTTTTTTTTTTTTTTTTTTGTGTGTGTGTATGTGGATATATGTGTTTAAAAAGGAAGCCCAGCTTTTTTTTTTTTTTTTTTTCTTTTTCTGTGCATTTGTTAAAGAAGCAGAACGAGGGATAACTTCCCTTTTCCGTATTAGCTTGTGTGTTTGTTCATGCTGTTGTTCACATATTTGTCCATGCCATTACCCTAGTATTTGCTATGCAGCTATCCGTGTATTTGTTTATGCAGCTATCTGCGTATTTGTTCAAACAGTTATTCACCCATTTATCCAACTCTTAGCTTACCCATTTATTTTAATCCCTAAGCTTATGCTAAGTGCATGTCTACCACATTTCAATACAATGCAAAATTTAGTACGTATCTTTTGTATCTTGTGTGTGTACAATTTTTTTTTTTTTTTTTAACAAATTGATGTTGGGTGACTATGACTTGAGGGAGAGGAAGGAAATTAAATATTGAACAGTGGGTTTCCCCTGCCATGAAAATTCTTTACCCATACTCATATTTGTGCAAATTGCAAATTAAGTTGATACAAAGGTTTACAAAATCATGCGTAAAGCCCCATTGTAAAAATTCCCTAAAATAACAAGGCGATGTAGACATATAATTTTTCAATTTGCATATTATGTGGTTAGACCAAAGGTACTTATAAAATAAAGTGAAATAAAAAAAAAAAAAAAAAAAAAAAAATGTATGAGCATGCAGAGTTGCATATGTGTAAAGCAGGAAAAATTAAGAAACGGAATTCATAAATATTTATTTTGGGGCAGAGGTTAAATTTTAAGAAAAGGGATATAGGGGTTTGTCAAATGTGGTGTGTTGTGGAACATGGTCTACTGTAGAACAACATGTTAATTAACAAAAAAAAAAAAAAAAAATGAGAAGAAAGCAAAAAATGGACACCGAATGTGCCAATTAAAAGAGGTATTTATATATATATATTTTTTTTTTTTTAATTCTCTCTTTACAGTGATGAAGAGATAGGTATCTAAAGTGTGCATGTTTATTTTTCTTTATCCATATCCCTGTTCTTTTTTTTATACATGCAAAAGCTTCTACGATGTATCAAACCAAAAAACAACACCAACTATAAGATAAGCAGTGATGAGCAAAACTCCTTCCAACCAATTGCTCTCCCCATCTTGAACAATTGCCATAGTAACAATAACAGACATTACTAAAATAACACTTGACAATGGAGAAAAGGCAAGAGTCATAGGTTTATTTAAAATCCATCCAAAAAGTACAGTAACTGGGACAACAAAAAGTGCAATTTGTGCAGATGAACCAACAGCTACTCCCATTGTTAGGTCTACTTTATTTTTTATAGCAACAGTAACTGCTGTTAAATGTTCTGTGGCATTACCAACTACGGGTAAAAGAATAACTCCAATAAAATTTTCTGAAATGTTATAATATTTTACAACTGCTTCGATGGTATTAATAAGATATTCTGAATGAATACTTACAAGAACTGTGATGATTATTAAGAAAATGGATCCTGCTATGACAGAGAGTTGTGGAATTTCTTCAGTCATTTCTTTATCTTGAAATAGCGATATGTGTGTGTATAATTGGAATAGTAGAAATAGACAATATGTTAAAAAAATTAAAACTGCTGTTATTCTGGATACTTTTAAAAGTACTTCAACATTATTATTAGTTGTAACTGATGAAACAGTTGGTATTGTTATGGCTAGACTTGATAGAAGCAATAGAGATGTGCTACATGTGGCTCCTTTTTCATTGAATTTTTGTATGTGGTGATATAACCCACCAGCAAAAAAAGACATACCTAGTACTAGCAGCAAATTTGATAAAATACTTCCTAATAATGTTCCTTGAACGACATTTATTAAACCAGCATTTAAAGCTTGAATTGAAAAAATCATTTCCATTAAATTTCCAAACGTAGCATTTAATAAACCACCTATTATTTCTCCTGTGTGCAAAGCTAAATCTTCAGTTACATGACCCATTAGTGCTGATAAGGGTATTAATGCCATAAAGTTAAAAAAAAATATATATATATCCTTACAACCTATTAGATAACTTATTATCCCTATAGGTACAAATATTAAAAATATATTTAATTTATTTTTCATCATATTATATATTCCTGTTAGGTCACTTTTTTTAAGGGAATAATATCCCCCAATTTCTCTGAATCCCAAATTCTGCTCCATATCATCATCACATATACCATTGGGGGTTTTGTTATTACATAGTAATTGTAAATGTAGATTCTTGTTTCTTATCAAATTAGTATCTTTTAAGCCTCTTGTGTTTTGAGTGTTTTTTATTTGTGCCACATTTTTATTCAGTGGCTGTGATATCGTACGTCTTACGTACGATGTCGCACGGACCCTACCCATAACCATCTTGAATCTTGATTATGTGGACTGATGAAGTGTAATGAATAGGGATAATAAGGAACCGTGTCTTTTCTGTGGTTGGCGATGCTTCAAATTTTGTCGTATGCTAACCAGACATGCTTCAATAGGGACTTGGTGTAGTTATCTCTACTAGTTATTATGTGCTAAATTCGAAATTCATACGAAAATTTGTGTACGTAACGAATGGGTAGAAAATTCTAGGTATGAGAAAATAAATGAGAGAGGAATGGGGGATGGAGGTGGGGAATCAGCTCTCGTTTTCAAAAATGAGGGGGAAAAAAGGGCTGAAAAATAAGATGATTCATTAAAAATTATTTTGATAATTGTAAAAAGTGTAAAAGTCATGTTATTTTTACATTTTAGCAGATTACAGGTTACGTACTCAAGGTAGATTGTAAAAAGAGCATGTGGTTAAGTTAGGGGTGCGAAATAAATGCGTGCACAGTTGTATATGTATATGTTTATACATATCCATTTTCTTGGTTAATTTAAGCATGTAAACATTAACGTATATTCATTACAATTGAGCAAGAGTATGGAATAGCAGATATGGAAATTTATCACATCGCCTACCCATATATATGTGCAAGGATATTTTCGTGTAAGTGTTACATGTGAGTGTAGGTGGAAATGTAAAATGTGCTAAAAACAAAATTGTCCCTTTTTTTTTTTTTTCTTTTTTGCCTCTAATAAAATGGTTATCCTGTTTTAACTGTATGTGCACAAAACGGTGGATAATTGGTGAGAGAGAGAGAGAGAAAAAAAAAAAAAAAAACAGATGATTTACAAAATTTATCCTAGGGGAGATCTTTAAGATGTGTGCTTAAGCTTTCAAAGTTGATCATGCAAAATAGCTTGTGTAAAATATGTATTTTTAAAATTTTCCATACCATTCTGCTACTTATTTTATTTTTATCTTTTTTTTTTTTTTTTTTTTTTTTTTTTTCTTGTTAGGTGAATGTGTGGAGTGAATGAGGAATGTTAAAGGTCTTTTTTTAAAAGTTCCCCAATGCGTATGTGTACAATGCAGCCATGAGTACTTTTGCAAGATGAGGAATTCTTTCCCTTTTCTCTTTTCCCAATGGGTGCATACATATGAGAGGTCATCTTTTTTTTTTTTTTTTTCTTTTTATAAAGGTGATTCTAAAGTGAATTCGCCTTTTTTCAGGACATGCATAATGTACACATGTTTTACATATATATGTAAATTCATGTATGTACATGTATATATATATATATATATATATATATATACCAGCATATAAGTACAAGCATATATGTACATCCATATATGAACGTTTTTTACCCCATTGGCAATGAGAAAAATGTGCATTATATAAACTACTAAGCAGAAAGTGTTCTTTGACTTATTCCATTTTCAGGTGTTGTAGCACCCATTATGTGCCATTTCATCCTGTGGAGAGGAAATTAAGAATGTTTTGCTTATAGGGTTGAGTATGTGTACATTTGGCAGTGTGGGTTGGATTACTAAGATAGGCATAGAGTTTGGAGACGTTCTTTTATTTTATGTTATTTTATTTATTTTTCTCAAGGTCTTGTAAGGTCATACTGTTTCACATCATGTTATGTTACATTTGGAGCTAATTTAAAATTTTCAAAATGAAATGATTTCCATATATGGGTATATTGGGTGGGTACACTGCTATCCATTTACGTAGGTTAAAAAAAAAAAAAAGAAGAAACATGCAGAATAATCCATCGAATGTAAAAAATGATAGCAAAGAAAGGTGACTATACAGGAGTGTCTGATGAGACTGGAATCTAAGTTAACTTGCATTGTGTGGAAATTCCATTTTAAAAATATAAGAATGCTTTGATTTGTGCGAGATGAAGGGCTGTTTTTTTTTTTTTTTTTTTTTTTTTTTGAAATATATGTGTATATAATTTTAGGTATGTTTTTTATTTTTGTAAAATGTATGAATTTAGTGAATGATTAGGTGGAAGATTAAGCGGGTGATTGAAATTAGAGAAGACTTTACAAAGGGTAGTGCACGAGAGGTCTCTGATTAACACGAGTTCTAGATATGACAAGGAGATGCTAATGGTACATATTCTGTTGAAATTTTAAGTAGCATTTTTTTTAAAAGAAACCGTTGGAAAGCCATCTTTAATATGTAGATGAAAGATGTGTAGATATATAATTCTACAAAATTGACCGTGGCCCATGATGAACCCTATTTGAAAAATCATCGTGTTATTCGAAGGAGCGAAGTTTTTTATTTCATATCTTTTGTTAAATTCGAAGATGACAATATGAACTGTTCAGCCTGTTAAACTGGAATGGTGAAAAAAAAAGACAACTCAAGAGAATAGAGGGAAGAAAAGAAAGAAAAAAAAAAAAAAAAAAAAAAAGCATTTTTTCATATATTTGTATCAACTCTAATACGTAGTGAAGATAAACTCAAATTCGACTGAAGAAATTCTACTGGGTGCGGAGAGGAGAGGTTTCAAAATAAACTTTTCTAAAAAAGAACTCAATCGGATTATTGACAGATTTGTTGTACTTTCATAATGAGTTTATAGTATTTAAAATTTTTTCCTACATATATAAACAAACAAAAATGAAAAGTGGATTTTTCACAAATACGCACGTAAGGAGAGGGGATATACATGGGAGTTGTTGTTAAGGAACATGAAAAAGGTAAGAACGTGCGGACGTGAGAATGTCGTACCTATTGGTAGATGCGTATCACTGGTAATGTGTCAGTACATATGAGAATTTGATGGTAATTTTGTTGGAAATTTTGCTGGAAAAATTGCAAGCAAAAACAATTTAATTAAAATTTATGTATTTTTTTTTTTTTTTTCAATTGTATATTCGTGAATCATGTTGGGAGCTTTTAAGGTCTGTGAACAAGCTCGTGGACGTAAACATAAGTGGATATATCACAAGTAGAGTGTTATTCCGTTCAATTTTGTTGAAAAATGTTCAAAGAGGGCTTTCTCTAAATATCTTCTGTGTAAATATGATCATTCGTTTTCCTCCCACTTTAAAAAATAAGATATTATTCTCCAAAATTGGTGTAAATATATTTTTATACCCTCATGTTCATCCGTATGTATAATAAATAACCTATTTAAAAAGAAAAAAAAAAAAAAAAAAAGGCTTCAATAGAAATATAGGGAAGCTGTTTTTTTTTTGTTTTTTTTTTTTTTTTTTCCCTATCTTACCATGGAAGAAAAGTTGTGATTTTTTCATGTTGCCAGTGCGACAACATTGTGAATGTTGATATGAGGCAAAATAATTTGCTTAATTTTTATTTTTACTTTTGCTGTTCATTTTTTATTTTACTTTTTATTTTTTTTTTTTTTACTTTATTTTTACTTTATTTTATTTGATTTTATTTGATTTTATTTGATTTTATTTTTCTCTTTTTTGGTTCCCACACAAAAAAGTTGAGAATTATCTTGCTTTTTAAAAAAAGGAAGAGATGAGAAAATTTAACCATTTCTTGTGAAAAGCATTCATGTACAGTACGTCGATTTGCTGACTTTTCTTTTTAGTTGTATTTTATTTTTGTAATTAAACTTTGGATATACATGCATGTATGTATGTATAGTTTGCTCTAAAAATTTCAAGTCCCATTTGTCAAATTTGGTATGACGTGTTTTTTTTTTTTTTTTTTTTTTTTTTTAAAACCATAACATCCGGCTCAAAGGAGGGGACATATATCTTTAAACGAATTTATGCAGAAGCATGGAAATGTATATGATTACTCAGGAATATTCACATGTCACGCATGCTAGGAATTACGCGTATGCATATATATATTTATATATGTGTTAGTCCATGTGAATGTTATAAAGGTTTTGTAGATGTATACATTTATTTGTAATAACATAACGCTTTTCTATAAATGTTTTTTGCATATTCGCATGACGTCTTCTCTGATGACTTGCACCACTCATTGATCTTGATTTGCTGCATGTTAGAAGAGTGAAAGGATGGGAAGAAAATTTGCAACATTTTCTCCTCTTTCTGACTCTGCGAGATGCATACATAAATATTGGTACGTAAATGCAAATACGCAAATGTAAATGTACAAGTGTAAATACCCAAATGCAAATGCACAAGTGTAAATATACACGTGCACACATATATGCACATCTACGTTGCACCTACACGTTCATGCAGGAATGTCATTCCTCGATAGTTGCATTTATGACAACAAAACAACATATAGTCCTACTCAAAAGGAATAGAATAAAATAAATCAAGAGTGTTCGCGGGACGTATATATATTTAACCTCCCACACATCAATCGCTCCCACTCCTCTCGTACACATTTCTGCTACTGCTAGTGCTACTAGCAGGAGCACCATCCGTCTTGTTAAAATTTCATGAACATTTTTAAAAAAAAAATGAATAATAGGAAAAGAAGCAAGTATGAAAAAAGCGAGTGTGTGTCATTACCCTTAGAAAAGACAGATTTACTGATTGAAAATATACATAATTTAAAAAATTCATTAAATTTATATAGGAAGGAAATACAAGAAAAAAACAAACATATTGTTGATGTTAAAGCTGACTTGAATTTTTATGAATGTCTTTTGACCAATATTAACATAGTATGGAATATATTTAATAAAGATTTATTAACCTTAATAGGTGATTATAAAAAGTTAGAACATTTCCGGAATAACTCTGAAAAAGCTGCATTGATTGATAATCCACACGATGCAGAAGGAGGAAGAGATGATTCTGTTAGTAATAAATCACATGATGGAAAAGAAGAAAATAATTCATCTCAATGTAATTGGAATTGTGAAATAGGGAATAATGAACCCATGTCCCCTTACTATGACATTGAAATATTTCAAAAACTTTTTTTAAAGTACGTAAATAAACATAATCAGGAAAATGACGAAGAGGAGGAGGCCGATTTTTTCAGATCCATGTTTGAGGATGATATTTGTGGAGGAAAAAACATAAAGGTTAATGGAAGGGAAAAAAAGAACAGAATGGAGGAGGGAGATTTTTCAAATGGTAAAAAGTTGGTAAAAAAAGAAAGAAAGGATTATAATCAAGATGAAAAGCATACCTATTACAATAATAACCGTAATGATTACGACTGTGATAATGGACAAGCTGAGAATTGTGAAAGGAGCTCGAAGAAAGGAGAAGGGAGAATTCATTATGTAACTGAAAAAATAGAGCACCATAAAGGAAAAAAGATCAAGAATATTATACTCAGTGAAAACGAAAAGAAAGAACGAAATAAGAAACAAGGGAATGAGTTATTATTGTCGAATGTGATAAAAATAAAACAAGAAGACAATAAATTTAGGAAAATGGTAGGCCATGAAAAGACGGCTGAGAATGGTGTGGAGGATGAAAAAAGAATTCATTTGAGTTCTCATGAGAAAATCAATTTGGGGTCTGAAATTGGAACTGTGTCTAATTTTTTCTCTCCTACAAGAGATGAAGTAACAGTTCCTGCAAATCTTCCTCTCAAGGGAGAGATGTCACAAAATGGAGGGGATCCCTCGGGGTGCCTCTCAACTTTGCGTGAAGCAGATGTGGCAGCAAATGAGGCCACAAATGAGACGTCACATCAGAGGGAAGGCCGAGTGACAAACCTGCAACCACATGGGTTCTCCACGAATGCCAAAGTGAAGAAAGAAAGAAGTGAATACAGAGAAGGATTAGATGATCCGGTTTTCGATAAGAGAAACATATTCGAGCAGAAACTGCAAATGACCTTTCTGGGGAATATAAAAAGAACCATCAGTTTCATAAACAAATTAATGGAAATGAAAACTGTTGTAGTAAATCACAACATTGAATATATAAGAAAAATAAATTATGAAAAAAATATATATTATGAAAAATACATTATGGAAAAAAAGAAAAAGAACGATGTGCAAAATAAATTTGATGAGTTAAAAATTGAATTAGATCGAACTGAAAAAAAGATCGCCTCTCTTCTTTTTAAATTAAATAATGAAAACATATGTAAGAATATTTTGAACAAAGATGATGATGATGATGAACCCGATACAATGAACAAAAATACGTTGAATGAAATTGTGAAAACAGATGAATTGTTACAAAATGAGGTGAATAAAATTACATGCACGAATTGTGGATTTCAGAATAACAATGTTGGAGATGTTATTTCGAAGGACCAAAAGAGAAGCGAGAACTGTTCTTCAATTATCAAAAACGAGAAAAACATTTCAGGGGAATGGAGAAGAAGAGGTAGTGAAAATGAGGAAATGATGAACAGCAGCTATAACAGTAGCAGTAGTAATGAGAAAAAAAACTCCCAGGAATCCTTGACATATGTAATGAATTTTGAAAAAATTATAACAAAAGAGAAAATTCTAAAAAGTGAACCGTTTAAGCAACTAATAGATGAATCGACTCAGATTTACAAAGAATTAAAAGAAAGAGAAAATGAAATCTCTCTTTTAAAAAAAGAAATTATGAAAATGGAAAATTTACGAGATGAAGAATATGAAAATCTACTTAACGAAACTATGAATGATAAAAATTGTTTAATTAACAAGATAAAAAATTTACAAATTGATATTATGACATGCAAAATGGATAAGGAAAAAATGCAGGGGAAAATAAATATAATGGAATATGAAATTAACATTTTGAAAGGAATTGAAAAGAATCAAACGATGCAATTAGATCAGAAGGAAAAGGAAATTTCAAGAATGAAAGCACTTGTTGAGAAATTAAAGCTATCGGAGAATAATTTGATGAATAAAATTCAATCTATGGAAATTGAAGGACAAGTTAGTGATATAACTGAAGTAGGATCGCACGTGGTACATGAAGAGGAGGGAAGAAAGCTCCCAAATGGTAAGTGTGAACCCGTATTAGAATCTGGAAAAGGAAGACATACAACAGGTTCAGGATTGAAGCATGGCGCAGAGAATGGCCCAACCATGGATTCATACAAGGAACTTCTGACAGAAAACAAACAGCTGAAACATGCTTTGGAGAAAAAAAAAAATGTAGAGAAAGAATTGGAAAATTTGAAGAAAAACTACGATGATATGAGTGAAGAAATAGAAGAAATAACAAAGGAGTTTGAGAAGAAACAAGAACAAGTAGATGAAATGATTATTCAAATAAAGAATAAGGAATTAGAATCATTGGAAAAGTACAATAATATGATAAATAAAGCATATGTAGAAGAAAATTTAAAACAACTTGAACTTAGTTATGAAGAGAAAATTTCATCCATAAGTCGAATATATGAAAAGTATGAAAATTTTGTGAATTTATATTTAACTTTATTTTATTATGCAAGAAAAAGTGCAGTTATATCTGATAGCGCAAGAGAAGAACAGATGAGTATATTCATCAAATTGAAAGAAAAATATGAATCTATATTTCAAAAGAAAAATGAAATTGCACAAATTTTACACGAGGTATATGGTTCTAACAAGAAATTGATAGACAAATGTAACTTGTTGTATCGAGAAAATCAACATTTAGAGAAAACCATTATTTCAAGTCAAGGGAAAAAAGAATCTAAAAATGTTTCTTCCAAAACGAAAGAAGAGAAGAAGGATGAAAATAATGACGAGGAGGATAACCATTTGTTAATTGAGGAAAATAATGAACTAAGAAGAAGATTAATTTGTAGTGTGTGCATGGAAAACTTTAGGAATTACATTATTGTAAAGTGTGGTCATATATATTGTGAAAATTGCATTTTTAGTAATTTGAAGACGAGGAATAGAAAATGTCCGCAATGTAAAATACCCTTCGATAAGAAGGATCTCCAGAAAATATTTTTAGATTAAAACTGAGATGATGCATCTGGAAAAAAGGGAGGGGGAGGTGCCTGGGAAAGTAGGAATTTTACCCTTTTTTTTTTTTTTTTTTAATGCTTTTTTTGAGCTTACACAGATGTACATAAGTGTAGATATATGGTGTTATACAAAGTGTATTTTTATGGAATAGAACGGAGGAATATATTGTTATGATAAAGCATATTCCTTGGAAGGAAAACCAGAATAGGGGAAGGGCAAAAGATACCAATACAGTGTTTTCCAACATTTTTTGGGGTTAATTTTCATGTGAATATGGGTGAAAACCATAGGGTGGAAAATGGAGAGGTCTCTATGTGCATGTACATATGCAAATATGTAAATATGTAAATATGCAAATATGCAAATATGCAAATATGCAAATATGCAAATATGCAAATATGCAAATATGCAAATATGCAAATATGCAAATATGCAAATATGCAAATATGCAAATATGCAAATATGCAAATATGTAAATATGCAAATATGCAAATATGCAAATATGCAAATATGTAAATATGTAAATATGTAAATATGCAAATATGCAAATATGTAAATATGCAAATATGCAAATTTTGTTGACCCAAATTTAAAATTTATAATAAAATTTGCACTTTTTTTTTTTTTTTTAAGTATATATAAATTTATTTTATTCCTATTTTTATGTCCCCGTTATATTTCATAATTAGACGAACAATTATACAAAGGGTGAATGTTGAGTAAAAATTTTGCGCGTGCATATTTTTTGTTACTCGACTTTTTAAATCCACCAAGCTTTACATTTAACTTTTTCCTTTTTTTTTTTTTTTTTTTTTTTTTTATCAATGAGATCCCATTTTTATATACGAACCAAACAGCGAATATCATTTGTTTCAACTGTTATAACCTTTTGTTGTATACTCACATTTTATAGAACATTAATAGAATAAGAAGCCATGCATGGGTGTTTTTTTTCGGGGGTGAACATTTCGCATTTGCTTATTCTGGGTTGTGTATAAGTCTATAATTGATTGTGGGCACACATACATATATGGGACGTCTAACCTTATTTGATGAATCGAGGACACTAATCAATTGTGACAGGGCAAGTGTATTACTGGTGTGTCTACATGGAAAGCAAAACATTTTTCCATGCCTACACACACTTGGCTAGTTTTATTTAAAAAAGGGAAAGCAGCTTGCAGCAGTTTGTACCAGTTTGTACCAGTTTGTACCAGTTTGTAGCAATTCAAAGTAAAGCAAAATTTTGATACAAAACTGAATCATCTTTTTCTTCTGTGTTTAAAGAAAATTTCCCGTCACCATGTAAAAACGTAATTGAGGCGTGTGGATTATGTAGCAAATTATTCCTATGATGTGCAAATTCTTTTGCTAATTTTTTTGGTTCATTTGTTTGTCCTAACCACATTTTTGTGGCCTCAGTTATATCGAGGTTTGTTTATGTACATTTTCTGTGTGAATGAGTCCTAGTGCAAAATTGCAAAAAAAGAAAAAAAAGAGAAAGGTTGGAAATAGGTACAAAAAAAAAAAAAAAAAAAAAGGCAGAAGACAAAAAGGGATTCAAAAGGATACTAAAGTTACAGAAGATAATAAAGAAACGAAAGTTATAAACGATTCAAAAAAAGAGCAGAACAAATTGTCCTGAAACGTTAAAAACTGTTGAGGAAAAAAATTCTGTTGACTTCATGAGAGTTCTTGTTTTTCGAAACATTAGACCAATGTTTGCCATTTATGCAGTAGCCAAAGGTCATGTTATTGGTTATATGGGGTGGGATATTTTTATATAAATATAGAATTTCCATAACGGTTTGTACAAAGTTAGGGCTGAGAGGTGTGCACTGGTTCTGTTGTACAAATGTAGGCTCCATCGACAATGTTTTTTCTAATTTTTATACTAGAAACAAATTCCTAACATTAAATTAGGGAAAACTTCCAATATGAAAGAAAACTTTTGCAACACATGATTTTTTGCCTCTTTTTTTTTTTTTTTTTTTTTTTTTCAAATAAAACTACATTTTTGGAGAGAAAAAAATTTTATATTTTTTTTTTCAATTAAAAAACTACTTTTTTTTTTTTTTTTTTTTTTTTTTTGGCTTATTTTATTTATAAGCATATTTCTCCGCTCTTATTTTTACTGGTTATAAATTCAAGTTGATATATTCTCTTAGGGTATATATTTTATCGCTTATCATCATCCTTCACCTAGTTTCTCTTCCATATGGGTAGAACATTACTAAAATTGATCTCTAAAAATATTGATTTTTTTTTTTTTTTTTTTTTTTTTTTTCATTAGAAGGAAAAGAAAGAAAGAGAAATGTTCCTATAGTTATAATTGCAAACGACATATAAGAGAGGAGGCACTGTTATAGAGTATCTTTGAGAAAATGATTTCTGCCAGGGGATTGATCTAACGTTTGATATGTACATCTACAAAATTCACACTGTTGCAATATTTTTGGAGGGAACAACTTCATCTTGAGGAATCGTTGAAGTTGGTCTCGACCAATGAGTGGGTGAAGTTAGCTGCGATTGTTGAGTGGGCGAAGTTAGTCGTGATCAATGGAACTGTCTCCTCTTTGCGTGCAAAAATAAAATAAAATAACAACATAGGTTTCTGAGAAAACTGCTTTTTTTCCCTCCTTGAAGGCTTCACGAAAATGCTGCGAAACAATTTTGCTAATAAGATAATAAAATGTCAAATTGGGGAAAATTTCTGTGGAGGAAAGAACACTATCATTTTGTGTGGTTTAATGAACATTATGAACAAGGGGCGTAGTGTAAATTGGCATAGGTCTTTTGTCCATCAAGTGTTAGTAGGACGATCTGATGGTAGACATTGTAGAAGTAGTTCAAAAGAGATTCCAAAGACTATGACACAGTTGCGTACAATTACAAATGGATCTGATTATGAAAAGGAATCTAAATGTCAAAAGGGAGAAAAGAAAAGAGAAATGTATTCAGAAAGCGGAGGAAGTAACATGAATATAAAAAATGAGAAAAAATTAATAGAAGAAGAAATGAAAAAATTGAAGGAAGAGATGATAAATGATAGAGGAAAACACAAAAAAGTTTTACTTTTTATTTTTTTTTGTTTATTAAGTTTATATATGTATTTCGAATCGTATGATCCAGAATTTTTTATGTATGATATAATGTTAAAATTATTTTTGAAATATGTTGATGGTGAAACGTGCCACAACATTTTTCTTTTTTTGGGAAAATACAACATGCTTCCATATGACACAAGTAGAGATAGTATATATTCAAGTTCTAAAATAAAAAATATATCTTTCATAAACCCTTTTGGGGTGGCAGCAGGATTTGATAAAAATGGTGTATGTATTGATGCCATATTGAAATTAGGTTTTTCATTTATCGAAATAGGAACCATTACACCTAGACCCCAAAAGGGAAATGAGAAGCCAAGAATTTTTAGAGATGTAGAAACAAGAAGTATAATAAATTCTTGTGGATTTAACAACATGGGTTGCGATGAAGTTACTAACAATTTGATAAACTTTAGAGATAAGCAGAAGAAGGATAAGCTCCTGAGTAAGCATATTGTTGGTGTGAGTTTGGGAAAAAACAAAGATTCTGTAGACATTTTGGATGATTTGAAATATTGTATTGGGAAAATAGCTAGATATGCTGATTACATAGCTATCAACGTCAGTTCTCCTAACACCCCAGGATTGAGGGATAATCAAGAATCGGAAAAATTGTACAATATCATTCTTCAAACAAAGGAAGAAATTGAAAAGTTGGAAAGACACATGGAAAGCACAAAAGATAAGAAGGAGGGGAATCCGAGTCAGAGTCATAGTAGGAGTCAGAGTCAGAATCAGAATAAGAATTTAAAGGATATCTGGCTTAATACGACAAAACAGAAACCGCTTATTTTTGTTAAACTTGCTCCAGATTTGGAAGAAATGGAGAAAAAGAAAATCGCTCAAGTGCTCGTCAAAACAGGTATCGATGGTATGATAATTTGTAACACGACGACACGAAATTTTAACATAAAAAGTTTTGAAAATAAAAAAGGAGGTGTAAGTGGGCAAAAGTTGAAAGATATGTCTACTAACTTTATTTCACAAATGTATAATTATACAAATAAAAAAATCCCAATTATTGCATCTGGGGGAATATTCAGTGGGGCAGATGCGTTGGAAAAAATAGAGGCTGGAGCATCTGTGTGTCAGCTTTACTCGTGTTTAGTGTTTAATGGGATGAAGACAGCTGTTAAGATTAAACGCGAATTCGATCATCTGTTGTATCAGAGGGGATATTACAACTTGGAGGATGCCATTGGGAAGGGTTTCAAGAAGAATTACTAGTTCCAAATTGGAGCATTTCTCTCGAAAAAAAATATGAAGTTAGTATACTCAAAAAAAAAAAAAAAAAAAAAAAAAAAAATTTCTATTAACCGTGTACTCATGAAAATTATTTTTTCCCACACCTCAGATGTGGATCCATTTAGGGGAAACTTTTCCCATTATTGCTTCACATGGCTTCACATTGCTTTACAGATGATAACGGCCACTTTGGCAATTTTTTTTGCAACAGGGTTATGCAGCATTTGTTTCAGGAAGGATGGAAATAGTGTACTTGCAATTAGTCTTGATGCGAGTTTTGAAGCGATTCCAGACAGAGCATCATTGTAGTGCACATATCAAGTTCATGTGTATATGCATTCGTATATGTGTTCACACTTCTATGATGTTCCTGTTCTGATTTGTTCTTATACGTGTGATGGCTCATTTGTTTTATATTTAATAAAAAATTTTTTTTTTTTTTTTTTTTTTCTTTTATCCCGTTTCTTCTGTCCTCCTTTAAACTCATACACTGATTTTTGTGAAAAAAAAATAGCGAATTATATATCTTTTCCATATGACATACATATAATTTTATTTTCTGATACAAATATGAAAGTATGTAGTTCGAAATTTCTTTGGGTTCAGGGCTGATATGAACGAAAACTTTGATCATGGTCGAAAGGGATCCCCCGTTTGAGAATCCTTGTGTGCGTAGGTCTGGACCCAGTGCTGCGCATTTTGAATGGTCTTATGAGGATCATGTTTGGAAAACATAAAGAATGACTGAATTTCTGCCATACTTAGATGGAAGTTTTGAAATATTTTAGAAAATTGGTGAGCCAAATCTTCCTGTTGGGGAAAAAATCGTAAAAACATTTTTTCATATTGATAAGTATTTGCATATGGAATGAGAATTTTTAAATCTACTCTACCTGGTCTGATAAGAGTACTTGGGAGTTTATTGATATTGTTTGTCGTCATAAAGATAATCCTTTCTTCAGTTGCGACGATACCATCTAGGGCATTTAGGAGTCCACTATATGAAACTCCTAGGGTTTTTATATTGTTACTACCAAATGAAGAATTCGAATTGATTGAAGAAGTGATAGAAGGGGATGATGCAGATTCATTTTTTGAGCTTATCTCGTTTGAACTATGAACAAAAATGAAATCAATGTCTTCCAAAATGAGAATAGTTTTTGGAGGTACAGTGGCTAGTAGATGTATGAATCTATCATCTGTTAAATATATGTCATTAATATTAATTGTACATATGTTGAAATCAAAATAACCTGCTAAAGCTGTTATGAGACTACTTTTACCACACCCAGGGGGTCCATGCAACAAGTAACATCTTCTGTAAGGTATTCCTTTTTCAATATACCATTTACTTGAGTTAAGAAATGTGTCGATATCGTTTATTATATGTTCACTTAAATGTTGTGGAAGTATTACAGAATTGATTGGTCTTTTATTTTTAGGGGTTCCAAATGGTCTCCATTCATGTCCAAAAGTTTTGTAAAGTAGCGTTTTTCCTTCTTCTTTTTTTTCTATATATAATTTTGCATCTGTTAATATTTTTTCAAAAATATATTTAGACCATATAAATGTACTTAATTTTATATTTTCAAATGGTACAGATCTATTTATATCAGATGTCATGGTTTTTTCTCGATTTCTTTCAATAAAAATAAATCTGTTATCATATATGAGTAGGTGATTCCCTACACTTGGTAGGAAGGAGAATAGTACATTTTTTTTATTTTTCTCATTTAACATTTGTGTTTTTAAGCTCAGATGTCTACTAATAATCCCTTTCTTAACAATGTATTCTAGAATCCAATAATATGCATTATCGTTGATTGTGATTTCTAAAGATGTAAACATGTTTTTTCTCACTGCTTGGTAGATGTAACTGTTTAATCTGTTAGCTACTGTGACGAATGCCCCCACTGATATTATTCCAACTCCAGCACTGAAATATTCATTTTTTGTTATATTTTTAAAAATGGATTCTATTAATCCTCCACTTTCCTCTACTCCACTTGATCCGATGGGGGATTGCTTATCCGTGGTGCTCTCATATCCTTTGTTCACAATAAGCTTCTGCATCTGGATTAGTTACACATGCATGCATGGGGCTGGATTCGTTCGTGTGCGTTCCCAATTAAATCTTCTAACTTATTTGGTGTTTTTTCTTCTCCGTTTTACTTGACTTTGTTTCGTTTCACCTGACTTTGTTTCGTTTTACTTGACTTTGTTTCGTTTCACCTGACTTTGTTTCGTTTTACTTGACTTTGTTTCGTTTCACCTGACTTTGTTTCGTTTCACCTGACTTTGTTTCGCTTCACCTGACTTTGTTTCGTTTCACCTGACTTTATTTCGCTTCACCTGACTTTGTTTCGTTTCACTTGAGTTTATTTTATATGTTCGTTTATCGTTTTGGGTTTCTAAACGCCCCTATTTGCTACATCCACCGTTGTGTACATTTTTATAGCTTACATTGCAGAGACATCGGTTTTGATATCCTCTTTTCCTTGTTTAATTTGTCAAGAGATGAATCTACTTCTCCCTCAATGACTGGGGTGAGAGGAAAGGAATCTTTTGCGCGTACGAGACTGAGCATACAAAGGAGAATACTCGCGTTTGAACATTCGACCGCTTCAAAGGTTTTTCGGTTCAAAGCCTGAATCAATCCTGCTTTTTTTTTTTTTTTTTTTTTTTTTTTTTAACTTATTCATGAGCACACAAACTTTCTCTTTTGATTTTATGTGTAAAATGATCCATTATTTAATTTTTATTTTATGGAAAACATTTCTCTTTATTGAAAAATTAGTTTCGATTTATGTTAATCCACCTTTTTTTCTTTTTCGTTCACTGCTTAAGAAATTTGTTTTGCGTTTGACATGGAAGGGGAGGGTGGGGAGTAAAACTCTCCTTTCAAATGCCCATTTATGTGTGTATCTGTAGAGTTGTAAGTTAAGTGTTCTTATACACATTCGAGAACACATTCGAGAACACAATCGAGTACCCATTCGAGCACACATTCGAGTACCCATTCGAGCACACATTCGAGTACCCATTCGCATGCACATTCATCTATGAAATGATCCGAATTCACGGACGCTTATGATGGGTGTGCTTTTCAAAGCTTGAACAAGATGGAAATATGGACGTGTAGTAGTTAAATCCAACATGGTTAAGTGAAATCAAGTAAACTTTAATTAAGTAAAACCCAATGAAGTAACAATGTCGTTTTTACATTTTTACCATTAGATGTTAAAATTCATATGTAATGAACCACCTATGCAATTGGACTAACTGCAAAATGGTCACGCGAATCGACTATTTATTGAGGAAATGTATACAGAAAAAGGTTATATAAAAAATAGGAGAGGTTACTGAAACAGCTCTTTTCCTTGCTCTTGTAGCAGATTACTTTTATGCACATATAAAACTATAAGTGTACATGAGAATTAATTTTACAAAACCGTTGTGAAAAGTTTTCTTTATTGTTTAACCAATTGGGATTGAAAAAAAAAAAAAAAAAAAAAAAAAAAAAAAAAAAAACAATAAAAAAAGGAGTTTCAATTTTGCTTATCTCATTTAAGACGCCCCTTTCTCCTAATGGGGATGTAGATAAGGGGTGTAGGAATTCAAATCCTCCTGAGTAGTATAATTAGTATGATTAGAAAAAAGGAAAGAAAAAAATGATAAGACTAATCACCAATAAGTTATACCTCTGAGCAGTTTTGAAAAAACGGGGATGTAGAAATGAAAAAAGGATGAAACTATTTACTTCTACCCTTTTTTTTTTTTTTTTTTTTCTTCTTCTAGGGAAGTTTTATAAATGCTGTTGTGATGTGCTATGAAGGAGGTTCATGAAATTTTATTGAATTCTTTTCAAAACATTGTTTTAGAGCATATGTTGTGGGGGTCATATGTGAGGTTTAATTTTTTTTCATTTTTTAAAGGATGGGGAAATATTATAAAAGTGGGTAATAAAAAAAAAAATAATACATCAAAAAATTGCTCAACAGTTAAGCCTTCTTTAAATTGTTTTGCTACTTAGGCTTTCCCTTCACGACGCTGTTACTGAACATGCATTTTTGCGTTTTTTTTTTTTTTTTTTTTTTTTTTTTCCTTTTACCCACCAATCAATCAACCCATAAATCCAATGTTTTTACGCACGACTTCACAATCCTTGTAGCAGCCCATCATCCATGCTAGGTGTGCTTAAAAAAAAAAAAAAAAAAAAAAAAAAAGAAACGGGGAGGGGGAACTAAGAACACATATTTTTGGAGGGTAAGAAAAAATAATCCTTAAATACTGGTAAAAAGGAGGAACAATATTTTTCCCAAAGATCAATTATGTATTGTTGAAATATTTATTTATTTTTATGTTTTTGGTTAAAGGGGAGAAGAAAAAAATCATTTGACAGGAATGGATTAAATAATTGCACGTTGATGAAAACTGTCACAAAGAGGTAGTTCTGTTTTTCTTTCTTCCTTCCTTCCTTTCTTTCTTTCTTTCTTTATTTTTTTTTTTTTTTTTTTTTTTTTTTTTTTGCACAGCGAGCTTGGGTATTTGTTCACATGCTGGTATGCGAGATGTTCTCTTGGAATTGCTTAAGAAAATGAATGCATGCAATATTTTACATGTACACATATAATTGCGTACATCCAGATATACTTTATTATATAATATTATACATATAAATATAAATATTATATATGTATATATATGTATAGCTTCTCGTTCATATTTCGTGCCTTAGCATTTTTGTACATACATGTTCCAAACCTATGTGGATTTTATTTTTGCCCAATTGTTCCTTTACACTGCCTTGTACGAATGTGAAAAAAATGAGGAATGTGTGAAACGCTTATTTTTTTCTTCATTTAATGCCTTCTGAATTGCATCATTGCGAATCCGTTTCCTTCATTGGTTTAAAATGGTAAATACAAGTGAGGCATTGAGTATCGCTAATAAGATAAGCAGGAAAAAAAAAAAAAAAAAAAAAAAAAAAATGTTACATATAAGAAAGATATATGTACATATACGCACATACAAGTACATATATATTGTATAAGCATATTTATTTATATATATGTACGCGCCCTTAAGCATTTGAACGAACGCACGTTAAGGCAAAAGTCTGTTATTATATCACGGCGAATTTGAGCCATCATGAAATGCCTTATGTTGCCACATTCGCTGTAAATTAAGCTCGTGTTAATCAACCTTTTGTACTAGCACTTTTGTTGCTACGTTTTTTCTTTTTTGCCTTTTTTTTTTTTTTTTTTTTTTTTTTTTTTTTTTTTGTCGCTTTTATTATTCCATTGTCCCCCTTTCATTCTGCCACTGCTATTGCCACTCCCACGTATTCACACTTTTAAACACAAAATGGAAGAGGACAGGACGTACCATATGCAAGGAGGGAACTGCAATATGAACACTAATGCTGAGTTAAGCGAAAATTATTATGATGGCATAGATGGGATGAATAATAAAGCATACTATAACAACTATGAGGAGGATAAGGGAGGAAACTTTTCTTCCATGAATCGAAGTAATAACATGTATATTGGAGATGGGAAAGGAATGATGAGAAGCGGTGGTAATTCCGGTGTGAATAATATGCACAGTGTAAGCAACATGAACATGAATGTGAACGGAATGCACATGAACAGCATGAACGGTATGAGCAATATGAACGGTATGAACAATATGAACGGTATGAACAATATGAACGGTATGAACAATATGAACGGTATGAGGAGTATGAACGGCATGAACAACATGCACATGAACAGCATGAATAGTCACCCGAATGTCATGTATAATACGAACTTTAACATGAACAATAACCCAAATTACAACCCAGGGAATTTCTCAACATATAATAATGAATACAACAACATAAATTTTCAGATGATGAATAATAGTCGTAATAACAATAACTACTCAAACAATCCGACGAACATGTCATCAAATTCATTTCCAAGCGAACAATATATTCTTAATAAGAAGGCGGCTAAAATATTATACATACATAATATAACGAATAAATTAGCGGATGAGAATTTCATATATAGTGTATGTTTTATTTATGGAAACGTAGAGTCAGTTAGCTATATGAAAGGAAAAAATATATTTATTGTAAAATTTGAATCATCTGATAGTGCATTCAGTGCTTATAAATACCTACCAACACATTTTAAAAATTTACAATTAGAACTAAGAAATGAATCAAGGAAAATAAGTTATTTTAATGAAAAGGCTAACAGCAATAAATATATCTCACCAAATATTTCGGAAAAGAAATTCCTTTCTCTTAGTTTGGAGAAGAGAGAACAAGTTATGAATATTAAACAGAAAGAGTTGTTACGTAAATGTAAGGAAAAGTTAAATGAATATATCAACATGTTTAATAATAAAAGTATAACTGATGAAACAAAAGAAAAATTGAAATCTTTGATTGACCATTTGAAAGCCAGAATACAAATGCTTAACAATCAATGTGGTGATGCTACCAATTTGGGAAATTCTTCTAATACCACTTCATTTAACAATTATGAAGCAAGTGCTTCAGGGAATAATACGAGTGTAGGAAATCTTAGTTCTGGAACTTTAAGCGAGAAAACAATCAATGGAGCTAAGACGTCAAGTGGAGGAAGCACAATGACCTCTACAAGTACAACTATAAAAATTAACTCAATGAGTAATATTCAAAATAATGAAGAATTAAGCAATTATATTGCTCAGAATAATTCTATTTTTTTAAATGAACACATATCGTACTTTTCTTTATTTTCCTTTGGGGAAAAATATGCTATTATTAAATACAATAATGAAAATATTGCAAAAAATGTTTTCAAAAATTGCAATATGTATAATATAAATGTAGAGTTTGTTCCTGATGATACGGATGGACAAAATGCGAATTGAATTTTTTGAGATGTATGTATGTGTGTGTGTGTTACTTTATAATCCTGAGTTGAATGTAGAACACACTGAACCGTAAGGAAAATACAATTTATGTAAATCCAATGTTATCACTCTCATCACTAGTTTGAATTTTCCATCAATTCACGTTACGTGTTGTACCATGGAATGTACTCAAATAGGACATATTTGAAGCGGCTCCCAGTTTTTAGGTTTTCTTCGCCGGCTTTTTTTTTTATGCGCTTGTGTTTTTTTTTTTTTTTTTTTTTTTTTTTTAATTTGGAAAATTTACGTATACGACGATGTGTCTGATGAGGCGACTCTTTGTTTTTCCCTTTTAAATTGAAAAATATCAATGTACGTCTGATGAGTCAGTGCTTTTTTTTTTTTTTTCTTATTATTTCATTTCGCGCTACTCCATTTTGAGTTGCTCCATATCGCGTTATTTCTTCTCGCTTCCTTACATTCCATTGTATTTTATTTTGCTTTATTTTATTTTGCTTTATTTTATTTTGCTTTATTTTATTTTATTTTATTCTATTCTTTTTTTTTTTTTTTTTTATTTCCCCCTCCCCGCGCGTGTTTTACCCCGTGTTAAAATAACAATTTTGCTGTCAACGTTAGCTCAACCGATGGGTGAAATACAAGACAACAAAAGGTGGAAGCGAAGTTTGAAAATGAGGGAAAAAAAACCTAGAGATTTGTTATTGCACACATGCACACACATGTATATATATACATATGTGAAGACACATTGGCCAGTTCGCAATACTTAACTCATTCTTAATTCATTAATGACTAATTCATATATAACTTACTATAATTTTCTCCCTTTAGCAACTTTTTCCAAACATTTTATTTGCTAATCCTCATGTGTGGAGGAGTATACATATATAACGTAATGTATATGCGAAGGAAAATCTATTTTGCAGTGTCATAGACACATAACAAATACAAAAGGTTGGGATCCAAAATTAAAATAAAATTAACACCGTTTTTTTATTTTTATGATTACGTGGGATAGATTTACAGACGGGAAATAAGTGGGAAAAAAAAAAAAAAAAAAAAATAAAAAATACCAACATTGATGGGACAAGGTAGTAAACTGGGTTGATCAAATTGACTAATGATCAAATGAATACCATATTATCAATGGGTAATAATAAACCAAAAATAATTTTGATGAACTTTTGCTACTATGCATGCATACGTAGGTAAAAAAAAAAAAAAAAAATAATAATAAAATAAATAAATTAATATATAAATTAATAAGTAAATTAATAAATAAATTAATAAATAAATTAATAAATAAATAAATAAAAATATTCCCCCTTTTGATTTCAACAAGAAAATATATACGTCCACTAGGAAGAGTTAAATATCAATTGGGGGATGTACATGTGCAAAAAAAAAGAAAAAAAAGAAAAAAAAAGAAAAAATTCTTTAACAAGTGTATATCTTCATTCCCTCATCACAAACACGTATACATATTTTCAATCGATTTGAGGTTCCTATCTTTGCCCATTTTATTATCCTTGTCAATTTTCTTTTTTGTCTTTTCTTTTTTTTTCTTTTCTTCTTTAGCCACTTCATCTTTTATCTTTCTTTCTTGAACAATTCCATTGTAAACAATGTCGTGCAGATGGTTTCTCTGGTTGTTCGTGGCCCGGGGTTGTGCATTTTCTTCATCAGCTTGATGTTCCTCAGGTAGATCATGACCATCCACTTTTCCCCCAAGTTTATCTTCTTTCCATTTTTCCGATTTAAGGGTCTGATTGTTATTGTTAGTCAATTCATCAGAGCTGTCATAGGAGAAACGATGAATAAAAGGTGCAGCAGTATTAAGTTTTTCAATTAACATTTGTTCGTGTTTTTTTTTTTTTGCCAAAATTTCTGTTGTTTTTATTATGGTATCCACGAGTGTTCTTGTTCCTCTAGCATTCCTTGATGCATCATCTAAATTACTTTTTTTTTTTTTTTTTTTTTTTTTTTTTTTATTTCTTAAATTTGCACCAAAGCCTCCTTTACCACCCCTCAAACGAAATAATAAATAGATATCAAGAAATTCATCAAAAATATTAATGCCTGATTTGTTTTCATTTTTGTTAATCAATATAATGCTTTTTTTTTCACAATAATTATTTTCACTATTCTGTTTATGTAAGTTACTGTCACAATAGGTTGTTGTTTTTTTGGGATAATAATATTCTTCATTTGATTTCCACTTAAATTCGTTCAGTTTATTTTTGATCTCTTTGAAATGGAAAGAATTATAAGATGATAATTTTTTTTTTATTTCCTTTTTATATTCATTTCGTCTGTTATCAATATGATTCAAATAATTAGTTGAATATCTAGTATTTTGAAATGGATCTTCTTCAAATTCATAGAAGAACCTTTTCGAGTCTATTAATTTTTCTGGATTGGACTTAATAAGAATATCTGACATAATACTATGGTGCGAAGTATCTTTTTTCTCATTTGTGAATAAATTATGTTTTTTATTTGCATTGTCTAGTAAGAGAGAGCTAGCAGAGTAGCACAAGGTGGGTGTTTGACTCAGTTCTAGGTCTTTCAGTGTGCATTCTGACAAGATATTGCTAGATTTGTACATGGGATACAATAGTCCATGTTCGATGATGCTGGGAGAGTTCTTGGTATAATGTGAATCATTGAAACATTGAAAATAATTGATACATTGGACATAACTGGTTTTTACAGCACATCCCATGTATTCATCCTCTTCACCGCTTTTGAATCTTTTCTTTATGCTGATATTATTTAGTATAAGTAACTTCTTCGTTATGTTAAAGACAGTATCTATTTTTTTTTTTTTTTTCAAAAAAATGTATTTCCTATTAATAACTAATCGGAACCGTTCAATGGGTACATCAAAAATTAAATTAATTAAAATGTAGAAAAATGCATTTGCATTTTTTTCTAGTATCCTTCTTTCGTATTTGTTCAGGTACTCGTATATCTTTAATCGTTTGTTCACGATATTGTTTCCAATGTGTATAATATAGTTAGATGTCATCTTGGAGAATTAAAAAAAAAAAAAAAATAATAAAATTCTGCTCTTTGTTGTTTATGGGCTAATAAAGAAATCAGTACGGATATACGACAAAGGTCTGAGTATACTATATAGGTAGTGGAATGGGGTAGAGTAATCTATCAGCTGATACGCAAAACAAAGTTAACAAGGAAATTTGGAAGATATGATATATATATATATACAGAGAGAGAGATCGTGAGAGTGAGAGCGGGAGAGACAAACGGAATATAACGTATACCATTCCCCTTTTCCCTTCTTCCTGAAATGTGGTAGAGTAACTTCTGGAATGTGCAAAATTAATTGTATTTCAAAATGAAATATACACAGATTCATACAGATGCACGCATAGATGTATACACGTGTAATCACATATGGTGACACACAAAAACGAGACAACAATAAAGATGTCACAAAAAAAAAAAAAAAAATACAGGAAAATGTAAATAGTGTGTGTTGAGCTCTTTATATGCAAATAATACGTGTTATCACTTTTTTTCGGTTGGTGAAAAAATGTTAGATGTTTTATATTACGTACACAAAAAAACGGAAGTAACAAAAATATATATATATATATATATATATATATATATATATATAAATAAAATAAAAATTCCCCTATTCGATGATGGGAAATGAAAAAAAGAAAATAAAATGGGAAATGTCCTCGACATGTGGCAAATAAAAGTCTTGCTTATCTTTTTCACATTTTTTCTGCCAATTTGAAAAAAGTAAAACGACGGCAAAATGGAGGCAAAACAAAAAAAAAAAAAAAAAAAAAGGGAAAGGAAAAGGGAGGGAGGGGAAGGTTATCAATTAAATTGCTTCACGTTCCACATACGCCCAGGGCACAAAAACAAATATACATTTGCCATTTGCAGTGTGCGATTAGGATGTACACACATATATACATATACATACACATACATACTCATTCAAAGGGAAAAGACATTTTATCTGATTTAAAAGAAAGGGTTTGTCATCATGCATCATACTATATTAGTGCTAGGTTCTTGCGAATTTTCGTTTCTTTTTTCTTCTTTTTTTTTTTTTTTTTTGGTGCCTACGATGTGTTAAGATACAGTGCTAACAATATCCATCATCCCTATCCTCTACTATATATATAACCTTCTTTCTTCTTCCTCATCCTCCACCTCCTCTTTTTTTCTTTTTTTTTAACTGGGCATCTTTATGCTTCTTTCTTGGTTTGTTTCAAAGAGAAGCAGATAAAAAGGTGATGCCAGTAAAGGAAACAGAGGAAGGCACATGAAAAGAAAGCATATGTAAAGTGTCAAGAAGAAATGAAAAAAAAAAAAATATTAACGGATTTTTATTCTCTCTTTTGGTAAAATTCTTCTTTCGTGTATGGAAAGTTTTTTTCCCCTTTGTCATACATATATGCCAGGTTTCGTAATAGAAAAAAACAAAATAAAAAAAAAATATTTTAAAAGGATTTTCTTTTGAACTCTGCAAGTTGTGGTCAATTTGGGAGCGGACGAAGAAAAAAAAAAAAAGGTCGAATTTTGTTTGCTTATTTTTAAGCTAATTATGTTTAATTTCATTATATGCATTTGGTTTGTCATATATTTTTGTTATTATATCTTTGTCATATATCTTTGTCATATATCTTTGTCACATATTTTTTTCATACTTTTGTCACGCACCTTTTTTTTCCATTTATTTCGTGCGTTTATTGGGATTCTTTCCTTTGTCCAGCTCAGTTCGGTGCAGTTCTTTTTTAATTTTTTTTTTTTTTTTTTTTTTTCTTCCTATTGTCATTTCCCACCAATTTCCGAATTAATCTTAAGAAAAGAGAAGAAAAATAGAAAACATGGCAAAAGTAATATAATTAAAAAAGCGAGTTCTGCTTTTTACATCTCTTTTCACGTCCTTCCCTTTTGTTCCCTTATCTGATCGTATCTTTGCTTTGCTTTTTTTTTTTTTTTTTTTTTTTTTTCAAGCCCTTGTTAAGAAAATAAGCGAAAATGAGGTGGGAAAAGAATATATATGTCACTTGATAAGCTACAACACAGTTCACAGGTGGGTTATATATATATACATATATATATATATATATCCTCCTATGACTTGTAAATTATCAATGAAACATCATTTCAGTCTAGTGGGTAAATGGAATGGAGGTCCAGCGCACACATTTTCACATTCCTCAAGTTAATATCCCAGACATACCACCTTATGATATATGGCTTAAGCACAATATATAGAGATTTTTAGGAACCTACATATGTATAATATGCTTAAGTTTTTTTAAAGTAGCAAACTTGGTTTACACGCTCACAAGGGTGCTGGGTTTGTAAAAGCAAGTATATATGTGTACATGTATATATGCACACGCATGTATATATCTACAAACATGTATATATGTACACACGTTTATATAATGCTTCTCTCTTTTTTTAATTTATACCCATTTTAGTAAACCGAGTGAAAAACGATACAACTCCCCTACTCCCACTTGTATTGCACATACATAGTACAAAAATATAATTTTTAAAAATGTGGTTCCCATTATGAGAAGTTCAGAAATAAACTTCTTGATTATTTGCATAAGGATTTTCTCCGTTTTCGTATATTCATGGCTTGTAGCATAAGTCTTTTTTTTTTTTTAAAACCCCATATGATTTGCTTCAATGTAGGACATGCATTTTCGTTCCTCTCCTCACCCATGAATGCATACATACCCATTGGTTTTCCTTTTCTTCCATGAACAAACATAATATTGTGAATATATAGATATGTGCATGTACGCGTTACGTGCACACATGATGTAAGGACAAAGTGATGTATAATAGATGCATGGATAAGCGATTTGGCATATGTGTATACATGTATATATGTCCTTTTATGCACACATAAACAAATTTATATACCTGACGAAGGGAAAAGACTTTCCTTGACATCCCAAAAAAAAAAGAAGAACGAAATGACTCGACAAAATAATCGTAACACCAAATTGACGCATACAGATAAGACTAAAAATGTGATGTTGCTTGATGAGACAAATGAAAAGAATGTGCTAAAAATAAATGATAAGGAGAAGAACAAGTTGATGAAGTCTTCTTGTTCTTTGGCTATGCCTCGCCCCAACGGATTACAAAATATTACTGGGAATAAGATGCGCAAGAAAAAAAAAGGTTCTAAAAAGAAAGAGGTGGACACGGTGGATACGGTAGATGCGATAGATGCGATAGATTCGATAGATGCGATAGATGCAGTGGGTGCGGTGGATGCAGGGGTTGAGTCGGGATGTGATAAGGGCATAGGTAGCAACCATTTCATTAATGCACTTAATAGCCACAGCAATAAAAATAGTAATAATCGAGAAAAAATAGATTACGACCATGTCACAAACAAGAAAAAGGAAGAAGGGAAAGCGATTCTATGTCATTTGCAGAATAACATAGAACTAGTAAAGCCTTCAAAAGAAGAAATCAATTTAAGATGCAATGAAGAGAAAGAAGCACATAACAACACAGTGTTGTTGCGTAGTAATAACTCTTGGAGGGGAGATCATATCTTAAACTGCAAGTTTAAAAATATGAAAAAGTTGTCTAATGGAGAAGCTAGTCTTAGGAGTAGTGTTCATACTTGTAAGGGAAAAAAGAGTAGCAGAAGAGATGATAATTGTGCAGATAATCAGGGAAACGTGCTATGTGGTACTAAAAATAAAGTAATATTAGACGGAAGCGTAAAAATCGTGAAAACTGAGATGCGTGAATATGTGGTGGAAAATGGGGTAGAAGATCAGGAAAAAAATGCAATTGAAATGGAAGATGCAGAGGAGAATGCAATTGAAATGGAAGATGCAGAGAAGAATGCAATTGAAATGGAAGATGCAGAGAAGAATGCAATTGAAATGGAAGATGCAGAGGAGAAGGCAATTGAAATGGAAGATGCAGAGGAGAAGGCATCGTACGAGGGACGTGCACATGAATTGGGTCCACATTGCTCAACCAGAAAATCGGAAGATGGGGAACTGACCAAGGAAGACACAACGCATCAGCATGAAAAATACAAGAGAAGAAAGAAAAAAAATAAAATAAAAAAAAAAGTTAAGTCCAGTTTATTCAAAAAAAGCGTTTTGTACTCGAATTATGGGGGCCATGATATTCTAAATGTGCTGAACCAAACGAAGTTGAGCTTGAGTTTTTATCAGCGGGAAGTGGACGACTTTTTGAGTGTCATTAGGAATCTCCAAAATATGTAAGTTGGGAAGATAAGCGGCGGGTCACTCGCACGCACGTTTATATGGATATGGGATGATTGAGAGAGTGAGAGAGAGAGAGAGAGAGAGAGAGAGAGAGAGAGAGAGAGAGAGAGAGAGAGAGAACGAGGTGGTGGGAATTGCGCAGACATCCAAAGAGGAAAAGTGGAACAAGGAGTGTGTGTTCCAATTTTAGGATTCCTTTCCAAAGTTTATAAAAAGGAAAAAAAAAAAAAAAAAAAAAAAAAAAAAAAATTTTCCATTTTTCATTTTCTGTGCAAACTTTTCACTTCCATGTGCAGTGTTCTGATTGAACGTGAAAAGTACACTGAATTAAAGGAAATGTTGAAATACACAACGGAAGAAATTGAAAAAGAAAATTCGAGATTATACGAAGAAGTACATTTCTACAAACAAAAATACAACAAATTACGAAGTGTAATATCAAATATAGGCTATGGGATTCTATTCAATACACATAAAAAGGAAATGCCCACATATATCAATAATGCATATATGAATTTTGAAAAATTGTATGCCGATGAGAGAAATGATGAATACAGTACGCAACCAAATGAGTATGATTATGTCATGGTTAATAAGAATCTCGGTTTGACAAATCATAGTGGTTCTAAGAATAGACCTGTTAAGAGGGAGCGCAGAGGAAACTATTCTTCGTTGCTCAAGTATATCGATTTTTGACTGAATGCTTGTGCACCCAGTGGTATCGTACATAATAATATCGCACATAATAATATTGCGTATAAGTAGCATCTTATCTGGTAATATCTTACCTGTTTTTTTTTTTTTTTTTTTTTTTTTTTTTTTTTTTTCTTCCAACGTTGGCACATCATATATTCGCTTACAGTGAATAATGTTCCTTGTTTCATACCCCTTCACGTTTTTTTCGCTCCTTTGCATGTGCGATGAAATGTTTCTATATTCATTTGAAGTTCCACATATCTATCTGTTTTTAAGCTATACACTAATGCATCATTGTAATGTAGTTCAATAACACATATGTTAAGTGTGCGTTGGTAGAATCCAGATATATTATTATTATATACGTTGGATGAACATGTTTTAATACCGTTACACATTTATATTTATATGTAATCATCATCAAGATTGGAGTAAAAGAGGCCTTGTAATTTTTGCAAATAAAAATTTTTGTACTTTGGAGGTGCTAGGAGTATCGGCTGTATATCATTTTGAATTTTTTTAAATATCTGGCTAGCGCAGTTAATGTCTTGATTTCCATACAGATCCTTTTTATTAAATAGGTATCGTTCTTTTCTTTTTCTAAAAAAGTAATTTATGCTAATATTTAATTTCGCATAAGGATAATAAATTTCTCCACTATTGTTTGCGTTATTTTTTTTCTCCTTCACATCAGCACAAGGTTTTGATTGTGTATATTCATTGACACATAATTTTGTATTATGATTGCAACTGCCAATAGATGTGTTATTCTTTCTGTTCATATTGCTATGTTTTTCTTCTATGTTAAAATGCTGCAGATTCGTTTCTGGGATAAGAATGTTAAATCGATTTTTCAAATATTCTTCAGAATTTTCTAAATGGCTATAATGATTGATTAATTCATCCGGTTCCATATCATTCGATGAGCTTATGAATACGTTTGGTGTATTCTTATGTGTGAGTAAATTGTACAAATGAGGAAGTAATCGAAGCTTGCGTCTGTCTTCTGTGTTATGTGATAATGTCCTTAAGGCACGTGTCTTTCTTCTCTTTAGACGCATAAAAAGGTTTAGGGGCACATGTCCATTTGATTGACAAATGTATGGTTTTGCAGTTGCAGTTGCGGCTGCCTTTAGTGTTGATTTTTTTTTTTTTTTCTTTTTTTTTCTTATTTCGAAATTTCCACTTTGCTGATAAATGCGTGATGTGGCATTTTTTCCTTTTCTCTTCGTTTTTTTTGGATGGGAGAATTGTGTACACCCTTCCTCTTTTCTGATATGCAAATACTGATGATAGGACTTATAACTCTTTTTTACATGTGTATGTGCAGGCATATTGTACACATAATGCAACCATAAGGAAGGGATAAACAGAATATCCCCTTGGTATAAATCTGCCACGAATGCAAATTTGTGTATTATTTTTTTCACGATTTTTTCCTTTTTCGTTAATTTTTTTTTTGTCAAAATGTTGAATAAATTGTACGATGAAGAAGAATTGATAATATGAAAATATTTTACAAACTTGGGTGGAATTAATAAAATTTTTTTTCTTCCTTTTACTTGAATTAGAAAATTGTCTGGGATGTCATAGTGCAGCCATATAAAAATATTGGTTTGTCCTATTCTTAAAATGGATGAAAAAAATTCAAATTTATCATGAGGAGGATAAATCTGTGCAGGTAAAAAAAAATTATCTTTGACAAAATTATTCATTTTTTTAATATTCGATACATCTTTAAATTGATTAGTCCCTAATGATCTGTAATAGTAGTAATAGTTTTCACTATCCTTATGTGTATTATGATTGCCATACCTTTTGTTTTCTCTTTTCTCATTTGGAGTTATCATGGTACAATTGAATGGTATACATTTCTGTTTTACTTTCATTTCTCCGTACTGATTAGTGGAATCATCTTTCAACGTCCTTTGTTCATCATTATGTGTTGTGAACTTTTTACTCTTGGGGTAAGTAAATGTATGAAATGTTTTTGTTCTTATGTCGTCTTTTTTGTTATTCGATGTGTTAATCACATTGGTAGATTCATCAATCTCTTTATTTTTTTTCTTCTCCCAAAGGATATCACCTTTGCAGAAGGTTATGTATATCTCTTTTCTACCTTCATCATATCGAAGTGAAAATTTTTTTTTTTTTTTATCTTCTTGTCCAATTAGTTGAATAAATTTTGTTATAGATGATAATGTATAGCAGAAATTTTTGTTTACATTGTTCAAAAATTTGGAATTGCTTATGTGTATGCTTACTTTTGTACTTCCTATATGTTTAATGATATTTCCGTTATTATATGTTTTTATGCATTTTCCAATTTTGTGACTCAAGTTTTTTATGATGATCGGTTCACGTTTTTCATAATAGTAGTTAAAGAAAAAATCAGATGATGAAGAATAGGAATAACTGTCTGCGCCTGTGCCTATACCTGTACCAATACCTATGTCTTCATTTGTGTTTCCCATTGGTAGAGAGACTCTTTTTACTTTTTTTATATTATATTTTTTTATCAGTTTTTCGAAAACTTTTGCTGTTTCTATTTCGTCTTGGTTTATATATTTTATTTTCTTCTCAATCAGTTTGCAGTATCTGTGGAAGTTCTCTGATATGGGTTCCTTCATTTTTTTTTTTTTTTTTTTCTAAGGAGAAGGGGAGAATAATTTACTTATTCAGTTTGGGTATATATATTTCTACAAGTTCGCCTTCTGCTGACTGTTGCGTTTTTTTTTTTTTTTTTTTGCAATTTGGTAACCTCTAGTTTTTTTGAACTTCACCATCTTTTCATTTGTTTCCTTGCAATGTAGCATTCCTTTAAATTTTTTTTTTTTTTTTTTTTTTTTCTTTACCTTTTTTTTTTCAGACTCTTTTAAAACATATTTTTATTATGCGAATTGCAAAGGAATATAAAGGTTACATGCCACAAATGCTTTCTACGTAACTATGCTACGAATTTTTAATATTAAACGCTCGAAAACCGTATAATTGTGCATGTTATGATGGCAAAAGGTACGAAGAAATTAACTTGGAGGGATTGAGTTGTCATGTTTTTGTTAAGAGCATTGTTACATTGCTAGGTGATGGGTCCCGCTTTTTTCGCTACATTTTTGCATAGCCCTCTGTATAGATCTATGCACATAGAAAGTGGATTTTTTTTTATTTATACTTTATACTTTACACATTATGTATTGTACATTATACAGTGTACATTATGAACAATATATTATACATTATAATACATTGTATTTTGTACATTGTTATACTTTGCATTTTTTTTTTTTTTTTTTTTTTTTTTTTAATGTAGCACAACAGTTACACAATAAATGTTTCATTGGAAATTTCGAATGGAACTATTTTAAAGAAGAAAATTTATTCACTGAGGGAATTAAAAGGATAAATTTTATTTTTATATCCATTTAACTTCAAGTAGAAAATTCCTGGGAAAGGTGTCTATGTGAAATTATTTCAGACCGCGTGAGTTTTTAATCCATAATTCATCTTCCTTTATGTAAACAAAATAAACATAATAAGCATAATAAAACATAAAGTCGAATGAGTTTTTCCTTTTCTGAAGAGCACTGTATATCCAACAAAAAGAAAAATGATGTGTTAAAAATAAATGATAATGTACAGATTTACAACGAAGGATATTTCGAAAGTTTTAAATTAGGGACTAACATGGGAAGCATGGAAGGGGAAGAAGTTCATATAAACAAGGCAGTCCACACGGAGACACATAAATTATATCCAAAGGATAATGCAATAGCATTTTCACTATTGAAGAAAAATTCATATGGAAGAATAAACAATGGATGGGGACACGTAACACGTAAGAATTGGAAGATAAATAAAAAGCTACAAGATTTTTGTATTATAAAGAATGTTTTAAATGTATATTTTTTGTTTGATAAGGATAATAATGGGTATATCGAAAAGAAATATGCCTGCTATGTAATTCAAATGATTTACGAAAATGATGTGAATTTTATGGTAGAAAATATTAAGCTAAATGAAGATGAAACAGGAGGTACGAATGAGAACTTACACGAAATTAACAGAAAAGAAAAAGAAGAAAACGATGAAGCATTTTTTTGCACAAAATCGTTTGCAAACTTTTTGCTAATCATTTTAAGGGAAGTGTCGGTTTTTGAACATATGGACGAGTTTATAAAGAAGGAATTTTTTATTGACATTGTGATACAATTCATACGAACTAGTAGACATAGTAAAGGGGATAATGATATATACGGAATGATGAAATATCCACAAAATATGATAACCAAATTTTATAGTTATGTGCATTATTTGAAAAAAGAGGATTGTGAAAAGAAAAAGAAAGAGCTGGAAATTAAAAAAAAGAAGAAACAATTGAAAAGTATATGCATTTTGGATGAGCAGTTAGTAAATGCAGATTTAGATACACATGTAAAATATTTTAACGAAAAAACGAGAAAAAAGTTAGAAAGTATAAAGATGGAAAAGAATGATAAAGAAATGAAGGAATGCACATTTTATCCTGAACTTACAGAGAAACCATTATATTTGTTAAATAAAAAATTAGAAATAAATAAAAAAAAATTAAATGAGAATAAAGAAATTAATAAGAAATATAACCCACTTACCATAACATATGATATAGACGATTCAATTGAAAGAACGTTACATTTGCCAGAAGAAGTTTCTTTAAAAAATCACAATGCACATTTAGCGAAATTCAAAGATTTGCAATATTTGTATCACGAAAATAACACCCAACGAGAGATTGAACTGAAGTATATAATTCATCAAGGACATGTAAATCCGAAGAAAATATATTGGCGTGATACATTAAGGAATAGAAGAGCCATTTCAATTCGAGAATTAGACATGGATCTCTAGAGCGGTCCACGAGGCGTTTTTTTTTTTTTTTTGTGTTTTTTTGTGTGTTCCTGCGTCTGCGTCTGCGTCTGCGTCTGAGGGAGGTTATGTAAAATGTAAACGTGCTTGAAAAAGTAAGAATGTAAATTATTTTTTTTTTATATTGCACCATAAAATATGTGCTAATGTAAATTAAATATAAATTGGGGGAGAAAAAAAAAGCGCCATTAAGTTGGATTTACCTGACTTGTTAAGAAACATTTTGAATGGGAAAGTTGCAAATTTGTGTGTAAATATACACAGCTTGTATTAGCCATATGTAATATTCATGATATTGAGGTAAAGATTTGGTCCATTTGGTCAATTTTGTCGTATTTTTTTTCGTCGTACCATATTTTAACCCTTGTTTGAGTGTTACTGATATTATCACCTTAACACTGGCGAAATTCCATTTTTGGTTTTTCGTTTTGATTTGCTTATTTGTGTTCGTTTATTAAATTTTAAGTGGTCATATTTTTTCGAATGCATAATTGCGGTTACACTTTTTTTAAAAACCCAATATAACTAATAAATATATGAACAATTTGGATGAAACAAAAAAAAAAAAAAAAAAAAATAGCTAGCTAGCTAGCTGGATAGCTATATATTACATATCATACTCTTTGTAATATCCCTTAAGGTAGTGTTACATGTTTGATGATTGGACATAAGTTTATGCACAACAAGACAATTTAATGAAAAAATGTTATGTGATATAACTGGGGAAAATATTGGGGAACACCTTGTATGGATATGCTAAATACTCGTGCTTATTTATGACTATATATATTTATTTAGTTCTTTATACATGAATAATATTAGCACACGGTAAATAGCATGTGTGCGTGGGGGTGGAAAGGTGTCTTTATATACTTAATTGCATATTGTACAAATGACAGAAAAAGAGATGAAAATTGGTCAATTTGAAGAATAAATACGAATTAAAAAAAAAAAAAAAAAAAAAAAAAAAAAAACTCATGGTAAAGGCTATGCTTAGTATTTACCATTCTCGATACTTTGAATTGTTTTTACCTAGGTTCTGTATGCTCTATGGGGGAGGGTATTAGCGCCAAAAATCCTGTTGTCAAATTTACCCCCCCCCCCCCCCAAAAAAAGCGTGGTGCCTACATGTCCGATTCGTCAAAATAGATACAACAGGTGCTGGAGCACCCCTACTTTATCGGCTCCAAAAAAAAGGATAGGGTATTAAATTATTTTTAAAAGGCTTGTAGGTTTTCACAACATATCAAAATAGAATGAAGCAAAAAATTGGTGTATAAACAAGTTTTACACCTTGCCCCCCCCTTTTATATCACTCTTTTTTTTTCTTTGAATTCTACTTGTGGGAAATGTTTCGAGAATTGTGACCAGTTGTTGTAAATTCCGTAAATTGTAAATAGGAAGGAATGCGAAGAATATGGTGGGATGGGTAACACATTCTAGTTATAATTGTAGAAACCATATGGGAACTCATAATAGGGGGAGGGCTATGCATAACTGTGTACAAGTGGATTGGTAACTGTGCTTGCATGCGACTATACATGTATGTGTGTACGTATGAATGTAGATATGCATGAATGTAGATGTGCATAAATGTAGATGTGCATGAATGTAGATGTGCATGAATGTAGATGTGCATGAATGTAGATGTGCATGAATGTAAGTATGTATGAATGTAAGTATGCATAAGTGTGAGGATATAGGGATGTTCGTTTTGTGTACGTATTTACATGCTTCATGTTTATATCCAATCATGTACTTATTGCAGGTATGGTTTATACTACATATGTACATACATGGTAATGCCATACGGGCCTACAATACTGACAAGTGTACGCCTTTTGCATTAAGGAGATGTACTCCTGAAGTAAATTCATGTATATGCATATATTTATATAAATATACATTATATATGTATATATAAACAGAATGAGAGAAAGGGGTTATATATATCTTAACATATGTTGACCATCTCTCCATGATAGAACCCTTTTTGTCATATTAAATGGGTAAAATGTTATTTTTACTTTGATTTATATTGCCTATTTTTACAATTTTTTTTTTTTTTTTTTTTTTTTTTTTTTGCTTTATTATTTTTTTAATTTTTTTGCACGACAATTTAAAAGTGTTTTTTTTCTTTTCTCTTTTTTTCTTTTTCCGTCCTTCACTTTTTAATTTTATTTCACCTCTTTACTCCTTTTTGTTTTATTTTTGTAAATATATATTTTTTTTTTCTTTTTTCATATAATACATTCATTATGTGTTTTTCTGTTCTCTTTTACATTCACATTTTTTTTTTCTTCTTTTTCTCCGTTTTCCTATAAACCTCTTCGGTTCAACCTTTTACGCTTTTTTCCCAAATTTTGACGCCCACATTATGTGAATATTTTTTTTTTTTTTGACTCGTTGGTTTGCCTTACTACGAAGATGTATATGTAACATATATTTATGTTCGTATCCATTTCATTGATGAAAGAAAATTTCTTTTTTTTTCCTTTTTTTTACATTTTTTTTACATTTTTTAACGTTTTCACACATATGAATATTCGTTTTTGTAAAGAACATTTTATGAATAATTAAAAAACTATGAGTTATGTAAATGTACCAAGTGGAGAAACGAATTTGAAGCATGCTATAGTATGTGTTATGTGTATATATTTGTACATTCATATACATATATGCGCACACATAGGAGTAATTTATGTGGCAAATAAAAGCCATTAAACGTGTATTTATATATATGTATATATTTATGCATATACGTAGATATAGGTACATATGCAAGAAAGCAAATAAACGTGCATTCACTATGTAGCTATTGTATTGTTATACATAGTGTTTTAAGTGAAAAACCACGCGAGCTGTTGAATTTTGCTTAGACTCCTAAATTTTGGGGTGTTATACACAGGTTCTCCATAAAATGAGCAAAATTGGACAGTGACCTTATAAATTTGTGATAGAGTGTTTTATAACAATTTTTGTTAAATTGTGTTTTATCCTAATTTGTGCAATAAATTTGAATTATACTTTTTGCTCGATTGGGTTAAAGGGAAAAAAAAAAAAAAAAAAGCAATGCATTGCAACGCCTATGAAGGCATGTATACATTTTCCACACCCACGTGCATATACGACCATCATACGGAGTAAACTGGATCGAAAACGAAGTGACATAGGAAGTTTACTTGAACATTTTAGCAGTATTGCCCTCCGAGGCACACACACAAACATATATATATATATATATATATATATATGTATATATTTACATATATAGACGGTTAAAACTCCTGTAGAGTAAGGTAAAAAATGAATGAGGCAAACAGAGGTGGCCAGGAGGAGAGAGGAAAAAACGATGGAACAACATTCGGCAGTATTGGCAAGAGCGGGAGTATGTATCATAAGAATTCAAACGAGGCTAACAAGCACTTATATAACAATGCCAATTATGGAATGTATGGTTCTTCAGTGAGTGGGCTAAGCGGGTTGCAGAATTTTGGTGGTATGAATAATGCTCACAATGGATACCCAAATGGATTTCAGAACCTGTATTCAAGTGGTGGTTACCAGAATATGGGATACCAAATGGGTAGCTATGCAAATTATCAAGGAAATAACTATCTTTATAACAAGAATGAAAATTATTACCAAAATTTCAGGAGCGACGAGGATAACACAAATTATTATCATCAAAAAGATAGTGGTAGAATGGGAGGAGTAAAAGGAAGTAATAACAGAAATAGTAGTAAAGAGATACAAATAGAAGAGGAAAAGAAGGAGGAACAAAACAAAAATATTGACATGTCCACGAATCCTATGAATAACAGTGATAATTATGTAGAATTATATATTAATAAGGTAAAGGAAATATACTATTTTCACGTGTTCTATCATTACTTAAAATTAGGATATCCAGAAAAAGAAGCTGCAATAGAATCAAAAAAGTACATTTTTTTAACTTTAAATAGATATTTCTTATTAGTTAAGAATGCCATATTATCATCCCCGGAATCTATCAACCAGATAAATAATTGTGTTTCATCAAATTTGTCATATTATCAACAGCAAACAAATTTACAAGAATTTTTACTAAATCAGCAGGTAAATTTGCAGAGTATGAACTTAAGCAATTTGAATATTGGAAATATTAATATACCCTTGACAGATCATGAGAAGTTGGGAGATTTGTCCAAGATAAATTCTGGTTCCCTTGAGGGAACTGAGGGTATAAATGATTCTCATAGATTCAACGGGATTAGTGGAGGTAACAATGAGACTCATACAAATGACAGTAGGGACATGAAAAGTGGAGGGAACTCAAGTAATGTGCACAATTTCAAGGCAGACAAAATTAATAATATGATTGATTCAATTGAAGAAATGAAAAAGTTAAACAAGAATAAAAAAGAAAGAAAAACATTTTCTGATTTAACTCCAGCTGAACAATCAATGGAGTTTCAAAACAATTTAGTATCAAGGAATAAGAATATGAACAATGAAAATTTTGATGAATACAATATTGGTGAAGAAGGTATGGATGTTAGCAATGGTTTGTATAATTCTCATAAAAAGAATAACGATTATTCTTATAATGAAAATGAGGAAACAAAAAAAAAAATCAGTTTTACTTTAAATAAATCTAGAAATAAAATATTCCAGACATATAACAGAATTGGAAATGATCCCAATCGTAGGATGACAAATGATGAAATTCGTGAAGTGAATGAATTGGTTGATGAACATAAAACTAAGGAAAGGAAGATGCACATAAATATGTTAGGTTCGAACATGGGAGTACAGGATACAAATAGTATCATGAGCAAGAGCTTTGCAAATATGATGGCATACGACAAACGAGGAAATAATAATAACAACACGAGTGGTGGGTTAAGTAATGACATGCATGAGAGAAATGAAATGAATGAAAGGAATCAGATGAAACAGTCTAGTGGACTTTACACAAGTGTAACAAGAGAAAATAATACAAATAGGAATTTCAATTATGACCCTACAAATACTCATGAATATGCAGTTGGAAAAGAAGTTGAAGAAGCAGAAGAAAGGGAACAAGGGGAAGAAATAAAAAGAGGAAGAGGAGGAGGAGGGGTAAATAGCAATGAATACCACCAGTATAACAAAAAAACGATGAAAATGAATGATTATAATGTAGAAAACAGGAATGGTGAAATACATAATAGTGAAAGTATCACTAATAATAAATATATTAAAAATGGTATGAGCAATTTTAACAATATGGATAATATGATAAACAATAGTAAGGATAATAGTAATCAGTATAATAAAGATTACAATAATATAAATTGTGGTTTGTATAATAATGAAACTGAACTAAACGCATTTTCCAATGGATTGTATAACAAATGGAATTACAAGGCGAATATGAATCGTGGGAATCGTATGATGAATGGAGGAGCAAATACTACTGAACAGTTTATGCAAAGTAGTAAACATAAATATGGTAATAAGTTACCGAATGAGGAAGAGAATACTCACAAATCCTACATTGATGGTAACATGGAAGAAGAGGAGGAGCAGCAGGAGCATGAAGAGAATGAACATGGAAATGAGAACAGATTTTATAAAAATGTAAGGGATGCAGGTCATGGAATGCATCGGAATAATAGGAAAGAAATGAGTAGTAGTAGGTATAAAATGTACAAGAGTGGTAATAAGGGAGGCCGGAAGGGTAATGATGACGATGATAGAGACTATACAGATGACAATGATGATAACACTAATAAGACCCGAACGAACATAACACGATCGAAAGAACTTCAAAAGGAAGATAACAACGAATTATCTGAAACATGTGACTCGTTAAGAACTTATATAAATAACTTACAAGAGCAGTTTAAACATGAATGCAAGAATAAAGAATTTTCAAAGGTTTTTAATGAATTCTTAAACAAATTAATTACTTGGAATAGAAAGAGGTTTATGAATTCCATGTTTTGGGCTAGCAATACAATGCCAACCAAGGAAGATATTCTTGCTTTGGATGTCTTTTTCTTTCAGCGTAGAAGTAATTTTTTTTTTTTCTTCTTTTTTTTTCACATTTTATATGGGATAGAATTTTGTCCCCATGGTGCAAAGTCCACAGGAAAGGGGTGGGAAACATTTTGTCATTCTGATGTTGTCCGGATTTGAAGCAGCCCAGATTTGAAGTTGCCCAGATTTGAAGTTGCCCAGATTTGAAGCTTCCCCGTTTTTATTGTTGCCCCGTTTTGATGCTGTTTCATTCCCACTTTTACCCTTTTCAGGATGGAGAAAACGATTTTCTGCTGACGGAGATCAAGAGAACAATATGCAACATAACACACATTCTAGTGAGAAAAAAAAGAAATTGAGTGCTGAAGAAATTGAAAAGAGAGATAAGAGATTGGAAAAGTATTATGATACAGGTAAAGGGAAGAAGAATGAACAAACATATAATTCATATTATATTAATTACAATGGAGGAAGTGAAAGAGGACCAGATGATTTCAACAGTTTGGAGAAATTGCTTGATAAATACAATTATTCAAGCTGTTATAAGAACAAGAACTTTGTTGGTTTATGCAAAAGTATTCAGAAGTTTTTTTTTAGGCTTACATCCCTACCAGAGAGAAAAAATGTAATTAAAAAAAAAAAAAAAAAAAAAAAAAAGGTCTATAAAAAAGTTTCATGTTTTAAGGATTGGAAATTACTTCGTGCATCTACTTTGCGTAGCTTTTATAATCCATTTGCATTGTTTACATGTATCGCCTATGCATGTATAAGTGGTTTGTTTATGTGGATTCTGGGCTTGTTCATACGCGTTCAGTGTTTTTTTACATGAGTATCCAATTATATCCCATCTTACCCTATTTTATCCTATCCTATCCTATCCCATCCCATTATGTTGTATTTTTTTTTTTTTTTACCACGACATCTGTACAGGTGAGGAGTTTTTCAGTTCTGAAATGCACGTACGCTTACATCCTGCACAAGTACAACATTGATAGGAACTACAAATACATCAATGAGCAGTTTAGATCTATGCGACAAGACATGAACATACAGAATATTTTTCACGACGATGTTATTAATATATATGAAACGAATATCAGAATATGTATTGTGAATAATGACTTGTTTCAGTTTCTTCAGTGCATTAACAAATTATTTGAGTTGTATAGACGGCTTAACATAAACAAGTCGAAGGTAAAATAATGCTTTTCCTCCTTCATCTCCCCCTCTTTTTTCTCCTTATAACAAAATATAAGAGAAAAGTATGATTGGGAATGGTTTTTTGAGAAAGGAGAGATAAGATATGTGGGAAGATACCTTTTGACTATTTTGAATTGTTGCTATCTCATACAAGCACAGGAGTGTATGTTACATATTTTGTGCATAAATATGCGAATACATATAAATATTTTTTTTTACTGTGTTTTTTTTTTTTTTTTTTTTTTTTTTTTTTCTTTTGTTGCAGATTGAATTTCTATGCTACAAGCTGATATACTTAACTTTACAAAATATGCACCAAGAGTTTCTGGTAGAATATGTGACATTGAGTGATGAAGAAAAGAATCATGAAAACATACAATTATGTTATTACTTGAATGAGTGCATAAAGAATAAAATGTACTTAGTAAATATCAACATGGTTTCGCCATTAGATGATGAAGTAAATCATGAATATATATATTACAGGATTTATGTGAACGATCATATATTATCATATTTGCCCAATCTAATAGAATTAAACGAGAATGCTGATTTGAATGTAAATTTGGATTCTCTAACTGAATTTGTAAAACAGCACAGTGAAGTGAAAACTGAGGAAAATGCAGAATTTCTAAATGAATGTGAAAAAAGGGACCCCATCAAAATGCCATACCTCACAAACTATTTGATTGTTTTGTTTTTGCCCAAGTATAGACTATTGGCTCTTATAAATATATGCATGTAAGGCGTAAAATACGGTGCGCTCGTTGTTTTCCACAGTGCCACACCTGTTTGCATGCATCATGAGGACTCTCCTGTATGCGTGTGTAATTGTGTGTACATGTATAATCGTGTGTGCATGTATAATCGTGTGTGCATGTATAATCGTGTGTGCATGTATAATCGTGTGTACTTTCTGCGTTGTCATTCGTCCGTTAGTCCCAAATAGATGGATTATATTTTGCCACACATCTGACGATTCCCCTAGTAATGTTTAATTTCATGCCAACTCATCACATCTCTCTTTTTTTTTTTTTTTTTTTTTTTTTTTCCTTTCCAGGACTAGTATCAAAGTCAGTATATCCACACTAACGAAACTGCTAAATTTTGAAAACGATGAACATTGCTTAAGTTTTTTGGAAGAAGTTAACACAATTCTGAAAAATAATGAAGTTATTAGTAAGCCCTCGCTGGATAATCTCATGAAATCCCCGCTTCTCAAAAATAAATACATTAATCACATCAGGTGAAGTGTACACAGGTGTGTGTGTGTGTGTGCATAAATGTCCATCTTTTGAAGTGTACACGAGTTCGTACAAGCGTGTAGAGCTCACGTTTGTGTGTGGAGGGGTACAGTATGTTTACACATGCTTATACATTGCATGTAATATATGTGCCCATATGTAAAATGTGCAAACATGAGCTCACTTTTTTTTTTTTTTTTTTTTTTAACATTTACGCAAAAGTGCTCTGATTATGTAGTCTCCATTTTTTGGCGATTTTTTCGCAACATTTTTCATCATTCGTGCAAGCAATTTATTTTATTTTATTTTTTTTTTTTTTTTTTGTATTTACGCCCATACAGACGGTATAATTCACTTGTTACGTTTATGTACGTACCAATATAATAAAACAGAAAGACTTGTCTTACCCGACTAAAATTAAATTAATATCCCTAGCTTACTGAGAATATCTCATAGGGGGGAGAAGATTTGTGCAAATTTGGAAAGTTATATTTTTTTTTTTTTTTTTTTTTTTGCTTTGAGATAGAATATATACTATTATGTACCCTTTCACATGGAGTGTAATAAAACGTGTGAAAAATGTGTAAATCTGAGTTTGGCAATTTTTGAGGTAAAAAAAATGAGAATTTTCTGTTAATTGGTTCGTTTTTGTGTTTTTGTTCGACAGGGAAAATGGGTTTACCTCTTTTGTGGACTTTTTTCTTTTTTTTTTCACTCCATTCTTGTTAACTGTGTCCATTCTTGTTAACTGTGTCCATTCTTGTCCACTTTGTCCATTCTTGTCCACTTTGTCCATTCTTGTCCACTTCGCCCATTCTTGTCCACTTCGCCCATTCTTGTCCATTTCGCCCATTTGAATGTGCCAACATTATGCCATTTCCAAGTCTCGATAAGGTAACTTTCTTTTTTGTACAATGTGCATAGGAATGGCATACACTGGGTGCATTTCTCTGAGTGTTAATTTTTTGTCTGATTGGTTCAGGTTATCTATTAAACTTAAGGCAGCTAATCCAAAAAATGTGTGGCATATATCTGGTAAGCAATCTGGGTTGTCACTTATACCACCATTATCTAAGTCTTGACAAAAAAGGATATAATTTTTTAAGGCATATTTATTTATCCACTTGTGTTTTTTTAAAAGTATTAATGAAGAAAAAATCCACCATGAATAACATGTATCTGTTAGTTTTTCTGCCCTTCCGTTGAAACCACCATTATTAGTTTGTCGTAGACTTAACCAATCACCTATTTTTTTTTCATTAATTAAATACAATTTTTGAATTAGAAATAGAGTTGCAACACAGCAAAAAACGCTAGCTGCGTGGGGTTCATTTCCACTAGTCCATGAAAATCCATTTTCACAAATAGCATAATTAGTTAAAATGTAAGATCCTATTTTTTCTGTTGAAACCATGTTCAGTTTGTTTAGTATGGTAAGACAGCTAACTGCACTATATACAAAGCGTGTATCAACTTCTCCCCAAATATCTCCTCTGCAAGATCCATCTTCATTGAACAGCGTTAATATATAATCACACGTTGCGTCTCTTATGGTTTTTTTAGAGTTTGTGTGTTGGTTGACACTGGGACTACTAATCGATGCATTACATCCATTTATGCAATCCGAGTTTGTTACCACCTTATCTGTAACATCATTATCATGCTGGACGTAAGGGTTGAATTCGTCAAAAGAATGGTTCAGTAAAAGAAGAGATAATATAGCGTGATGTGTCGACACCACGTGCGAATCATAATTTGCGTTGTTACCAAATCCACCATCAGGATTCTGGCATTGCAAAATAAAATTAATGAATTCTTTTTTTTTATTTATTTTGTGCGATAGTATTTTACATGAACAAAGGTAGTAGAACACTCCACACATCTTGAGAGTTTCATTGAATATTAGTTCTTCTGCGTTAGACGTAGTTGTGTACGTGTTCAGGTAGTTTACATGCTTTTCTTTCACGAATTGTATTTCGTTCATCTTTTCTTTTGCACAGGAAGGTGCGTCTTATATTTTGTGCAGAGGTAGACGAGTCTTATATACATATATATTTTTTATGCGTTTTTTCTATATGTTCAAGTGGGTAGCTTTTATTCGATCTAGATTAATGAACGGGGCTGATGAAAACGAAAAAAAAAAAAAAAAAAGAAGCATGAGATAGATGGTTATTTATTTTGTACAATGAAAAGTATAACTTGTGTGAAGCATATAAAGTGCTGCTTATTTTCCATAATGTAATATGAGAAAATGAGCAGCTAGTAAGGAATAATTATATCTATCCATGTATGTGGATATTTATAGGTTTTTTTTTTTTTTTTTTTTTTTCTTCCCATACACACAGCTTAGTTAATTCCCTGCAATAATGGTATTCGGTAGGTCTATCAGGCAGCATTGGTAAAGAGTTAAGTTGTTCTGTTAAAAATAGAGAAATAAAAGAGATCACATTATCATAAATCCTACATCCTCCATCTCTTCAAGTGATGAATTAGAATATTTTAACACGTGAATTCATTTGAAAAAGCATATCTAAAAATGATGTGACATTAATACGCATATATACGTAGCCCATAAAAGAATGACAAAAAAAAAAAAAAAAAAAAAAAAAGAATACATGTGACTATATAAAGCTTATGGATGCTCTTAATGTTGAGCAGAATAAAGAAAAGCATAACTCAGAACATATTTCAGTACTTTTACCCCTTGATACAAAGTACGAATACAGATGAACTGGTATTTTGGTTCATCCCATATGTAGGATCTGCGAAGAGAGAAAGTCGCAACATTTTTATTTTTTTTGGACGAAACTATAGAACCATAACGTGTTTACTACCCACGCTGTGCATCCCTTTTCAACGAAATAGGAGCAAGTATAGTAATATATGTTTTTTTTTTTTTTTTTTTTTTTTTTTTGTGAATATGATAGGACTTCTTCAGTAAAATGTTTATATTGTTCCAAAATTGATATAATTTGTGCTAGGCATTTTTTTCATTACCTCTCCCCCAACAACACTTTAAAAAAAAAAAAAAAAAAAAAAAAAAAAGTGACAAAACCTAACCATATATAACACTTATGCAAAGCACAAATGAATTAAAACAATGAAAGGCTGAAAAAACAGAAATGCTTAAACTATTTTTAAAAAAAAGATACGACACTTTAGTAGTGCTAGTCCTTTTATTAATAATCGTGAACAGAGATACAGATGCAGTTGTGAGGACTTTGAGCAAGTGTAATAGAAGTGATGTGCATATTTTTGGGCGTGAAAATGTAGGAAAGAGGACCAGAGGTGGGAGAATTTTCCATTTTCTTGGATCATCTGTGAAACCACTTTTCATTGGTAGAAGGCACACAAAAGATGTTTTATTTAACCATTTAAAACAAAAGAGAAGTAAAGTTAACTTATTTCGTTTGAAGCTAAGTAGCAATGCATGGGCTAAGAAAAATGTAGAACTAGAGAATTACAGAAACATTGGTATAATTGCCCATATAGATGCAGGAAAAACAACAACGACAGAAAGGATACTATATTACACAAATGTGATTAAAAAAATTGGTGAAGTACATGAGGGATTATCAACTATGGATTATTTAGACATAGAAAAAGAAAAGGGAATAACTATCAATGCAGCTGTTACTACTTGTTATTGGAATGGAAGTGAAAAGAATCTAGGAAATTATAGGATAAATATTATTGATACACCAGGGCATGTAGATTTTACTGCTGAAGTAGAAAAAAGTTTACGAGTCTTAGATGGAGGAGTAGTTGTATTCGATAGTAGTGAAGGTGTTGAATCCCAATCTGAAACTGTATGGAAGCAAGCGAACAGATATAATATTAGCAGAATAATATTCCTTAACAAATTAGATAAAGTCGGGGCTGATTTCGAATCATGTATAGAAGAAATAAAAAGGAAATTAAATAAAAAAATTCTCATTTTATATGTCCCAGTTTTTGAAATGAATAATTTTATAAGCACAATTGATATATTAAGAGAAAAACTTATTGTATATAAAAATTCTCATGAATTCGTATATGAAAATATTCCTAAGGTATATTATGACATTTTTTTAAAATATAAAAATTTATTATATGAACAAATTGCTGAAAAGTTTAATTCTTTTCTCGATAATTATTTAAACGATAGAGTTATGAAAATTGAAGAAGTAGAACATTACATTAGGAAACTAGTAGTGGAAGAAAAATACAATGTTGTTATATGTGGTTCAGCCCTAAAAAACAAAAATATACATATGCTTCTAGATTTAGTTGTTAAGTATTTACCATCTCCTATAGATTCAATTCAGAATTACAAGAAGCAAGTTATATATAAACATGATGTTAACAAAAGGGGAGAAAAAATCATTCCACTCCATTTGTGTACTGAAGGAACCGGAAAAAAAATTGGACAGGAGGAGGAACATGGCAATGATAGGAAGGAAGAAACCCATAACATGTTGAAAAATTCTCATTTAAGTGATGAAACGAAAGAGAACATTAGCAACCGATTAGGTAGTGGTGGCGGAGGGGAACAGAGTCAGGAGAAGAAATGTACGCAAGAAGTAGGGGCTAAAAAAGGAGTGAATAACAACATCCAACAGAATGATGCTTGTGCTAATAGTGGAAAGGAGAATGATTTGATTTCTGAAGAATTGAATGAAGTAAACATAAAAAATTACAAGAGAAAAGTTGTAGCTCTAATATACAAAATTATGAATGATCAACATTTAGGAAACATTAATTATGCTCGTATTTATGAAGGACAAATAAATAGAGGAGATTATATATTTAATAATAGAACAAAAAGGAGTGATAAAATTTCAAAGATTTTTTTTATTCACTCAAGCGAAAAGCACGAATTGGAAAATGCACGTGCAGGTGATATTGTTGGATTGGTTGGGCTGAAAGATACACAAATTGGCGATACGCTTAGTAATGTTTTTCTTAGAGCAGAATTAAAAAAGATTAAAGATATTCCCCCAATTATAAGTTTTTATATATATAACAAAAATAAAAATGAGTATGAAAAGTTAATCAATGCATTAGTAAAAATTAAAAAAGAAGATCATTCTTTTTTTTACCACATCAACCCTGATACCAAAGACTTACTAATAAGTGGTGTCGGAGAATTACACTTACAAATTATTATAAATAAAATACAAAAGGATTTTAATGTACCAATTGTATACGGACAGCCACAAATTTCATATAAGGAAACTTTTGTTGAAAATGTGGAGGCCAGGGGAAAGTACATCAAGCAATCGGGTGGAAGAGGACAATATGGAGATGTGCATATTAAAATTGAGCCCATGTATAATTATGCAGAGGAAGATGACGAGGAGGAGAAAAGTGGCAGCGATGGGACGAATGGAAGGGATGGAATCAATGGAAACGATGGTGATGATGCGAAATTTAAAAACAAGCAAGGTAGAAATGATGAACAAAGTGTAGAAAGAAATAGCATGAATATTAACACATCCGAAGTAAATAATAACATTATCATTAAGAATGAAATCACATGTGGAGCAATCCCATCTGCATATTTCGATGCAATTTATACTGGAATAAGGGAACAGTGCAATTTGGGAGTTCTCTCAAATTCTCCACTGATCAATATTATCGTTAGAATAGTCGATGGGTCATTTCACCCTGTTGACAGTAATGAACACGCATTCAAGTTGGCAGCGGGGATGGCCATTCGGGAGGCGGCCAGAAAGACGTCTGTTCGGTTGTTGGAACCCATGATGAATGTACAACGAAATGATCACTCAATAAACGATGGAAGGAACTACTTCTTCTTCTGTATGAATATCTCCAAATAGTATTCATATACAGCAGCACAATATACATTTTTTCGTGAAATTTCCCTTTTTTTTTTTTGCAGTTAAATGTGTCAGTTCCCACTGAATACTTGGGTGATGTCATTAGTGATTTGGTTAAAAAAAGGGGGAAGATACAGCATATCGATGAAAGTAAGAAAAGCCCAGAGATAGACGCTCCAAAAAGTTTTTGTGCATGTTTGCGTGTAATGTGTGGCATGATCTAAGTTAACCATCAAAAAGGGTTAAATACACACACGCATGCATGTACATATGCATATATATATATATACATATATATATGTACACTTTCATTTACCCCTACTTGTGCACGCCCCAAATCAGGTGACGAATATACCAAGGAAATTGTTGCAAGAGCACCCATGGCTTCCATTTTGTCCTACGTTAGCGACCTTAGGAAAATAACCAAGGGAAGAGGTTACAACTTTTGCATTTAAAATGTTTTTGTTTCTCTTATTCAGTTATGAACAAAGAATATAACAATAGAGGGATAAATTCGGTGTGCACTGTGGAGGATTTCAAATTTCTGGAGCTAAAGTATTATCCTGTTCACCACGTTGTTCATTTGTATCTTTTTTCAGCTGTTAATTTTTTTTTTTTTTTTTTTTTTATTTCCCCCTCCCCCTTAGGCAACTACAGCATGACGCTTCACAAGTATGCCCTAGTGCCACAGTATATCCAGGAACAAATTTTACAAAAGGAGTAAAATGGTGAAGTGTTGATGTGTTGAAATATTGGAACCTATTTTCCCCTTCATTTTTAACGTTGACAAGATGAAACATTCTTCATTTTAAATTTTGGGCGTTTTTTTTTTTTTTTTTTGAAACAAAAATTATTTCAAAATTAAAATATGAACTGTTCATGTTTTTTTTTTTTTTTTTTTTTTTTTTTTTTTTGTTCATAAATATTTTTCCGTTGCATTATTCTCCGTTAACATGTTGGCTTTCTCATTTCCCCCCCCCCTCAACCAAATTTTGTCTATTATTTTTTTCTTTTTCTCTTTTCCTTCGTCCCTCATTTATTATACAACATATGATACTGAATTGGGGTATTCCTTTAAAATTTGAAAGTAAATATTCAATGATTTTATTTTTTTGAAAATTTTTATATTTTAAATCAATTTCGTTGGTTACATATTTGGCCGAAATTGTGAACAAATAGCATGCAAAAAAAAAAAAAAATAATAATAATAATAATAATAAATAGTAATAAATAAAAGAAGAGAAAAAAAAGAAAAAAAGAAAATGAATGTTAGTTCTTTTTTTTAGTAAAATGCATTTTTTTTTTTTTTTTTTTATTATGCTTGTATTTATTTTTTCCCGTTTTGTACAGAAGTAGAAAGGGTTAACTGTTCTATTTTTATCATTTTCCGAAGCACGTATCACAAGTTTCAGTTAAAAAGTTCTTTTGTGTGCAAAAATTTGTAGAACTGTGCTTTGGGAACGTATGTGATACGCCATTGAACGAACTGTAATGTGTAGTGATTTTATCAATATATTTTCAGTTTTGGACGAAGGTAGGGAGGTATAACTCGTACATAATTATACGTTGCATGAATATCTTTGTACACAGGGGTGTTTATAATTTCTGTTAGGAACTGGGTTCCCCCCATTAGTGTGTAGAACATATTATGGGTGATCCCTACATTTGCGAATAAGAGATTATATGTGTATCAGCCTTACATCCTGCAGCACTTCGACAAGAAGATGGGTTATTATTTATTAATTTTTTTTTTTTTTTTTTTTTTTTTTTTTTTTTGCAATCCAGATTGAGCATAGTCATGAATAGTAAAATCATGATACATCAGAACCTTGATACGTGGCATTCATTCGATCGAATATGTATAAATAAGAATCTACAATTTTGTATATGTTTTTTTTATCTTCTTCTTTTATGTTTTTGGTTTCATAATAATATTTAATCTTGTTGATATTATTTATAAATATATAATAATATATATCATTATTTTTAAAGTAAGCAAATAGCTTAAACATGACAGGGTATGAAAATAAGTCTAATTTGTTAATTGCTAGGGAATACTGAATGATTTTGTTCAATCTTGTACATTCAAATAGTATGTCTTGTAAGATATCTTTTCTCAATTTAGTATTTGTATTGATTCGTCTAAAAATTTCTAATTCCTTTTCATACACCTTCTTATCATCAATATACGATTTTAATGTCTCCATTATTTTAGGGGTTTCAAAAAATTCTACATATTTCATAATATGTAAATTAAAAAACGTTTCAAAATTTTTTCTGTTTTCATATATAAATGAACATACTTCTTTGTTCTGTACATCTGATGTGAATATTTCAACATTTTTAATATAGTTATGGGATGCTAAGCATGCTTTTAAAAGTAGAGCTATATTTAAAGGTATATTTTTTTCCCTATCTATATCGAAAATGGTTAAATGTGATAAGGTATAAATATAATGTTGCAATATGTTTTCATCTCTGTCATCGTTGGTTGTGTAGGAAGTTTCATCATTTTTTGTTATTGTTTGTTCTGCGTTTCGATTTACATGTAGAGGATGATTTGAGAAATATTCCCGATTGTTCAATGGTCTCTTATTTATGTGTACTTTCTTTTTAAACATTATATTTCCCCCATTCAGTAAGTCTAGGAAGAGTATTTTTTTGCAACGGGATACTCTAAGGAAAATGGAACACCATGCTATGAAAAAGCAGCAGGGAATGATTTTCCACATAATTACTGTGGAAAGATGTTTATATAAAAGATCTGTATTTTTGATATTATGATGAATGGTAAGTGTGTGATGTGCGAAACTCTCTATGTGAAATTATGTGATTTTGTTTTTATCCTTTTTTTTTTTATTATTTTTTCAAATAGTTTTGTATTATATATTTTTCTTTTTTTTCATGTGTGTGGATACATAACTGTGTGAAATTTTATCTATTTTTATTTTGGTTGATTTGATAAAATGTAGTTATTCCATTTTTAACCTTTTTTTTTTTTTTTTTTTTTTTTTAATCAAATGAACATATGATGGAGGTGTAATAATTTTTTTTCTAAATTAAGTATTTTTTCATCATTTAAGTGATATTTAAAATGTTCTTTAACTGGTGAGTACAGGTGGCATTTCCTTTGGTAAATGGCTGGGGAAAAAAAACTTCTATATTTGCTTAAAAGGCACGTCCGATAGAGAGGAAAAATTGCACATTCGACATTATTGGTTGTGTTTAAGAATGGATGTTGCATCATTGCGAGTAATTTCTTTAAAGGTACCAAACAGAGTGGAAGTTAATGTTAAAAGGAAAAGAAAACGAAAGGTCAGGTCAAAATGTAAGTCTGTTTTACATGCATGGAAAATATGAGAACAACTGGATTTTATGTTTCTTCCTGTTTGGTTGTACGAGCATGCGTGCTTTGCGTTATGTGTATGTAATGAAAAGGGTGGAGAGGAAAGTTTCCTATTTTAAAATGCACTAAAAGTGTTATTTAGTTTGTCAAGTAATTTATCATTTATGTTGTAAAAAATTATTACTTTTACATTTGTTTTTATTTTTACTTTTAATTTAATTTATTTTTTTTTTTTATTTGTTAATATGAAAAGGTTAAATATGCGAATTTAAAAAAAAAAAAAAATTACTAACACAAAAGTATATTAAAAATTACTAACACAAAAGTATATTAAAAATTACTAACCCAAAAGTATATTAAAAATTACTAACCCAAAAGTATATTAAAAATTACTAACCCAAAAGAATATTAAAAATTACTAACCCAAAGGAATATTAAAAATTACTAACGACATACGAGCAATAATCTGTTGTATACCCTTTATATATATATGTGTGTATAGGTTTACATGAGCATGGATAATATCTTTATTTTATCCCTACTGTCAGACTCTTGCGTGGATGATTTGCAACGGGTTATTTGCAAGAACGTGTAAACCCCATTTATACATACCAAAAAAAAAAAAAAAAAAAAAATAAATAAATAAAATGAATAAATAAAAACAAAAATCTGTTGTCTTAAAAATTTCACAAACAATTGCAAAATAGAGAAAAAAAGATGATATTTTTTAAGTGGGATATCCATAAACATATGCACCTCTTCATAAACAAATTCTTTTGTGAAAAACAAAGTCCTTTCTTTGGCATTCTATCGAGCAGTAATATACTTTTTTGCACTTTCCGCATCTCTTTAGGTTTTTTTCCTGCAAAGAAATAAAAAAGGTGTTAAAATGGGAGGAATGTGTATTAAGTCTTGTGTGATCTAAAAGCATAGGTGCTAAATATGAGAACATGCACATAAAACAAACACGAAATGGCGATGTTAAATAGGGGCAATAGAGATAATAGGCATGGTATAATATGCAGCTGGGGATATGGATAATTTTTTTTTTTTTTTCTTCTTCTTCTTCTTCTTTCTTTTCTTTCTCTTCTTTCTCTTCTTTCTCCTCTTCCTCCTCTTATTTTTACCCCTATTGGTGGGTACTCTTTTCATTTTGGAGAAATCGGTTGCCCGTTCGACAGACAGCCACGCTAGACTCCTACCGTATAACAATGTTCACAGGCGTTCGGCTTTTCATTTTGTATACTGGTACTGCTGTCCCCTTCTTTCTGTGCTTTCATTTGTCGTAGAAGGTCCTGCATTGCTTGAGCTTGGTCCCACCTACAGGACGGTAAAAATGGGTGTAAAAATGGAGATAAAAACATGGAGCTATTTATGATGGGTCATTTGACTGTCCTGTCAATCATTTCTCTTCGAGACACTATGATTGAGGGTAATTTTTTTAAAGGTTCAAAAACGGAAATGACAAGGAAAAAAGCTAGTGTTTTTTTTTTTTTTTTTTTTTTTATTTTACATGCAATGCTCCTTTATATAATACCTGTTTTCTGCCTTGGGTGGATTTTTCAAAAACTCATCATACTCAGATATTGTAAAATCACACCTCCTGAAATCCTCGTTATCATATGTCTTTGATAAGAATGCATCTCCATAAATTTCTGTGCTACATATTCTTGAAGCCCTACTATTGTAAGGCAATTTTTTTATGCGTCCAATATCATCAATATAACAATTAACAGCAAAATAATTTGTTTTTTCTGAAGGAATAGTTAAAGGTATTATTTGATAGGTTTGGGATGATTCCACTGCATTATCTATTAGATCTGGTGTTACTGTATTGGAATTTTTTTTTTCTATATTATTTTCTCCTTCATTATCATTTTCTTTACTACTTTTAAGTTTTTCTTTTATGGATTCTTTTAATTCATTTTTTCCTTTTTCGTCAAAAATTATTCTTCTAAAATAGGACGCCAAAACACTTTGAAATTTCTGCTCGCTTCCACTAAAAGTTAATTCTTTTATTTGATTGTTTATATCGCTACTTATCAAAACGTATTTAAATTCTTTGTGAATGCATTTGAGAATGTCATCTGCCATTTTTCCAAAAATGCTTTACTCCTTTTTATTTTTGTATTATTCCTTTTTATTTTTGTATTATTCCTTTTTATTTTTGTATTATTCCTTTTTATTTTTGTATTATTCCTTTTTATTTTTGTATTATTCCTTTTTATTTTTGTATTACTCCTTTTTATTTTTGTATTACTCCTTTTTATTTTGTATTAATCCTTTTTATTTTATACTATTCCTCTATATTTTATTATTATTTTTTTTTTTTTGTTGTTCTTTTTTTTCAAGAGTTGTGTGTTCTTCAATTTTGGTATAGACCTCAAGGTGTAGAATGCAAATGGAAGCATAATTATATACATTCAGGATATTTATAAAATGTTATGCCACGTGGAGGTGAATGTGCGAATGTCATGGGAAACCTATATATATTATATATGTACATGCTTGTGAAAGATCGACAAATTGTTAACTTGAAAGAAGAGTGCTATTTTATGCTGACAAGCTTTAGCTATTAAAAATGGAGAAAAGAAAAAATGTTAGGCACAAATGGTTGCCAAAGTTGGGGATTAGTTACAAATATTTTATCTTTTCTAACGCGGATTTAAAAAAGCATAAGAACAAAAAATTATTCTTCTGACATTGTTGCGATTAAATAGAGTTGCATTAATTGAACAAATTTTGAAATTATAAAAAAAAAAAAAAAAAAAAAAAAACGTTCCCAGAATACGAAGCAATTGTAGTGAAAAAATGTAAATAACGCGCAATGTGTATATATTTTTTTTGTATACACATATTTTACATGTATGGTATGTATTGTTGTGAAAAAGGAAAAAGAAGCGGTGGAAGAGAAGTTGGAAATATGTGATTTTAATTCAGTTATTGTTATGGTAGTCCAATAAAATGCTCTTACCCCCACCCAATATCACTGAGCGCTTTCTTCAACAACAAAAATAGGAAGGTAAAAAAGAGAAAAAAACAAAAAAAGTGCACATATATGGTGCTCATAATTTTCTTGTTTTTTTTAGCATTTTTTATTTTTGCTTTCTTTCACCTTTGGCATAAAAAAGCGGATATTTTTTCCTGTTTTGAATATACGGGAAAAACTATTGTTTCGCTTTTCATTTTAAAACTGTAGTTATTAATCTTCCATTGTGGTGAAGTTTGAAGGTGGCAAGATCGTTCTTGTCATCCATCACCAACTGTTTAAAAATTGTTCGTTTTTTTTTTTTTTTTTCTTTTTCTTGTGTTTGTCCCCCAGTTTTGTTAAGAATGTGCACATAAATATGTAGACTCATGTGTGTACATATTATATATATATATTTGGGCACATTTTTGGGTGTGTATTTGGTAAAGCAAATCAAATGGACAGTCAGAGAAAAGCACATTGGCGAAAAAAGGGAATGTGTATTTTTTTATGACTCAATTGGAATAGTACAACCCGTTTAGTTTTTTATACCCCCACGTAAATAAGCACGTGTGTGTGTATATTTTTTTTTTTTTTTTTTTTTTCCTTTTTTTCTAGTCACCTTTCGCACCTTTTTATAGCGTAAGAGCATATCTTCTATGTTTGTGTTGCTATATACAACATATGAATAAAAATAATGACAAGCTGGGAAAAAACTATTAACAAGAGATATATGAAAGAACAAGTTATCAGTTCTGACCCCATTTTTATTTTATTAAAAATTTTGTTAAAAAGGACAACAATATGAGACGACAAATATGAAGTGTTAAAGTGTGTTGCAATTTTTGGATGAACTTTGAAAAACATAAAAAAAAAAAAAAGTTCATTCGTGGGAATATATACATATCCATACGTATATATACATATATGTATTGGGGTGTACATACAAATGTGCATACAGGTAAGCACAATTTTTGTTAAACGCATTCAAATATTTTGTCAAAAAAATAATTTACCCAGTTATAAGTACAAAGATGGTGAGAAAGGGATACCACGGCGCAGTTTTTTAGTTGCTGTTGTCAAAATCTCGCACATGCTCTCGTTATTAATTCCTCTGAATGCACAGATCATTTGTCTTAGAAGTTCGTCCAGACGTCTGTATAATTGGGAAGGTTGTTAGTGGGTGTAGTTACTATAACTACATGTTGAAGATATGTATATACATAATCATACACATGTGCAAACTCGGAAATGGATGGGACTAAGGGAGGAGGGAGTAGGGAATACTAGCTCACCAACACGCTTCCCCCCTCCACTTTTCACGTCTACAGAAGTGGACAAAATTTGTACACATTCTTTGCAAAGAATTTTTAAGCAGACACATAATTTTCAATTAACACAGGTGTGGATGTTGATGGGGATGATTGTTTTACTCACCTGAGTGTCCTTATTATAGATCCCTCGTAAATCTGAGAGTCAGTAAGAATTTCCATAAAGGAATAACCACGAACCCAGAGCAAAACTATTGGCATGATGGCAGACTTGAATTTGTCCAAGTAGTCTTTTAAATTTATATTCATTCCACATTCATTCATTTTATTTGAAACATGGGTTGCAGTTTTAATTATTTGTTGGTAGCCTTCAACTAGAATTGGATCGTTAATGGAGATTTCTTTATTTGTTGATTCATCATACACAAAGCAGGATAGGAAGGCACATATATAATCGTAACTGTACTTGCTGAAGAAGTTGGAGAAAAATAATTCTGATATTACTAACTCGTCTACACTGAGGATTGCACTAGCTATTTGTCCCTTCATTGTTACAATATAACTTTTGTCTTCATTATGGGGAGATGTTGTATTGTTATGCATGTTGTTGGTATTGAGACTGCTATTTTTGGTATCAGTGTGGTGGTTGTCTAACTGGTTTTGGTGATTGTCTAACTGGTTTTGGTGATTGTCTAACTGGTTTTGGTGATTGTCTAACTGGTTTTGGTGATTGTCTAACTGGTTTTGGTGGTTGTCTAACTGGTTTTGGCAGTTTTCCAACAGTTCATGGTTGTTAACATGGTTTCCCTGATTCGGATCTGAATTAAGGCCCTTTTCGTCCTTAACATTTTCTATATTGTGTGAGATTTCAATGTAATCCAAACCTTCCAAGAGTACAAGCATATTTTTGAGCTCCTTTTTTAGAACAATAAATCGACACTTTTCGATGTTGGACTCTAAAATATTTTTTTCAAATTGTAAAGCAACATACATATTATATATTTGATAATATTTATATAAATTTTTACTATTTAATAATTTATTTTTGTTTAACAAATTTTCATGATAATTAATATTTTTTACAACTTTTAAAAATGATTCATCTTTGATATCCATTTGATATGGGTTAATGACTGGGATATTTTTTTCTCCTTTCAAACAAGTAACCATAGTATTGTATTTCATTTTTGCATTTTCAATTTCATCTTCATTTTTTTTATCAAATGGTTTTTCTATATTTAATACAACAGCTGATATTTGGTATATGCATTTAATGTGAAAACTCATAAGTTTCCATTTTGCCTTTAATCTATCGTTAGCTGGGGTATATTCCTTACCCACATCATCTTCCTTTTCTTCCTCCTCTTCCTCATCATTCTCGTCTAATTTTCTTTTTCTGTTTTGGATATATGGCACGAGACAATCCACAAGGAGAATATCTGTGGATGTGTTATTCCAGTAATTCTTGTGGTCATCACTCTGCACGTTATCTCTAGGGTTTGTCTCCATGCCAAGATTTCCATTCCGATTTGAAAATCCCGTACTCGTTTTTTCCACAATTTTCCCTTCAATGCATATAGCCCATCCCCATTTTAAATCGTCTTCAACAAGATAGAGAAGCCTTCCCATTGATAAATATGGGGTGATGTTATTCTTAGCCGTAAGTATAGACCTATATGCTTCTCCAAGTTCGATTAATTTATTTCTTATTATGTAGTAATTGGATATGCATGAAAAGACTGTGTTGTAATTTTTTAGCTGATCATTAAGAATATGGCTTTCACCGTTTAGTGTGTTGGTACTCACTAGATGTGTGTAATCCATTTCACCATTTCTTACTTGAGTTGCTTCTATATCACCTTGACATATTTCTGTTTTGCTACCTAGAGGCATAGTTTTCATATTTCCATTTTTTCCATTACATATCTGGTTAGATTTCCCTCGTTCCATCATTTCCTTGGCTACAATTTTTGAGTCTTCATTTTTCGTCGTGATGTTGATGCCTTCGTGGTTCTGCTCCTGGAGTGAAGTGCGCTCATAATTATCTAACATAATTTTTTTGAGAATATTTTCTTTGGTTATTTCTTTATTATCTTGGTCTATGTAAACGCTTGTTAATTGGTTGTAAATTTCTTTAATTTTTTCTTCCACTTTTTTTTTAGCTAGAATTTTTTGAAAAAGGTTTTTCTTCATTTGATATTGAATAAACGATCTTTCAATCATAAATTCTGGGGTAATTCCTTCTATTCTTAGAAGATTTAAAATCATGTTATAACCAAGATGAAACTGGCTTACGAGTCTGTTTGCTTCTCCTACGAACAATTTTTCTGCTTCTCTCCAATGTAATGGGCTATCTAACATAATGATAACGATTCCTCTATCATCTAATCCTCTTCTTCCAGCTCTTCCAGCCATTTGAATATATTCACCTGATGTTATTAACCTTTTTTCAACTCCATCGAATTTTTTTAAAGATGTAAAAACAACAGTTTTTGCTGGCATATTAATCCCCATAGAAAAAGTTTCTGTACTAAATAAAACTTTTAATAAAGATTCTTGAAACATGATTTCAATTATTTCTTTAATAATTGGTAATAATCCTCCATGATGTATACCTATACCTCTAAGGAGTAAAGGAAGAATAAATTGAACTTGTGGCAAAGCTCTATCATCATCTGCTAAAATTTGAATAGCATTTTCATACAATTCTTTTATTACTTCTTTTTCTGTGTCGTCAGTTAGATCTACTTTATGCATTGATGTTGCATTTACTTCACATTCTTTTTTAGAAAATGCAAAAACGATAAGTGGAGTGTAATTACGAGAATGACACATCTGAACAATTTTTTCAATATCATATATATTTTTTTTCATTTTTTTGGGATGTCTATTATTAGTACTGTGGTGACTATCTTCTGACATGTTCATTTTTTCTTTGATAGCATTAACTGCTTTAATAAAGTTATTTTTTTTAAAATCTTTATTTTCATCACATATTAGAAAAACACTTTCGCTAGATGTTGGATAAATGTAATGTTGTAATGGTGTAGGTCTATAATCTGTGTACACAATATGACAAGCTTGACTTTTGATACTACTTACCCATTCTGCAAATTGAATACCATTAGGAATTGTAGCACTTAGAAAAATAAATCGAACCATTAGTGGTAGTAAAATTATAGTTTCTTCCCAAATAACACCTCTGTCTCTGTCTCGCATGTAATGAATTTCATCAAAGATAACCCATTTTACTTCTTTGGTTAGAGATGAACCTCTATAAAGCATAGATCTCAATATTTCTGTTGTCATAACAATGATAGAGGCTTCAGGATTTATTGAGATATCTCCTGTTATCAATCCAACATCTTTAAATTCTTCACTTAGATCTCTATACTTTTGATTACTTAATGCTTTTATAGGGCTCGTGTAAATAACTCTCTGTTTATCCCTTAGTCCTAGGGCTATTGCATATTCTGCTATGACTGTTTTTCCAGCAGATGTATGTGCTGATACAAGAACACTTTCGTTTCTTTCTAAACATTCAATAGATTTCTTTTGAAATGTATCTAATTCAAATTTGTAAGTTCTGGCAGGAATGATGGGATCATTAAGCTTGTTGTGTACATAACTTCTTGGACGAACACATTTGTGAATGCAATTAACATCGTTTCCAAATTCTTCTAACACTAGTACATCATCATTGTTTATTGTTTTACTATTTTCTATAAGTATTTCTTCCACTTTTTCACTGATATCTGGATGATTTTTTCCTTTTTTCTCTTCACATAATAATTTCCTTATTTTGTTGTTAACATTTCTGGTTGTACCATCGAAATTTTGTATGCTACTATATATTTCTTCCTTGATTTGATTTTGCACTTTGTTATCCCTTTTTTTGTGTGAAATCAGGTTTTCTATGTTGATTTTCTGATTCGATTCTTCACTCCCAGGGATACGAGATTTCATGTTGGACTGTTCTTCAGACTGTTTTCTGGAGTGTGCACTGCCATCTTGTATACTTCTTTCCGTGTGTACATTAAGAATGTTGTCGTTAGAATTCCCTCTCTGATTAGAAACACAGGGATGATATTCCTCTTCTGCCGTGCTCTCAGTTATATGTAATTTATTGAGATGATGATTTTTCTTTATTTCACTTTGACAATGGATGTCTATTTGGGAGTTATTATCATTCTTTTCGTTCATTCCATTTTTTGTAGAAACATTATCTGTTATGTCATTTTCCTCAAAAACGTTAAATAGATCATCTATATTGCCTCCAGACATATTAAAATTGTGACAATTTTTTTTTTTTTCTTTTTTTTTTGGATTTTATGTGAGGGATATATTTATATACAAGCTAGGTTAAATGTTTAGTCAAATGTACCTTAGTATCACTCTGATGGTAGGAATAAAGAGATTTCTGGTTTGTATAATTTGTAATTAAAGGAACATGTCTATCAATGATTCGGTAAAATTGTAGACGCTACTGTATGTACACGTAACGTGTATTAAATTAAGTGGGCTTTTTTTTTTTTTTTTTTTTTTTTTCTTTTTTGGTTCTATGTCCTTCCCCTATGCGTTTCTTCACAATTTTGTTCGTTTCTTCATTATCTTGCCAAAAAAAATAAAAAAAAAATAAAGTAAAATAAAGTAATTAAAACGAATCTATCTGATCTGATAATGCGTTGTACTTTTTTTTATTTTTAACATATGTAAATAATAAAAAATATATATATACTCCTGAAAGGATTTTATCATTTTGCATATTTTTATTTTAGTTACAACTTTGAGGAAAAGAATATAAAAAATAGAAAAATAAAAACAAAATAATTGACTATGTATTATATATCATTCTTTTCCCTCGTTTGGCACAATACCCAAACGTTCACTACTTTTTTTTTCTTTTATGGGCTTCATAGTACGCTATGTACTAATAATTGCATTGGGGAGGAGCATTGTGTATACAGAATATCAATGTAATGTACTATTTGGAGTTTAGCGGGTAAATAGGGGTTGGGTAATGCACAAAAAGTGGCTATGCGTTTCTAACATGTTCTCTTTTTTTTAATACATGTTTTAATGGAAAAAATGTTAAGGTAAAATTTTATGGAATTTTTTTTTTTTTTTTTTTTTTCCCCCCCCCCCCTTTCTCTTTTTACATTGGATCAATTCGAGATTTCCACGTGTGATATTATACCATTGTCGTAAACAAAATTTTTTATGTATTTTCCTATTTTCTTAGTTGTGAGATAAAACAAGGCTTTTTTTTTTTTTTCGAATTCCAAATTATACAAAGGACACATGAGTGATACATATACACTTTTTTGTTTTCTCTCTTTACGCTAAAATGAAATGAACCCGTATATACATTAATTTAACAGAATGTGTGATTTATATTCATATTAATTAAAAAAAAAAAAATGTGCTATCGATTTGTTGGTGATGATAAGTGGCACACTATTGTCTACATATGTATGAACTTGTACATTGCATTCATTTTTAACGCTTTGCATGCCATGCCACATATTGTCACAATTAAAATGAAGTTATTCTGGTTACCCCATTACGTGGATTCATGCGGTGGGCTAATATTTCTTTTATGGTGCCACTTTGTACCATATGGTGGTCATATCATGCATAAAATAGGTTCTTATACACAGGAATAGACAATAAAAAAAACTGTATTATGTAATTTGTATGCGTAAAAAAGGGTATACGTACATTTATGCATCAGTATATATCACTATTTTAATGCGCATGAATGCCTAAATGGAAAGATAAGGAATTATCCAGCTGATATTTAGCAAGGGGAAAAAGAATATTAAATCGTGTTGGGAAAAAAAAAAAAAAAAAAAAAAAAAAAAAAACTTCTATCGTTTTGGCATTTCGTTTGCTCAGTTTTTATACCTTTCTCAAAATGATTTTCCTCATTAATCGTTTTTTTGGAAAATGCAAATTTTTATTAGTTTTGAAAAGTATATATGGGAGTTATAAAGACATGTGAAATGAAGAAGAAGAAAAAAAATCCTTGATTAAGGCTGACAAACATAAGGAGACCATGTGTTGGTAAAAAAATCAATTTCGATACCTTCGCAATTCAGCATTTTACCTTTTCCCCCTTTTTTATAGATAATACAGTAAAGAATATGACGTTCATTTAATCTTTTACAAAATGTTGCGCATGTTTTTAATTTCGAATGAATAAATTTGAGATATTTGACGAATTTTTCCTGTTCCTGCATACTTACAATTCTTTGCATTGTGTTAGCGAAATGGTGCAACCCATGGACGTTGGCTGTAAATGGGGGGGGGGGAATAATGATATTCTTGCCCCAATACTTGATATGTATATATATATATATATATTTGCCTCCAAACAATTCAATGGTTTCGAGGTGGGAAGGAAAAGTTTAGAGGGTCGTTTCCTCCTGAGAATTTTTACCTACTTGTTAAATGAACAATATTTAAATTAAATACACATTTTTTATTTTTAGCGAAAATAGGTATGGTTTTTATTACACGTGGAGAAATTATATTGATTATCTATTTTTCATTCGTTATTTTTGAAGAACATAACGATGAATGTATATAATTATATCAACATATTATAATGGAATATTTTCTTTTTCCTGCTCTTAATGGCAAAAGAATGTGTGTGGTAAATTATTGTGATTATTTATTTTATGTTTAATTTGGGTAAAGTTGTGTTTCTTTTTTTTTTGAAGTTCATTCGAAAAATTTCCAATTATTCTAATCTGGTTCCTTGCCTTACATGTTCTACTGATTGAATTTGTTCATTTATATTCTATTGAAGCTTTGTTTTTGCAAATACTTCTATGTAATGGTGAAAGGTGCTAACGAACGGATGTGCATGTGTAAGAATAGACGTATGTGGAAATGAATTTGAAGCCCTTTGATCATACTACAATGTGATTGAAATTAAAAATATTAAGCTCAAGTCGTCACAATGTTGGCTTGTGACATGCTTCAAAAAGGAAAATATAAAAATGAAAAAAAAAAAAAAAAAAAAAAAAAAATCATAACATGAGATGACATAACATAAAGTAGAGTAACGTGATATATCATAACAGTGTATGGACACCAAAGGAATTTATTTACTTTTTTTTTTTTTTTTTTTTTTTTGAATTGAAAAAATGTTGAAGCATATATGCAAGTTAGTAAGCACACAGGCAATTCATTACGGTTCCTTGTGCTACAAAAAAATATAGGCCCCTTTTTTTTTTATTGCTAAGGAAATTTCCACGTATTTTTATGTAAAGTAATCAAGTTTATCTTTCTGAATAAAATGTGATACTTTTGGTTTTTTACTTCTTTGAGTTTTTTTTGTGGTCCAGAGATGGGGATGCCAAATGAAAATCGGTGGAAGTTGTGACTTTTAGTTTTTTGCTTTTTTTTTAAGTTCACTTTTTTTTAGATTTTTTAATCTATTTTACATGTTTACTTTTTTTTACATTTTTTCAGGTTTTTTTAACATTTTTTTGCTTTTTCTTATTTTTGTGTTTTTACGCATGTGCATGCTTACTTTTACATTTTCACGTTTCACACTTCTCATTTTTACGCGTTCACCCCATTTTTTCCTTTCCCAGTTAATGTAAAATTCCCTTTTTGCATGAAACCAAAGTCATTCTGATTCCCATAACTCCGTTTTAAAAATCGTGCAAACTATATTCTTTTGTGTTTGTTTAACTATATATGTGAATGTATGAATATGTAAATGTTTACGTGACCCATATAGACACATACTCATAAACGTATACATTTTTTTTTGTTCTGTATAATTGTTTGTAGAGCTGTTAAAACGAAAGAAAGGAAAGAAAAAAAAAAAAAAAAAAAAAAAAACGTTTAGAAACTAGTATTATACACCTGAGGAAGGAAAAGTTGGCGTTCTATAAAAATTATATATTATTACCCATTTGATGTTTTTTTCTTTCCCTTTTTGCGTATTTAAATTTTTTTCCCTAGATTTAAAAGCCACATAAGTTTGCAATATTTCTTCATGCTTGAAGCATAAATGTGTATGCATGGCTTGTGACACGTGTGTATATTACGTGAGTAATTGTAACTACATCTTATGTAGCTCTCGTATATGCAATGATTGCATAAACAACACCTATTTTACTGATCTGTGGTGTGGGGGGTTATTCCCTATTTTTTTAAACAAACAGAAAAGTGGGGAAAGCCAAATTCCAATTTTTTCCAATTTTTTTTTTTTTTTTTCTCCTTAATGTACCTTTTTATTATCGTGTGAACATATAGTAACATACCTTATGTATCAGTTTTGCTTTATTACTTATTTTTTATTAAAAGAATGTTTTGATTTATTTTTGCCTTTAATTTAGTTTAGTTTAATTTAGTTTAATTTAATTTAGTATAATTTAATTTAATTAATTTTTTTTTCTTCTTTTTGCGCAGAACAGTTTGTATTTTGTGAGTATAAAAAAAATGAGCATGTTTATCACATTACCTGTGGAATAAACCTTAGAAAGTCGATATGGTTTGATTTCAACAGTTACCATAAATTTTGCCAATCTCTTAAGTGCATTTTTTCCTTATACATGTATACACACGTGTAGGAGTATACAATTTTGTATCTTGATCAAACATGCATATTCGAGTATGCACATGTGTATAGACACACATACATGAAAATGTGTTTGTTTGAGCGCATGTATACCAGTAGGTATATGTTTGAGTTTGTTTGTAACCTCACGTGTGCATGAAATATGTACACACATTTTTGTACCACACTAACGATACCAAAAAGGAAAAAAAAGGAAAAAAAAAGGGGGGAAAAAATAAAAAGCAAAATAAAAACAGTGAAATAAAAAGTGAAATAAATAGTGAAATAAAAACAGTGAAATAAAGAGTAAAATAAAGAGTAAAATAAAAAGTGAAATAAAAAACAAAATAATAGAGAAAGCTCACCACGGTTTTACTTAATAGTATAGAGCGCATTATGTATTATTTCCCATGTATGCTCCCTTTTGATTTTGAACAAGTAAGAAAAAACAAAAATTTGAATTGCATTTTTTTTTTTTTCTTTTTATTGTTGTAGATGATAAGATATATAACAGTTAACTTTCTATGAGTTAGTTGAAAAAGATGAAAACTAAAAAGAACAAAAAAAAAAAAAAAAAAAAAAAATAGAAAAAAAAAGGTATGTGTAATGAATAATTTTATAAAGTGCTTTAAACTAAATAATAAGAGAAGATATATAAAGAAAAATGTGAGTTTTGTTTTAAGTGAGCATTTAAACGTTTAGGTAAGTGTAAAAGTGTATATAAGGTTTATATGCGTATTTTTTTTTTTTTTTTTTTGAGTAAATGTCTTATTTTGTTTGAGTTCGTATATTTTAAGGAAAAATATAAGCTAATTTTTTTTTTTTTTTTTTTTTTTCATTTTCGCTTCTTCTATTGGAATTTTAATACATTTCATTACATAGAAGACATAAAAATTAACGCAATTGTTTATTATTTTTATGATGTTTTTTTTTTTCTCCTTTTTTCTTCTCTTTTTTTTTTTCTCCTTTTTTTTTCTCTTTTTTTTTTTCTCCTTTTTTTTTTTCCTTTTTTTTTCTCCTTTTTTTTTCTTCTTTTTTTTTTTTCTTTTTTTTTTTCTCCTTTTTTTTTCTCTTTTTTTTTTTCTCCTTTTTTTTTCTCCTTTTTTTCTCTCCTTTTTTTCTTTTCTGTTTTTTTTTTCTCTTTTTTTTTTTTTTTTTTTTTTTTTTTATTGTTGTAGATGATAAGATATATAACAGTTAACTTTCTATGAGTTAGTTGAAAAAGATGAAAACTAAAAAGAACAAAAAAAAAAAAAAAAAAAAAAATAGAAAAAAAAAGGTATGTGTAATGAATAATTTTATAAAGTGCTTTAAACTAAATAATAAGAGAAGATATATAAAGAAAAATGTGAGTTTTGTTTTAAGTGAGCATTTAAACGTTTAGGTAAGTGTAAAAGTGTATATAAGGTTTATATGCGTATTTTTTTTTTTTTTTTTTTTGAGTAAATGTCTTATTTTGTTTGAGTTCGTATATTTTAAGGAAAAATATAAGCTAATTTTTTTTTTTTTTTTTTTTTTTCATTTTCGCTTCTTCTATTGGAATTTTAATACATTTCATTACATAGAAGACATAAAAATTAACGCAATTGTTTATTATTTTTATGATGTTTTTTTTTTTCTCCTTTTTTCTTCTCTTTTTTTTTTTCTCCTTTTTTTTTCTCTTTTTTTTTTTCTCCTTTTTTTTTCTCCTTTTTTTCTCTCCTTTTTTTCTCTGCTTTTTTTTTCTCTCTTTTTTTTCTCTCTTTTTTTTATTTCTCTTTACTAATTTTATCAACTCTTCTATTCAAATTTATTTTCCTATTTTACATATCCATTTTATGTCTTTGTCTATAGGAAAATTTTGTTATATGTACATACGCACATAAATACGTTTTTATCTACGTTCATACGTATATTACATGTATGTTAGAGATCTCCATCGTCAAAAATTGTTAATATATAAAGAAAGCTTACATTTTTATGCATTTTTAAATGTGTATATTTAAATAAAGTGTGAGCCTTTTTCATTTTTATTCGTAAATAAGAGTAATAACAAATGTAATAAATATAATAATTATTTTTTTTTTTTTTTTTTTTTTTTTTTCCCCCCCCTGTTATTAACATTTGTTAAAGAAATGAGACGAGCACAAATTCATATTATTTGCTTTAATTATGCGTATTTTGTAAATTTTATAATGCGTTAGCATGTAATAATTGTGAGGCACTTGATGCTATCACACAATATAGTATTTCACAATATTTTTGCTTTATTTTAAAACCGAAAGATATGAAAAGTGTATGTTAATTGGTGTGTGCATATATTTTCAAGGATATATGTGTATGTATGTATTCGTGTAATTGTAAATGTGCAAATGTGTACAAGTATAATATACTTGTTTACATTACCTACACACACACTTATGCTTATGAAGAGAAAACCGCAAAATCAACAAAGTTCTGTGAAAAGGGGGAATTTAAAACGCACACGTATTAATTTTCCTATCATGTTCTTTACACGAATAATTATTGGAATTATTTCATCCTTTTTTTCTCTGTATCATATTTGAATTACTTTTCTCATCAACGAAATAAGTACACGTCTAGAGCATGCCTGTGTAAACACACATATTTATTAGACATGTACACGCATGTGATCACCGGTTTGTTGATGTTTTAACTTTATTCATTTATTCATCTATTCATTTATTCATCTATTCATTTATTCATCTATTCATTTATTCATCTATTCATTTATTCATGTATTAATCTATTCATTTATTCATGTATTAATCTATTCATCTATTCATGTATTAATCTATTCGTCTATTCATGTATTAATCTATTCATTTATTCATTTTATTTTTTTGTGTATGCAAAATTATTCGTATTTCAAAGAAAAGCAGTACGGTAGCAGAATATTATAGGAACAATTTGGTTTACACGTAGATATATGAGCAGAAAGAACATTGGATGTCAAGGATATATCAAGGATAGATAATTTTAATGGAACAAGGAATGAATAAATTTAAAAGACACTGAGAAAGAAAAAGAATAAAATTAGTATAAAGTCAATCACGACCTGCATTAATTCTAGTGGGCATTTATTTTTATCCTATTATTAAATGGGCATAAATATGTATGCATTAATTTCTTTTTATAATTTTTATATTTTCCTTTTTTTTTTCTTTTTTTATTTTTTATGTTTTTTTTTTGCCTACTAATTGTTCTTGATACAGCTTTTTCTAATTTTCCTTCCCTAAATGTTTGCCATTTTTCCCCTCCCTTCGTTGTGTTTGATATCTTTGCTTCCATTCCCAGTTTTTCTTCCCCTCCTAGTTTTTCTTCCCGTGTTACTTTTTCCGCTTTTCTATTTTTGCTGTTTTTACCCCTTTTTTGTATTTCTACCCACCCTATTACCGTCCCTTTTCAAAAACTTGGAAAAATTTTATATTTCTTTCCATTTTTCTTAAACATTCGAAGATAACCTTTCATACAAGATTCTGAACCCTTTTTGCACAGCTTTTACATTTTTTCCTGTCTTTCTCCACACATTTAAGAATTGCCAATATAACAAGATGAGCATCGGTGTACCAGTAACAAAATCATTTAATAAACTGAAGAAGTATCCATTTGAGATAAACAAATTTGATAGACGAGAAACAAACGAATATTTTTATTTGCCTGTTGATTGTCCACGCATGAAAAAATGTGATGATGCATATTGCCCATTAGCACACACAAAATTGGAAAAAATATTTCATCCTATAGTATACAAAACACAAGCATGTCAAATGGCTAAAGATGGAGCTTGTGATTATTTTCAGAAATGTGCATTTTACCATGATTCAAATGATAAAAATGAAGCGCATTTAAATTGGACTATTTGGGAAAAAAAGTGGGATAAGTGGAGGAACAATATTGACACTATATTAACACAGCATAACAAAAATGATAAAGAAATAAGAAGAAAGGTAGAGAGTATACTGAAAATACGTATGCCTCACGTTAACTATAATTCAAATAAAAACAACCTGTTTTTGAATAAGAACATATCGTTTCATTCTACTTGGCCCAATTTTAGTGCACCCACTTGTAACAGTAGCGTCTGTAGCGGTCAGAACACTGGCTTGAGTAGTGGTAGTCTGGGTAGTAACAACAAAATGAACAACTTGAATAACCTTCTTTGTAATTCTATGAGTGCATCGATAACCCACTGCCCCACAACTATTTTTAACAATGCGTGGAACAGTAAACCTATGAACAGTGGTAAAAAAGGATTGAAAATCGGGAGTGATAATAAGAAAAATAATAACAACTGCAGTAGTAGAAACATCAATAGTAATAGTATTAGCAATAACAATGACAATATCAACATTAGCAATAACAATAGCAGTAACACCTCAAGCTGGATAAATGAGCTAAATGATCTGGGAACCTTGAATTATGACAAAACAGTACACGTGAACACAAATTTTATGAACAAAAATAACGCATACTATGATGAGACATTGAGCTACAATAGCAATGCAACAGAATGTGGTATGAATTTCGATATGTTAGACAACAATGCGTATAAGGTTGTCGAATTTTGCTTTACTGATTATGAAAATAATAGGAATAAAAGTGGTTGGAGTGACAATTCTGATATTTTGAATATTCAATCAATAAATTCTTTCTTATCACATGGTTCGAAGGTTCAGGATGAAGACATGAAAAGTTCATTAAACATTAGCAGCAATAAGGATGTTGAGATGGGTGGATGTATCATGAATCCATTTATGGAAGGAGGCACGAGGGATATAATCTGCAGCAATACCAAGTGTACTGAAAGTTTTGATGATTCACAATTGGAGAATCCTTTTCTGCAGGAGCTGCTTTACAACAGAACCTGCGAATATTTTCCAACCATGACTGATATTCCAAATAGAGAAGACACTTCAAATTTGTGCAAAAAAGCAAATACGCTGCCAGCAGATATTAAGGATGATATGATAATAAGGGACACGAGGAACAGGGCCGATAGTACCTTCGATTTAATGAGTTCAAAATATTTTTCAAACAATTCAAACAATACATCTATATTTGAGAATTATGCAAATTTATCAACTATATTTGATGTAAGCGATAGTAACAACAACAGCAACAATGATAGTAGCAACAATGCTAACGGCAACAATGCTAACGGCAACAATGCTAACGGCAACAATGATAACAGAAACAGTGATAACAGAAACAGTGATAACAACAACAGCAAGAGCAAAAATAATAATAACAAGCTAAGCAATTTTTCAAGTATATCAAATTGTAACACCTTTGATCACCTAAGTTTTGATGATATAGACAAGAAAGGCGTTACTGTTACGGTTACTGATTTTCTGATTCCAAATGAAAATGTGGAAGAGAGGAATGATTCTAAGGTTAATAATGAGCATGCAGATGTGGGTAGCAGTGTGATTCAATTTGCTCATGATGAATGTAGTGTGGATGTGAAAGTTGTGAATGAAGTGTCAAGTGAGAGTATCGCTCATGATGTAGCAATTTCGAATCAGATGAATGAGAAGAACGAAAAACACGAGATTAAGGGTGTGAATGAGACAAACATTATGAAAGATGAAAAGGAATCAAAACCCCACGATGTAACAAATATTGGAAATAGCACCACCTTAGGAGTGAATCCGAAGAAAGGTGCCAATAAAACGTCTAAGAAAAATAAAAACAAGAAGAGTGGGGCAAATTCTGCAGCCAACAGTGGTAGTAATAGCTATGCCACTATGGCCATTGCAAACAGCAACAGTGGGAATAATCATACGGTGGTCGGATGCAATAATAATGCAGTGAGCGGATGCAATAACCAGAGGACCAGCACATTTAGTGAAATCCTCTGTTCAGGCAATGTTGAACTGAAGAACGAAGTTAACGAGAAAAAGAAAAACAGCAAAAAGGAAAATAAAATGAATAAAAATTGTAACAATGAAAAAGAGCAAGATGACAACAAAAATGGAAATAACAAAATTTTTAGTTCAACGGATAAAAATGATGAGAATTTGAAATGTATTGAGAATGCATGTGTAGAGAAAGAGAAAAGAGAAAAAAAAAACACGAAAGGGAAGAATACAGAAAGTCAAGGCACAAAAAAGGGTAATAACACATCTAACACAAACAAAAATGGAAGTAAGAACTCGAAAAGGAATTCTGCTGAGAGTGGCAATAATGGAGGAGAGTCAAAGAACAAAAAGTACAGCGAAAGTGACAATTTCGAACGAGGTTACCACGAAAATGAACAAAAGAATAAAACAAAAAGTGAGAACTCCCAATCTGGTAAGAAGCACAGTGATGTCGGTGTGCACAGTGTTCAGAATGATAATATCGTCAAGGAGGAGGACAGCAGAAATGGAAAAGAAGAAAGTAAAAGCGGCAGTGGTGGTACTGGTACTGGTAGCGGTAGTGCCATCGGCAATTGCAATGGTGGAAAAGAAAAAATCAGCTTGAACCAGAACACAAGCCAAGTAAGCAAAAGTGTAAATGCAAATGAGAAAAATAAAAACAGCCCAATGAGCGCAAGGGATATTGTTATCAAAGGGAACCAAAATTGCAGTGTTAAAAATTCCACGAATCACGTGAAAGGGAGTAATAATGATGGCAGAAATGGTAGTTGTAGTAGTAGTGGCCCAAATAAAGTCTTTAGTTGGACTAATATTAAGAATGATAAAGAGAAGGAAAAAAAAAATAATGAGGACATAACATTTAACAGTGTAAATAATAAGCACAATAAAAGCAACAACAGTAGCATTCATAGGGTTGTTACCTCGAATAAGATTAACATTACAAGAAAATCAACCACAGAATCAAGTTTAAATAATGAGCAGCACATGGATGATATGAAAGAGGTAGAGAATAATAATAATTTGGAGCAAATTAATTATACAAATTGTGAAGAAAATAATACACAGGAAAAGGAATCGAATGAATATAACATTTCTAATAAAGAATTTATTCAACCTAAGGACAACATATTTTGTAATTATACAAGAAATAGCATGGATAGTGTCATAAATAATTTCATGAATCCAGACAATAAATCAGTATCATTTGAAAATGTTAGTAATAAAGGAGGGAATATAATATTCGATAAGAAAAGTAATACTTCAAAGCTTATTTCGAAGGAAGGAATAAATTCAAGTACGAGTATGCAGGGGATGGTTCAAGAAATGCACAATAAACTGAAGAGTAGTGAGAATATCAATGAGGATAGAAATGAGAATAGAAATGAGAATAGCATTTTTAACACGAACAAGGAAAATAGTTTCATAGAAAGAAATGTGTCGAACAACACGTACGAAAATTTTTTTTTAAGGGATGTGTCATTTAACCCACTGAAAAGTAACAGTTTTGTGGAGTCTAGTAAATCTTTTGAATACAACCCATATGAGAACGAAACAAATGAATCATTGGATTATACAAATAACCTGTTGAATATATTTCTCTCATGCAATAGCATTAATGAAAATTTTGAACCCACAAATGATTATGCAAAGGAACATCTTAACGAATATAAGGATAATATGAACCCAATTAATAATATGGAACAGAGTATGACAAATATATATGATCTGTTTAATTCGTCTTCGAATAATTTCAACCCTTTTGGAAATTACAACTTTTTAGGGCCTTCATGTTTACAATGCAAGCATTACAAAAATGAAATTAAAAATTTATTAGTTCAAATTAGGATTTTACGGGAGGAACTTTTCAAATACAAGCAGATAATCATTGGGTCTGGAATAAATGAAAATAATAAGAATAAAATTAATTCTTATAGTTACAATTGGACTAGCACCAAAGGTTGTAGTGGCATTTATGAAAACAAAAATTTAGTGTCCTCTATAGAGGCAAATGATTAATGCGTCAGGGGAAAATTAAAAAGGAGGGAAAAGTAAGAAATGAAAAGTATGAAATGAAAAATAAGGAAGGAAAAATAGGAAAGGAAAAGTAAGAAATGAAAAATAAGGAAGGGATAATAGGAAAGGAAAAATAGGAAAGGAAAAATAGGAAAGGAAAAAAAAAAAAAAAATTGATTTCCTTGACATTAGAGAACAGATCCGAATGGTTCATTGAAAATTGTTTTGGCAAGATGCAAATTTGCTCTGCCTGTTTTTTTATCGGGAGGAGGTAGAGGGTTCTGTCGAATGTGTGTGTGTTAATATGCATGCAGATGTACATGCAGATGCACTTGCAGATAACAATGTGTATTGGTCTAACACTCGTGCAAACATTCGTATATCTATACTCGTTTGCTTATATTTGTGACCTTACTCACAATTCCCTATACGTAGCCCTAGTTTGTCCAACGCACACGTAGATGCAGAACCCAGCTATGAAGCATATGAGGCCCCACAGAAATTTGTAAAACGTATTTTCGTGTGTAATTCTTTGCTTAATTAATGCTTGGAAAAAATTACAGCCCAGACAGAAGAGAAAAAACACAATTTGGTTATTTTTACTTTAATTTTTTTTTTTATCCGAAATGGGGGATGTAGAGCAGGCTCCACCTGTGTTCTCACACCATTTTGCATTTGACAGAGAATCAAGTTGTTTCGTTTTTCAAACTTTACCGAAGTATGATTTAGAATTAATGACTACCAAGAATAAAATAAAAATAAAAAAAATAAATAAATAAAAAAAAAATAAATAAATAAAAATAAAAACATGCGAGATCGAGTTGGACCCGTGGAATGAACAAACCGAGGGAAATCATCGATCCCCCTTTTAGCAACATAGAAGTTATTAATTTTTACAGATGATTTTATAAAAGTGGTAAAAAGGACATTTTGGGTTTTGTTGCTCCCATATGTACAGAAGCATGCATATATATATATATATATATATATATATATATATATATATATATATATACATGCATATGTGTGTATTTTTATTTATTATTTTTTTTTTTTAATGTAAATATGAACGTTCATGAATAAATGTGTGTTTTTTTTTTTTTTTTTTTTTTTTTTTTTAAAGAGTCATGCACGTTATACCCGAGCTCTACAATTTCACGTTTACGTGGAATAACATGTGAATTTTCTCATGTGTGTGTAGAAGCACGGTTTAACATAACACATGCTTTATGATACACATTGTAGAATAGTACAGATGGAATCATATTGTACACACATTGTATATTTTTTTTTTGTGCTTTCATTGCACATTCATTTCGTCTTCTGCATGGGTTAGCGTCGGTTAATGGCGTTTTTCCGATATTTGCTAAATTTTATTCAGTTTTGATGAATTTCAATTATTTTATCCCCCACGAGTTGTACAATTATTTTATTTTATTTTATTTTTTTTTTTTTTCCCCTCTTATTTTGCACTTACATTTATCCGTCATTTTTGAGACTTATTGTTTTATTTGTGCACTTGTTAAATTATTTACCAAGCCATCGGCAGCACGATCGTGTAGGGATGTACATATATATATATATATACAGGTACTTTCCTATCATAGGTGTTCGTTAGATTCATTTAACTAGTTTGTGATTTAATGCTCTTAGTAAAATTAGACCTTGCTTGAAATAAACCAACTTTAACAATATTTACACAGGAACCTTTGAAAAACAAAATAGACATAAGCATATTCTCAAGGACGTACTACATGTGAATGTAAATTTTTTAATAGATACATCGAGCTGCATCAAATAAAGATTAAAAAAATGGGGAGAAAATACCAACGAAAGAACAAAATGAACATTGTTGATTCGTATCGTGTGTGTAAACAATCATCCTTTTTATGAGTCCTACATGTATGAACATGAGTGTCTGTATTTGCTTAAAAAAGTATATTTTGGGAAAAATGGACGTCCCATAATTAATGTTTTTGCTATGCTATGCTATGCTTTGGTTTGGTTTGGTTTGATTTTTTTTTTTTTTTTTTTTTTGTATAGCCATTCGTAACTTATTCAGGATTACTTCTCCTCAATGAAGAGATATAATCAAAAAGGTAATATGATCCATACCTGTGTTATATTATATGTAGATCTACTATAATGAGAACGTAATTTACAAATCACACAATTCGTATATGATTTGCTTTAAATTTAAATTAAGAGTTCTTTATACAAAATTATGTGTATATTAATACATACGTTTAATTAGTAAAAGATGAAATAAACAATATATTTTTTGCCTTATATGTAAGGGGGGGGAGGGGGGGGGGGAAAGAAAAAAAAAAAGTGTGACATTACACACTGCAGTGGAGAAGTGAATAAAAATGATAATAATTTGTTAATCTTATTTTGTGTAGAATCGATCATAGCACCCGTGCCATATATTGAAGGAATATAGTTATATTGATTACATTCCAAAAAGATATTGAAAAGAATTTGTAAATAGGAAAATTTTCAAGATAATAGTAGCAACGAATGTGTTGTGTAAAAAACTGAAACATTATTATTTTCTATGAAGAAAAGTGCATGATCGTATATAGATTTTTCATGGGTGATAGTTGAGACAGGGAATATATGAGGGAAGTAGAAATAAAACGGGAAGAAGCAAAACTGTAAAAGTGTGACTGGTTTGGTAGATTGAATTTAAATTGATACTCTCATGAGGAGTCCTATGATGTTCTTTTGTTTGTTATAAAAAGTTGGGCCTAAGTAGAAAAATACGAAAAAGCTGAAAAAACGAAAAAAAGTATATACGCTAACAAATATTTGCAGGTACTTGCACACAAGTGCAATTTTTTTTTTTTTTTTCCAAATTGGAATGTACATATAGATCCATTAAAGATATAGCATCATATAATTATTCAATTTGTGAAAAGTGCGCTAATCAAATAGTGGAGTATTCTATCACATGTATTGGTAAGATCAGGAAGTAGTGTAGTCCAAGCATGCATAAGTGTATGCATTTATATGTTCCTAAATATGTTGATGCAAAAATATATTTGAGGTACACAATTTTTACATGTACATATGTATGGAGGGGTAAAATTGTACATGTGCAAAAAGAAATGGTTGAGCAATCTCTAAATTGTTTTTTGAAGTGTGAAATTTTTTTTTTTCCATAATTTTAATTCATTTATGCTTCATTATTCACGCAGCATTTGTAAAAGTGCAGAATAAATTTTCATTTGTTTACAATTATGTAGAAGATCATATATGTGCTGCATAGTTAATTTATTACATGTCATTGAAATGTATTTTACAGGGTAATGTTTCGTGTTGCTCCTTAATATAAGTATACACTCATGAAGAAGTGATAATAGAAAAAAGAAAAAAAAAGTAATCATTATTGAAATCAACAAGAATTTGACAATTTTTTTTTAACATAAAGTATATAGCAAGAGATGAATTTGTTGAAATGTAACATGCATGTGTGTGTTCAGTTGACAGATAGGTAGAGTCCTTTTTACGTGAAAATAAATGTACACAAAAGTATACATGCACTAATATATAAGCACTAAATAGCAAAACATAGATCAATAAGTGAAATGTTTCTCCCTGAGGGTATAGAATTATTATAATTTATAACACAAAATTAGAAAAAAAAAAGTGCAAATGTGTTCTCAAATTGTCGTACCATTCTGGGAGGTGGTACAAAAAATTTTTTAAATTTGTTCGTAATTTGTTCGAAATTTGAAACCACATTTTGTAACTTTTTTTTCTGATAAATTATATAAAAAAAAAAAAAAAAAAAATCAGAAAAGGAAAATAAAGAAAAAAGCGGGAAAATAAAGAAAAAAGCGGGAAATTAAAAGCAAAAAGAAGAAAAAAAGGAGAAAAAAAGGTTAAAGTGTTTTAAATTTTATTGTCAACACACGGCACACATTTGTTAATGGAATTATAAATTTCACATTTGCAAAGAGAATAATTAACTACCCGTGATGTTTATACACTGGCGAATATTTAACTAAACAAATGGAGAACTTTTGGTGCATTTAATTATTATTTAATATATGTTAACACATTTTTCCTCATTTTAGCTTTTAATGGAAATAAAAAAATACGTTGAAACATGCTATTTAACGAAAGTTATACACACATCTATACATTTGGGGGTGAGGGAATTTATCCAATATACACAAAAACGTATTGAGTCATACATATATTTATATTAATAAGGAACTGTTCAGTTGTTACCAGTAGGTAGAAAACTGTTCATTTTTTTTTATTATATTTTTTTTTTTTTTTTTTTTTCATTCTAAAGAAATGAAAAAAGGATAAAATAAAATTAGGATAGTAATTTAAAAATACACTGAATTATGGATGATTTTTTTGTTTTTTTGGACCCCCATTTCATCCCCCGTTAATTTAAATTATCTCGTTTTCAAATGCCCACTTTTTTAATTTGTCTGTATTATTTGAACTTTCTGGTAATTTGAAATGCTTCCAAATATATATACTTTTCTTTTTTGTGTATTTTTATGAGAAATCGTTAGGAACGCTAAAATTTTGCACATATAGCGCGTAATTCATTTATTTAAATTTTAATCAATGTGCTTATTTTTGGTTGCATTGTTTTTTAACTCTTTATAGATAGAAGTGCTTCTAGGTATACACATTTTTGGCATAGATTCACAATTTTTGTTAAAGTAACAAACACATACACACCCCAAAAAAAAAAAAAAAAAAATTACAAAATAATAATAGAAAAACGTTTTTTTTAGACGGATTTATAAGGTTCCACGTGTGTCTAAGTTTATCACAATTTGGTGTACTCTTTTTCTTTTTCTCCCTCTTCTCCCTTTTGATACTAGATTCTTTTTATAATTCTTTAATTATTTCATATTTTTTATTTCCCTCCCATCCCCCGCTTTTTTTTAATAGATGCAGAGAGAGTATTAGCGCAAGAGGAAACACAAGATGGATCAGGAATTTGACAGAACGAGATACTGGAAATGATGGAACTATTGTGAACGACAAAGGATTAACAATAAATGAATTGGAAGAACTATGCAAGAACAGGGACCCGTGTTTCGCAAATAAAATATATGGAATATCATTATACGATACAAAAGAATTATTTGTAGAAATAACAAATTTTGTCTTATACCAAGATTATGAAGAACATGTAAAAACTGAGAAGAAGATTTTTACCTTCACCTATCGCACTTTAACATTTATGGAAGAGAAAATAAAAGACAAAATAGAAGAACTGGTTAGTACAGCAAAAAGAGATATAGATGAATTATTTGGAAATTATGATTTTTTAGATAAAAAAGAACTAGAATCTATATCGAATTTGAATTTATTTTTAGATATAAATGGCAATCAAGATGTTTTATTAGTAAATGGGATAGATGTGTATTTTTACATAATGGAAGTAAAATTTTCGAAGAAAATTCCCATAAATACGCAAAATGCTTTGGAGAATTTTACAGAATTGCTTAATCATAACGAGAGTATATTTTCAGAATATATAAAAAAGGTTTACAAAATTGAAAAGGATATTAAAGCATACTTAGTCACGGGTGGTAATCGTTTTCCTCTGGATTACACGCATTGGAATAATAGTTACATAAAGATCACTCAAAATGTTGCAGTAAGAGCATTTTTGGATGACTTTTTTAATTATTTTTATGATTTGGAAAAGAAGATAAAAGGTAATTCATCTAAAGTAACAAGAATAGACATGCATTTTTTAAATGGAACTTTGCAAGCAATAAATGATATAATAAAATCAACTATTGAACAGAAAACGTATAAATTATTTGAAATGTTAAATAAATTATTTTATGGAGATTTGAAATCCATTTTAGGATTTTTTACCTATATTTTTGATAAAGAAAGAAAAAAAAATGAAGTTATTTTGAATGCTATAGCAAGTGAAAAAACAGGGGATGTATATGACAACAATTTTTTATTCGATATAGAATCTTTATATACTGAAGAAAAAAAAGACATAGAAACTTCCGTATCCAGATTTAGTGATTTTATGAAAACCAATTTTGGATTCAACATACATGGTAAAAATGTACAAATGTTAAAAAGTAATATATCAAATTCAGATAAGAAAAAAGAAATTATGAAGTTATTTAAAATTATTGTACATGAATTATTGTGCAGAAAACAAGTTGTTGAATTTTTTAATTTATTAAACTTAATGAAAAGAAATTCTAAAACTGTAATATCATATTTTAGAAGAATGTCAGGTTATCTAACAAAGAAAAATGATTCTTCTATATTTGTGGAAACGAAAAAGTTGATTCCTTTAATGTCCAAATTTTTTGAAATCAAAGAAAGAAATTGTTGTGATTTGAAAGAAAAAGATAGTGATACCAATATCTTCGAATTGATGAAACAAATAAAAAATACTCTCTATAGATATAGAGTTTCAATAAAAATACTGCACTTATTAATAGAGGAGCTAAAATTAGCAAAGGAACTCAATGCAGAATATGATGCAATTGTTACAGAGAAAAAAAAAAAGCAAAAGGAAAGTTATGGTAATATGGAGATAGATAAAGAAAAAAGAGATGAAGCATATGAAAAGGCACTCAAAGAATGGACCAAAAAATTAGAATCTAAAAAATTAGCTATAGATTCGAATAAAAATGCTATTTTATTTTACCTTTGTCTAATTAAAGAATTCAAGCTTAATTAATTTTAGTTTCGTATCATATATATTAATTTATTTACTTGCTTTTTTTGCAATCCTGTTTAATGAGCCTTCTCACGTTCCAACACACACACATACACATATGTATATATATATATATATATATATATATATATATATATATATCCCAATTTGGGATTGTAGAATTTACATGCACAAGATTTTTAAAATAGTCATTGGAGATGACGAAGGCGGAGAACATGTCCAAATCAATATGACTTTGTGCAATCGAATGTGCATCTACATATTCATATAAACATGTACACATACCCCCAAGTACATGTATATGTACATGTTTATATGAATATATCCGTGCACATTTGTTTGATGTACATTTTAGAAGTCAATTTTTACTCTCCATTTTGTTTATTACATATTTTTTGCTTTGCAATATGTTCCTATTTGTCTTTTCTATTCTGATTTTTTCTTCTCTAAATTATAAAGACTTTAATAATTTTCCAATCAGCACACTATTAATATATTTTTTGGGGGTTGTTTTCCAAGTTTTTTAAATATCGTGATTGCTCCTTCATTGCTACTGCTTCTACTGCTTCTACAGCTTGTTTGGTGATATTTGCATATTTTCGAATATTTTCAATTCGTCAATTAAGTTAGAATTGTCTTTTTCCAGCAATCATGCGACTCTTATGCGCTAATTTTAGGGGTATGGTCTTTGAGAATATTCTGATGATGATCACTATGAGGAACACTCTGACGAACACTCTGACGAACACTATAATGAACACTCTGATAATCACTCTGTGGAACCCTCTGATAATCACTCTGTGGAACCCTCTGAATCCGTTTTATCATGTTTTCCCCTTGTTTATAATTAATAAAATGGGCTCTACATCAAAATTGTAGGAAAAATAAAAACACTGAACACTTTCGCAGAATTTAGAAACAACGTGTACATGTAAATAAAAAAAAGAAAAGAGAGGGTTATATCAGCAATGAGTCATGTATTCTTAATGGACTACTTACAGTTGTGTAACTTCAAAAGGGGTATATATGATTTAAGAAAATCATATAATCCAATAATCATTCAGCATAAATTTATACTACCAAAAAGAGTTGCACAAAATTATGGTACAGTCAAAAAGGGGGGATGTTGTAATAATATAATCTGAGTTGCAGTGTAAAGTTGCAGCTTAGAAAAAAAAAAAAAAAATTAATTAATGACGAGCAAAAGAAAGATAAATAAGGAGCAAAAAAAAAAAAAAAAAACAACTAATAATAGCAAAAAAAAAAAAACTATATTAAGAGCAAAAAAAAAAAAAAAGCTAAATTAAGAGCAAAAAAATAGGAACAGGATGCTAAAGTGGTGACGTGAAAAACAAAGGTACAAAAAAATATTGACATTATGGTACTTGTAATAAATCAGAAAAGCGTTTTTTTTGCATTTTTTTTGCATTTTTTTTGCATTTTTTTTTCATTTTTTTTTCATTTTTTTTGCATTTTTTTTTCATTTTTTTTGCATTTTTTTTTCATTTCTTTTCCATTTTTTTTCTATTTTTTTCTCATTTTTTTTTCGTTTTTTTTTTTAATTTTTCAAGGCACTGAAATTAAGTTAATTATTTGGTGGATAAAATTGTTAGAACGGCAATTACAATATTTTAAAAAAGACATGACAAATTACTCAAGCTGGAGGGTGGTAAATACATATGGGAAGTATACTAAATGTGAATATATTAAAAAGGGATAAATTAACCCCCCACCCCCTCATTATGTATTAACACAGAGGAGCATACAAGGAAATATGGTGTTCATATTTATGTAATTAATAAAAGTGATAAGAAAAAAAATATACCCAATTTGTATAATACCAACTGGACGAAAAATTTGCTGAATCAGAGAATATGAAATGAAGAAAGGAGATTACACACATACTTATACAATTATGGTGTACTTCGATATAAGGCAATTTAGTCCTCCAACACAAGTTGACGAAATGCAAGACAAACACATATGGAAGTTACTATTGAGAAATTGTGATAAAAAGAAACATTCATTTCTTTTATGTAGATGTTGAAGATAAAACAGTCACTCCCTCCTTCACGTTCTAGAGGTATAAATCAATAAAAGAAGGATTTTATTTAGGAACATTGAAATTGTCTTAAAGCTGATTAATCCCTTTATGTTAAAAATCATTGAATATGTTTGTAGGTTAAAAATTTAAGTCCATATTTAATTTTAAAAAAATAAAAAGAGAAAATTAATTTATAACACAATTAATGTTGTATAAGAAATAAAATATAAGCATTATATAATTATATCATTTTTCCATCAATGGGAAATATTTTATTTATTTTATTTTTTCTGGAAAGACAATATAGTTGCATTGTTGAATAATTGGACTCTTCGCCAGCATTATGAATGAAAAAAAAAAAAAAAAATATAAGACGATGCAAAACATGATCTATACATGTTCACAAAAACTTGTTTCACTATTTTTTCATTACCAGAATTTTTTCCTTTTTTTTTTTTTTTTTTTTTTTTTTAATTTGTAATATTTGTGCATACAATTGGTTACATTATGAATCACATTGTTCATCGTATCTGTGTATATGCTAATGCACACAGAACACAAGTACGCTCATAATTGTTACTTTACAAATATGTGAGAAGTTAATTGTAAAAAGATATAATTTTTCAAACAAATGAAAACAAAGTTGTGTATGTGTATTTGTACGTATATTTGTATGCATTTTTGTAGGTATATTTGCATGTAGGTATATTTGCATGTATGTATATCTTCATGAATATAAAATTGGATTTCTAAAAAATGGTAAAACAAAATTAAGAAAAAATAAAGGGAACACTTATAAAAGTTGTTACGGTGTCTAACGAAGATATGCACAATTCAAACATGTGTATAAAATATATAACCGAAAAAGTAAATAAAAAAAAAAGGGAAGGGGGGAGTGGGGAAATCAAATAATACATTATCAATAAAATTATTACAATTTGGTAAAATGTTATATATAAAATCACTAAAATTAAAAACAAATTTGTCATTATAAATTATAAAATAATACACAAAAATAAAGTACTATTTTTAAGAAATGTTCCCAATGAAGCAAAAATGACACATTACGACACATTGCAAAAACACACACTTGTACACATATGCATGCGCATGTATGTGTATATATTTTGCATGTGTATGACGTGCGATGGAGAACCACAACGTCGCATATTCAACCCCATGTAAAAAAAAAAAAAAAAAATTATAAAATTGTAATTCAATTAGAATAATGTTTAATAATTTTCACATTTCGATATTCAACAAGTATTTTCTGTTTAAAAATAATATTCAGATAGATAGTGCCACTAGCAGAATGGCAATAATCATGGTTGAAATGTATATATAAATATATATTTTTATGCATACATAAAAGACAAGTGGGCAAGTAATATGTATATGTATAAATATGCATACAAATACATATCGCTTCTTTCAGATTAGTACAAACATAATTCCCCAAAGAATAAGCCTTGATGAAAATTCAATTACGATATACAGCACAAAATTCCATCTTAATTCCTTTGTGGGTTCGTGAGGTGTATATGCACATATATAAATACAAATATGTTTGCATATATATATATCTGTACATATGCGGTAAAAAGAGTGCCTTAAGAATGGGATAATTCTACTAATGATTCGCTGAGGTGTAGGATCCTTGAAAGCAAAAGGGTGAAAAGGCAATATGACCAAAGTGTTAATATCATATTTGCAATGCACTGCAAGATGTTGTATCTCATGTTTAAGGGCATTAGCATTTGTGCTGGAAAAGTAACTATGAACCGCTGACATTACAACCTTATAAATGTATTATGTTTTCTATAATTCGAATAACTTGATATGAATTAAAATATGCATCTATGGATATGTTTTCATGTTTGCTCCTTATATGTTGCATATATCTCACTAATACAAGAAATATTAGTATTTTTCTATTTTACCAAAAATTTTAACTGTCAATTTTTCTGCCCTTCGTGAATTACATATTCCTTGCAATTTCAACTTTCCTAGGATAAGTCTACAACTGGATTAAAAACTAAGAAGACGAAAAAAGAAAAAAAATAATAAATAAAAATAAAAATAACATAAAGAGACATATTTAGAAATGTATCGGTAAGGAAGATATTCCAAAACGGGTGCATAAATTGGGTATGAAAAAATGTTGGCACATATATATATATATATATATATATATAATGTGTTCCTCGGTATAAGCTAAATTTTAATCAAGAATTTTATATATTACGTTTCTTCCAAATTTGTGGCCAATATATACAAGAGCATTAAAAACTAAGACTGCCACCACAACAGCTGGTATGTAGCTACGTTGACATGACCTTTCTGATTCCACCATACAAGTTTTAAAGGCTTCCTTTACAACTGCTTCTATTTGAGGTCCAAAATTGTTAATATCAATATCTTTTATATTTTCTGCCATTTTTGCTATGTATATATAATCAGTAGGTTCAGTACGTTATATTTCAAGGATGTGGTTAAATGACACTTTATATTTTTCTAAGCTTAATTTTTTTTTTTTTATTATGCTTGCATATGTAATAATATACAAAAAAAAAAAAAAAAAAATTACGCCAAGTTATATTAAAAGAAATAGCAATTAATATTTAAAAACTTGTAATAATACAAAAATAAAAAGTTAATTTTTTTTTAAAAACTTGCCTTTTTTTTTTTTTTTTTTTTTGTATATATATCTAAACATTCCTTATTTTTTATTTTAAACTGAGCATTTTTTTTTTTTTTTTTTTTCAAAAAAATACTGTTTCTTTCTTTCTTTTTATATATTTTTTTTCCATAAGGGAAGGGTAAAAAAAAAAAGGTAATAAAATTAAATAAATATTTATGTAAAAAAAATAAATTAATTAGCTGAATAAGTTTGTATAATTTAAAAAATAATAAAATTCTTGGAAAATTTTAGAATTCTAAAATTGTTCCTTAAATATTGTTTAATTTTTTTTTCAATATCTATGTTTTATTTGCAAATGCATTTATTTTTTTTTGGATTTGTATTTTTCCAACTTAAAAAATTTCATTTTTTTTATGTTATGTCCCACATTACGACATGTTACGCAATGGACACGCTATATTACTTTTTTTTTTTTTTTTTTCTTTCCTTAATAATATAAAAACTACGAAATATCGAAGAATAAAAATAATATTTTTCAAGCATAATTCTAAAAGCTAAAAAATGAAAAATACAATACTTGGAGCAAATGATAATAAATACATTTTCATATCATATAATTATAATAACATTAAAAATCAAAGCAAATATTTTTAATATTTATTTCCTCCCCCATTACTATTTCATTTTATGGTTATTTTACAAAAAATAAAATCTTAAAAAAAATGAGAAAAAAGATGAACATTCCCTATTTACGAAAAAAAAGAAAAAAAAAAAAAATGCTATAACTTTGGGAGGAAAAATTTAATACATATATATAAGACCTTTTTAATTTTTGCATGAAAAAATGATTAAGGTGAATAATTTTTAAATATATATATGTTGGTCTATTTAAACATACGACTATATATTATATATGCACAAGTAGTATATGTTAAATTAAATTTTAGGAGAAAGCACGTTTTTCAAGCATGAAATAAAAAATAATAATTTTGGAAAAATATAAAAAAGAAAAATTTGAATTTTAAAAGAAATTGTCTCCCTGAGATAGTAGTTTCTCAGGATATGCAGAAAAATAAAAAACAAAAAAGTGCTCATTGGTTGTGAGACATATATACTACAAAGACATCTTATATTCAATGTTTGTTTAAATAAAAATGTTCTAACCGTTTAACCATTAGAAAATGATTTTTTTATATGTATTTTTTTGACAAATAATACAATTGAAGTATGGTATACTTTCATTATTATTGTTTTGTCTCATTTTAAATGAACTTTTTTAATGTTGTCTGTTACGTTTTTATCAAAAAAAGGAAAAAAAAAAAGAAAAAAAATAAGTTGGATGTTTATCGAATCGAATAATAATAAAAGACATGTTGTTCGTTCATGTGTCTGTATGAATATTTACTTATATTGTTATGCTACTGTTATGTTACAATTTACATGCATATTTTATTATTTCGAAATATTAAAAAAAAAAAAAAAGAATCTAACACCGTAATAAAAAGGGCTCTATTCTGTTTACATCGTGTACTACTAAATAAATTGATACTGAAAGGATAAGAAATATGAAGCAAATTTTATGTTATTTTGTTACTATCGATTTCATTATTTTGCTGAATTTTACATGAGAGCAGATATATGTGTGCTATATATGAATTTTTTATTTTTCACTTTGGATAGTGAAATGGACAACTCCATATATATAGCTACATCGTTGTGCTTGTTATAGTAAAGGGAAATCTTTAATAAAAATTCTTAAACAATTTTGAACCACTATTTTTATGTCATCTTCTTTTTTCATTTCTTTTTTTTATCATGATGAACAGATACATTTTGTTATTTCGAGTAGAAAACATATCTTAACACATTTTAAAATTTATAATGAACTTAAAATTAAAAAAAAAGTGCCAATATAGAAACAATAATGGGTAATAATATATATACCAATGTTTACCGTTAGTTGTGCAACATTTTTTTTTTTTCTTTCTTATATTCTATGTAATAAAAGTAGAGTCTCAATGGGTACCCGTTTCTGTATTATTATTGCATTAGCTTTTTTAATTTATTTGCATGCATTGCATGAATTTTAGAAGTTATTTTCCTCTTTTATAAAATAAAGAAAAGAAAAAAAAAAAAAAAAGGACTACTACATGCCATTGTGTAACGATGCCTGAGGAGGAACACATTAATTATATGTAATTAAAAAAAAAAAATAAAATAAATAGATAAAAAGTAATAAGGTTAATAATAAGATTAATTATAATATTACTAAAGCTGTATTTAGAAAAAGTACACAAAATTTTTGTCTCACTATCCATATATAATAAATGTAGAGATGCAAAAAAAAAAAAATAAAAATAAGGAAAATTTCCCAAATTATAAATTACTTCTTCAACCACGCAACAGTTCATATAATGTAGATTTGTGCACTTTTCCGGAAATAAACTTTTTAAAATTGTTTTATAGAATACATCCACCACGTGGATGTATATATATTTATATATATATATGTAATATATTCTTATATGAGTATTGAGGAATTGTTTTTTTCTGTTCGTGAAATCAGAGTTTTAATTAATAAAAAAAGAGAAGAGGATATTCTAAAAATAATACCAATAAAATTATACTTCTGGTAGCGATATTCATTATTCTACGCACTAGTTTTTATACCCTTTGCTTTAAAAATTTTTAATTTTAAATTTTCATTTAAAACAATTACAAAAAAAAGGAAAAAATAAGAAAAAAAAAAAAAAAAAAAAAAAAAAAATTTAATGGATTTAACAGAACATGGTGAAACCGTAGATTGTATGTATTGAACGCTTAAACAGTTATATAATATTTAATACTAAAAATATTTTTACCAATGTAAAAGGGAGATCTCCGTAATTTTTAAACCATGGTCTATAATAATAATGTTTAGTCTATCTACGAATATTATTACTTTTTCCATTTTGATGCTCACATTAGTATATTCTAATTGGAATGTAAGAAATAATATATCATTTATAAAGGGGTTTCAAATCTTTATTTTTGCTATTTTGTGTGTTCCTATTTATGTATAAAAAGAGGTGCATATTTATAGACATTTATGTGCATTCATAAATTCGTATATATGTGCTTATTTGATGTTTAAGGGTGCTTATGATGGGTTTCATTTTTATAGTGAATTATACAGCTATTTTAGCCTTTCAATTTTTTGCTGGAATTTTTTTAGGATATCTCCGAAATTCATTATGGAGTAATTTCAGACTCAAGGAATAGAAGATCATTATCAGGAAAATGTAATCAGTACAGATGGAGAGATGTTGAATCAAGTGAAACTGTTTCAAGTATCCCATCAAGTTATGAGGATAGACTATGTTGTAACAAATATGTAGAGGATTATTATTATAAGAATGCTGAACCCAGGTGTAAGAAAACTAATACAAACAAAAAGTGTACCATTTTTGGAAAGAGAAAATTTGGTTGTCACATGAATCCGATTATTGCATATGAGAAGCGAGCGAACAGGATAATTCTTCTTTGTTCTTTTCTTATATCGGGTCTGGTAACACTTTTGTTTATACTTTTAGGATCATATTCTCTAATCGTTTTAGTGATTGCAGCAGTGTTTGCATATATTTCTAGGAATTATGGGCGTTTTAAGATTAAATAGTAAAGAAGTATTTTAATGGGTATATATATGTATATTTTTTAGGGTTATTGAAAATATTTGTAGTTTTTTTTTTTTTTTTTTTTTTTTTTTTTTTTTTTTTTAAGTATCCGTAAAAAAAAAAAAAAAAAAAATTTTATGTTTTAAAGTTTTTTTTTTTGTATTATTTTTTTTTTTAGTTTTTTTTTTTTTTTTTTTTTTTTTTTTTTTATTTTTTATTTTTTTTTTTTTTTTTTATTTTTTTTTTTGTTTTTTTATTTTAATTTTTTTTTTTTTGTTTTTTTTTTTTTTTTTTTTTTGGGTTTTTTAAAATTTTTTTTTTTTTTTTTTTTTTTTTTTTTTTTTTTTATTTTATTTTTTAAGTATCCGTAAAAAAAAAAAAAAAAAAAATTTATGATTTAAAGGTATATTACTCGAAAATGTTGTATAGTAGCACAAAAAGAGTTTATTTATGTGTATGTTTTAAATTTGCTATACACATGGGTTAGCGCTAAATTTTTATACCCATGTGCATTGTATTGGGAATCTTTATTTTTCTATTTTTCATTATGTTTGTTAAATACAAATTTGTCACACATTTACGGAATATCTCGAACGTACATAAGTAGAGATTTGTATATGGGTGAGCTATTTATATATTTTTCACAAATTGACTCACAATACCTATCTTTTATTTGATATCGATTTACATATTTGGTTTACACTTTTTTTCAAAATTATGTGTACATATCTAATTTGGTAAAAAAAAATTTATTTGATGAAAATTAAATTAATAAATTTTAACATTTTATGCTAATTTGTATTCATAAAATTTGTTTACATTTTAATACAAATGGATTATTTGTTTACGCTTGCACATTTAAACCCCCTTGGTGTTTTTTGATAAAACTTATAATAAAATAAACACATACATGCAATTGTGAATTAAATATTCCAGCTGCATCCCTTTTAGCAAGTTTGTACGGAAAAAAAAAAAAAATTTTCTTCTCAATACTGGTTCATCATTTAAATATAACTTATGAAGTATTTTTGTTAAAAGTTACAAAAAAATATTTAGTGAATGTTACATGTTTGTTTAGAAGATGAAAAAGACAATCAAAAATAAATTATTACTGTTTAGTACTCGAATGAATAAACAATTAGGTATCTGAAGGTTAAAAACAAATTCGAATTTCGTGTTTTTGTGGGATGGAAAAAAGGCGTAATGATATTTAGAAAAGTTTCCTTGAATATTAAAATATTTGTAGAATTTTTAAATGACGTGTAGTAAATTTTTCAGTTTGTTCAAAATGCAAGATTTTCCACCACGTTAAGGAAAATTATTATTTAATATAGTGCAATGAAAACGATCTACCAAATTGGATACTTGTCAATGGGAGGATACACTGTATATTCGGTTTGTATGAATATTTTCATCAAGTCCATTTTGCTTACTAGTTGAAGGGCTGGAATTAAATTATGTATAATTTGCCACAATTACTTAAATAAAATTTTGAAATTCTTCCAATCTTGAAAAAATAAAGTAAAATTAAATTGATTCTTTAAACTTATTTTCAAGCTCAGGATAGAGTGATATAAAATGCATCATACTTATGATTTATAATTGGAAAACAAATTATATATGTCTGCTTGTAAGTATATATGTACATACATTTTCATCGCATACTATATATGTTTTGTTTTTTATAATGCTCTATATTACATAATAACCATTTCATCTACTGGCGAAGCTGTCATAAATATATGATGTACGAGGAAGTCAGGAATCCAAAATATGTTATCTCCTTATTTACATGATTTATAAGTTTTTATTTAGTACATTTTATATGACAAAAAAAAAAAAAAAAAAAAAAAGGAAAAAATTTCTTTGTTCAGAAGAAAAAAAATTCACGTAAAAATTAAAATAAATTAAGAATTTGTACAAACTGTATTTCAACAATTGATGAGATATAAGGATAGGTGTTTTACTATATATATTTTGAATTTATTAGAATTTCTTAATTTTGTAAGAAATTAAAAAAAGGAAATTATTTCAAATTTGTGTAAACATCAGAATTCAATGTGCACAAAGAGCAGTGTTCGTATAAGGAATGTATAAATTTTAAGCCATTTTGGGTGACTTGTTCTAATTATCTCTTTGTTACCCGCATGAGGAATGTTTTAAAAAAAAGAATAAAAGAAAATGGGATATAGTAGCGTTTAACGCTGATCATAGGTAAAAAGATTCATGTGAATTTTTTTAAAAGAAGCATTTTTTACATGCACGATAAAACTTAACAATTTAACATGTTGAATAATCTTCTGCAAGATTAGATCTTTGATGAATTTGATTTGGGAATAGGTAAATATTGGATGTAACGTTTCTCCGGTAGTTTTTTTAGTGAGAAACACATTACATGTGTTTTTTTTTCACAGTATAATGAATTATATTCTTTACCAATTGGGAAAGATTCTTTGTTATTTTCCCACATATCTCTTTTCTTTTTCTTGAAGAAGAAGTGCTATAGATATGTATTACAAGTGATTATCTAGACAAAATGAAAATATTCAGATATTTAATACGCATACTTGTACGAATATATGCATGTTTGGGAGTTGCGTACGCATTGCAGGATAGTTGTAAATTTTGTGTACAATCCATTTGATAATTTTCACAATCATATTGTTTAATTAAATTTTGTGAAAAAAAAAAAAAAAAATATATTTATTATTTTTTTTAACTGTAAAAAGTGTAGAACACATAAAAATAGGAGCGTTAATATTAACGCCCTTTATTTAAACCTGCTTTTTCCATTTTGTGCAAATTTCTCATCGATATAATATAAGAGTCATTCAGAGGAAAAGGTTATATTTTTTACACTATTTGGAAGTTAAAATAAAACTTCTGGGGTTAACCGTTTGATATGCATGAACTGCAATCAAATTTTATTAGGATAGGATTGGGGTGCAATGGTGATATGATGAATCCGTCTCTTTAGCACACCCGTTTGCTTTCTTAATGAACTGGTTCCATATTTTTACTAAAATGGGAGGTTTAAATTTTTCAAGTTACTTTTCTTTCATATTTTTTTTAAGACTAAATTATTATTCGCGCATTAATTGCTAGACAACAATATAACATTATACTAAAGCAATTGTAGCAAAAAGGAAAAAATGATTTTTTACTTAATGCTTTATTTTTATATTGATCTAATTGTGGCCTTTTGAATTCGCTACCCTAGTAAAATTTGTTTGCGTTAGAATTATAAATTATTATTACAAATGAAAATTTATTATTATTAAAAAGTATCAAAAACGGAAAAAATAACAATAATAAAATAAAATAGTAGACATGGTGAATTCGGAGAAATGGTAAAATAGTAGAAGTGGCAAAATAGTAGAAGTGGCAAAATAGTAGAAGTGGTAAAATAGTAGAAGTGGCAAAATAGTAGAAGTGGCAAAATAGTAGAAGTGGCAAAATAGTAGAAGTGGCAAAATAGTAGAAGTGGCAAAATAGTAGAAGTGGCAAAATAGTAGAAGTGGCAAAATAGTAGAAGTGGCAAAATAGTAGAAGTGGCAAAATAGTAGAAGTGGTAAAATAGTAAAGTGATAAAAGTTTATTAAAATTGCAATAATTTTTTAAAATGGTAAAAATAATAAAAACAGCAAAAATACTATATCAACATATTTGCTATTAATTTTGGGAAAATATGCTGTGTTAAAAAATATAATTACACAAAACCCCTCAAATCACTGTAAAAAAAAAAAAAAAAAAAAAAAATTGGCCTGTCATACATTAATATTAATTATTTAAAAAAATATAAAAAAGAAATTATTGAATTAGAATAATGATAGATTACATATTTATCTACCCGTTATTTTTATTACTAGTATAGTATACTAGGAACTATAATATATTTTGCCATATGGGTATAAAAAATAAAAAAATGAACACATAAACCGGTATGTGAATTATATATGTTGGGTAATTTTAGGGAATAACATAATTAAATTCTTGATGCCAAGACTAAAAATGTGCATTTTTGCAAAAACTGAAAGAAGAAAACACTTTAAAATATTAAATATATACAGTTAAAAAATAAAAATCGTTGATTTGTCAATATATTTATTTAATTAATGTGACGTGTTATATTATACTGTATAATATTATTTATTTATAGTATATATATATATATAAAATATATATTTTAGAAAAAAAAAATATATATTTTATATATAAACATGAGTTACATATATAAATATATATCTCATTTATGCATGTAAATTTTTTTTGGTGAAATACATATGATTGATTGTTAATTATTATAAATGCATGTATATATTATAATATATTTATATATTATATATATATTTATATATTATATATATGTGTATATATATATGTATATATTTTTAATACATTTGCAAATTGAATTTTTTCTAATATCTCGGAATAGCGCTCGCATTTATGCTTAAAAAATTTTAAAATAAAAAAAAAAAAAAAAAAAAAAAAAAAAAAAATTATAATAATATAAACAAATAAAAAAAAATAATAAATAAAAAATAGAAAATAAAAATATAAAATAAAATTATCTAAAATTTTTCTGATTATTCTAAAAACATTTATCACAATTGAATCTTTGCAATTTTCTCTAATTCTAAAGGTAATAAATAAAAAGAAATAGATATTTCATTTTGCTAATTTTCTTTTAGATATAATGAACTAGTTATTTGAGTTCGTGTAATATATTTTTTATTTCTATTAATTTACATGATATGAATAAATATATATTAATATATTTAGCAAGTAATTCTCATCACGCTACTATATTTCACAGAGAAAGAAAAAATATATATATTAAAATTTCCCTTTTTCGAATGCAATAAACTATTTTTATATTATACATATATATATATTTTTTTTCCAAATTAGAAAATAAATAAAACTTTTACACAATATACCATAATCTATACATTAACTTCAAAATGACATACAATAAGGAAAACTTCTCAAATACATCCTCTGGATTTAAAAAGGAGAGTTCAGGAAGCATGAATGGAATTAACCATTACCTCAAAGTTTTAGTCTTCAGCGTAGCAGTTTTCGCCATCCATTGTTTTAATGAAGACGTGAGTATAATAAGAAAATAATTTGTTATGAGTAAAGCACCTCGTATATCTATGTGTTCTGATTTTTTTAGAAAACAAATAGTTTATTTTCATATTTACGTGCATATTATACATATCCATGACTTATAAAGAGTATATATATAGAAAAGCACAAACAAATATATTCACATCCAGTGTAGAAGAGAAGAAAGTTTTTTTTATAATTATGAAGAATGAACTTTTCTCATATCATTTTTTTTTTTTTTTTTTTTTTTTTTTTGCCTTTTGTTGTGCATGTGTCTGCGCAGTATTCCTTTAAAAATTCTGGATCTATAGAAAAGAGCTTAGGAAATTCATTTGACTTAAAAGATGGAAGGATATTAAAAACAAATTTCGGTTATAGAACACTTTCCTCATTGGAAGAAGAGGAAGGTTCAACAAATTCATTAGGAATTGGTAAGTGTATACAAAGTAAAATGAAAGTAAAAGAGGGGAAAATTTTATACTGATGGATTGAAATATAAATACTTTCACACAGCACTACTAATACACAATTACTTAATAATAAAAATAACGTTTTTTTGATTTATAGTTGATGATGAAAACGATGCTGATCCAGGAAGTGTTGGAAACATCTCATTGTGCAGCACAATCCATGGTGATGTACAAAATCCTGAAGAATCTAAGTGTGGCAAACCTGAAAAAAGAAGAAGATCATCGAAATCCAACACCTATGGTAGCAATTTAATGGGAGAAACTACAATGGAAGATATGGAATATGAACAGAATTTCATGAGAGATGCAAGAGCTTACAGAAGAAAAGGAAAATTAAGCCACAGAATAGCTAGATTTCTAAAGAAACACCACTACATTGTTGCAGCTGTCCTTGCTGCTTTTGCTGCATATAAATATGGTAAATACTACGCATCAGGAGTAATATTTATATACTGTATCTTCTTGTTAGTCAAGTACATTAAAAGAAATGTTAAATAAATCTCAGTGTAGTCCAAAGGAAAAAAGAGGAAGTGTGTTTTAAAAGTACATACATTTGAGTATGACTTTCTGCTGAAAGAGAGAAAATTTATATTTTAATACAAGGAATAATAAATAATTATACATGTAAAATAAAAGAATAATGAGGTTCACACCTAGGATAAAATACGGAAGAAGAAAAGAAAACATGCAATAATGGAAAATAAAAAAAAATTTGCTACAATATTATTAGCTAAAAGAGTATAAAATAAAATGTGCTGTAGTTTTTTTTTTTTTTTTTTTTTTTTTTTTTTTTTTTTTTTTTTTTTTTTTTTTATACATGCAATGAAGCTTATGTACACTATTTTGGGTTCCTCACATAAGACAACTTTTTAGATGTTAAAAAGAATCAATTTTTTTATAAGCATATTATATATATTTTTATTTATTTACTTTTTATTATATATTTTTTTCAATTTACTGGTATTATTATTCACAATACATAAATATAGAAGAGGTTAATATTATATATAATATACAAATTTCATAATTTTGTTGGCCTGTAGAATTACATGCACCTTTTTTACCATGTTTTGGTTTTTTTTCTAGTGCTTAATACAAATAATGATATATGCCAATAATATTATGCTTTTTTATTATTCGAGTTATATATATATATATATTCCTCAGAATACATGTTCATAATTTTTTTTTTATTTCATTTATACTTATTAGTTTTATTTCACTTTTATTTATAAGTTTTATTTTATTTCTTATTTATTTTGAATTAACAAAGAGAGACAATTATAATAAAATAGATCAAGAATAGGCACCCATACCTCAAGCATAAATACCTAGCTTTTTTATGCATATGAATAAGTACATGCACATATATACTATATAAAAATATAGGTTAGGAGAACTAATCATAAAAGTTATAAAAGAATAATCACTTGAGTTCATGTACCGAGTATATTTTAAAGCACATAATGTTCGGTGTAATGTTTTGTTACTATTTTTTTAAAAAAATTAGAAAAATTACAATATTTTTTCTCCTTTTAAGATTTAGAACCCATTTCAAATTAAGTTACCTTAGTCTCAAATGGCACCTTTATTTAAATGTGGTATGCATTGTGTATGCCCATCGGTACAGGTATATATATAAAAGGTCAGATGCACAGTTTGCACCTTTGCTTTCGTTTAAACATTAACAAATTGGTTGCTGAATGTCAACTGCATGTAAAACAGATTACGAGTTTTTGTAAAATAGAATAAAAAAAACAGAAAAAAAACATTACAATAGAACCATCTTGATATAGTCATCATGAACTAATTAAAAAAAAGAGCGAATGTATAGCAATGTTGAATCAGAATAATTGTATCTTTTTAGAACACAACAGTATATTTTTTTTTTTTTTTTTTTTTTTTTTTTACATTTCAATATCTATGATTTTATTGCTTAAAGGAGGTATAGAAGAAAAGACACATCATTTTTACAAACACACTTAAAGTCTTTTATGCACATAATTGTGGTAGTTTCTCTATCGCACTGAAATTTGGAATTTTACGTGCCACTTTGGTGTTATATCATTTGCTTTGGAGTTTATTTTGTCTCTCTTTAAAAAAAAAAAAAAAAAAAAAAAAAGTGTATAATATGCTTCTTTGCATATTTATATTTAGTTATTTATGCATATTTAAAAACATATAGTTGTGCTAATTTGCCTGAACTTTTAGTATTTTAAATTTTAGGGACATATCAACACTTAGTTTCTCTACATGAAGAAATATACTCATTTCATTTGTTACAAATTCAAATTGAATTAATATAATCGATCTGATTAAATTAATGGATCATTGCATGTGCTACATTTAGGAGTGCTTTAGAAGGCAGTACTGATATAAAAGCTGGGAAGTTATATTTAGGGCCATAAACGAATTTCACATCAGTATATTCAAATGTTTCTATAAAGGGCTCAGTAATGCAGCCCATGCTTATAAATAGAGTTAGCAATTTTAAAAGTTTTAGCAATTTTAGAAGTTTTAGCAATTTTAGAAGTTTTAGCAATTTTAGAAGTGTTAGGAATATTTAGAAGTGTTAGGAATATTTAGAAGTGTTAGGAATATTTAGAAGTGTCAGCGCTATTCAGAGAGTCCCCTGCAGGGTAAGAACTTGCCGAATCAGCAACATCACAATGGGAACCTTTTTTCTGTTATTAAAACTTATATATCCTTTTTTATATTATAAGAAAATTTGTTTAATATACAAAATGATACTCATTTTATAGCTAAGAAAAGGTATTTGTATAAATGTGTCTACCGTATGTTCAATGAAAAAACGTCTCTTTACATTTCGTTAAAGGGTACAAGAATAATTTCAAAAGGGAAAAAAACATGTTTTTGCAGTAATTCAAGAATGGGAGTTAGATGTGAAATTTATTAAAACTGATAGATTAGGAAACATGCTTGAATTGAATGATTTACTTACTATAAAGATTAGAATGAATGTTTTCCTGAATTTAGACAGGGGAATTTTTTTTTTTTTTTTTTTTTTTTCTGAATGAAACAACTACATGGATGTAAATACAAATGCATGTAACAACGTGAATATATATATCCCTTCATTTATTTTGTGGGTTGTGTCTAATTTTCTACTGCACCAATTTTTAAATTAATTCGACGCAAAATTTTACTCATTGTGAATACGCTTAGTGAACAAAAACAAAAAGACAAATAAAGATTAAAATATTTTGAAATGAAAAAACGGTTGTCTATCAATAAGTAATAACCCCTCATAACCTCTTTTTCTTATTTTTAATAAAAAAAGTTGACTTGGGGAAAACATTTTACTTATATAATATGTGCGCATAATTTCCCTTTGAAGTTTTAAAAATAAACTAAAAATTGTAAATCATAAAATGGAACACCATTTCTATAATTTTAGAAAACATTTTTACCTGAGATTTCTTCTCCCCAAAGCATAACCCTCTTCTTTTCCTATCTCTCCTCCTATTCTCTCTCTCAATCTCTGTCCTATGAACATGATTTGATATCAAATTATTCATTTACTGAATGAAATAAAAAATAGAAAATTCATTTATTTTTATTAAATTAAGATTAGTTATGTTATCGCTGTGTTTTACGTTGGAATAATATATATGGACCAAACTTAATTAATGTATTTGCAAAAGTTTTTATAATTTTTTTTTTTTTTTTAAACCATATTTCTTGCTACAAAAATATTTTTGGTATACAAATCTTTTTATGCGTGCATGAATTTTATTTTAGAACTTTAACTTCTTTTACTTCAACCTAAAAGTTTACCAATTAATGATTTGATGAATTATACATATATTTAAAATGTGACATATTTGTAACAAAAAAAAAAAAAAAAATAAAATAAAATATAAAAAGTTATAAACCATTATTCATATTAACTGAAAGGGAACCAATTTCTACTAATGCGTGGGTTACGTATATAAAACTTGAGTTTATTCATTTTCCTTTTTTCTATAAAATTATATGTTTATATAATGAAATATTTAAACAGATACAGCAGCACAATAAAATTATCTTTGTTTATTATTTTCACCGCATTTTCTATAAGACATGCAAATTTTTATAAATATATACTAATCAAAATTTGCTCCAATTTTTAAATTTGTAAAAAACATAATTATATAATAGATAAAAAAATAACATTGTATGAATATATATGCAGCAGACCATTATGTAAAAATAGTTTTATTACATAAATAAATAACCTTCTAATTTTCTAATGAAGTCTTTATTTTTAACTTAAATTTTTTTTTTTTTTTAATTAAAAAAAAAAAAATAAAACAAATTAACTAATTTAGGAAAAAATATGTAATTTGGTAAAGTAATATATATGCTTCAACCGCCCGCTCCACCCCTCTTCGTATTTCCTAAATTATTTATTATTTTATATTTTGAAAAAAAAAAATTAGATGAAAAATTGGGGGAACGCCATTTTTTTTTTTCTTTTTTTTTTTTAGCACTTTTTATATAAAAAAGTTTTAATGAACAAATTTGTATATATGAACTATATAAACATGTTAAAAAAAAACTATATAATTTTTTAAAAATATAACTTTTTAAATGGCAATATATTTTTTCCACAAATAAAGGAGGAAAGTATATTTTTTTACGTATAAAAAGAAAAAAAAAAATTTAAATAACATTCTAATAATTTATATATACGTAGCATATAAAATTTTTCATTTATTTTCATTACGTTTTTATGTATAAAATATATATATATATATATATATATATATATATATATATATATATATATATATATATATAATATTATTTATATATATTGTTTTTTCCAAATGATTACATGCCCTAAATATATTTATAAATTTTTTCCTAACCTGCAAAAATATTATTTATTATTCCCAAAATTGTTGCTTTAAAAATTATCCTAAAATTTTTAGTTTATTTCTAGATATATATTTGAAACATCTAAAATTTGTTATAAAACAAGAAAAAGTTACATTCTTATTTCGAGTGTTTAACATAGTTTATGAATCTATCGAAAAATCAAATAAATAGATACGTACATACAGCAACCGAACCTATATATGTATATATATATACATACAAGTGTCCTTGGTTGATAATAGTATCACTCAGACCTTTAGAAAACTGAACTAAGTTTTATTCACATATATAATATATTAACATCCTGAAAAAATGAATATGTTAAATTGTTTAGCCAGGATTTCCTTATTTACCCTCTTCATCGTAATAAACTAATATAATTTAATATATATCATTGTTGTATATATATATATATATATATATATATATGTATATATATACATATATATTGTGCTTACATGCTGCTATGTTTGCTTTTATATGTATGATATATTAAAATTATGAATGAATGATTTCCTATTTTTTATCTAATTTTTGCTTGTTTTTACATACTTATTATATACATATAAATATTTCTCTAATAAATACGTACCCGTAAGAGAAAAATAAGAATTTACATTTTTCATCCCTTTTTTTTTTTTTTTCTTTTTTTTACCTAAATGTACCCCATTTAGTACAACTCATATAACTTCTCAATGAACGAAAATGGTTTAGGAAAAGTATTAGATGCAAGACACATTAGATCCCTCTCAGAAATGAATGCAAATTCCATGAGAGCTGATTATACTTCTAATCATCAACAAAATCAATATGTAAGTGGAGATAGCTTAAATGAACAAAGAGATGCAAGTAGAGAAAGTTATACTGCACAAAGTGGTGCTTGGAGTAATACATATCAACAAAATGGTTCTGAATCACCAATGTACGAAAGAGTATATAGAAATACTGAAGCCCCCGATTATTATAATAACAACGTTAGATACTTAGCACAAGGAGATAACTTCAATAAAGAATTATTTGAAAAATTAAAGACTAATGCTGTATTTATCATCCCAGCTTTACTTTTTGGATTCTATGTTTTAAGAAATACTGGAATGCAAACTTTACTAATGATGGGTGCTATTGGTGGTATTTTAATGTATACTCACCATTACGTTAAATAAGTTGGATAATACAATTTAATGAGCAAAAAAAAAAAAAAAAAAAAAAAAAAAAAAAGAAATCGTAGATATCATGTTTTTAATTAAAAGGGATCCATTGATTTTTGATACGCTATACAGTATCTTCTTAATAATTATATAGTGACGTATATATATGTACATATACATGCACTTTTTTTTTTTTTTTTCATTACATTTTTTTTTTTTTCTTTTCTTTATAAATGCACATGTTTTGTTTTAATTTACATAAGTTATTTAGAGGCCTCTTGTTTTCATTTGTATACATAGAAAAAAAGAAGTTATCAAATAAACCGAAGTAAAATGTGTATATTTCCCAATAATACATTGTTCCTAGTTGCTTTTATTTTTGTTTTATTACCGTATTATTTATTTTATTATTATTATTTATAGACGCTACATGTAGAAATAATTTATCTGTGTAAGATTTTTAACATTTAATTTTGTTTGTATGGAAAAATATATAAACAAGAACACACATTTATGCATTTATTTATATGTATTTACATACATACAATTATGTTCGTTAGAAATAACAGTAACATAGAAAAATTATGTAGCAGTAGAAAAATTCCAGCAGTGCCGTATGTATATATATATACACATGTGAAAAATAACGTACATATTACAATTTTTACATAAAAAAATAAGATTTTTTTAATTGATGTATTTAAAATATTTTTTTTAAAATTATTTCTTTTAAATTATGTTTTAACTCTGTGTATTAATAATGAAAGGGCAAAAATAAAGAAAAAGAAAATCACAATAAAAAAACAAAACAAACAAACAAATAAATAATAAATAAATAAATAAAGCAGTATAAGGACCCATTTTTGTTTAGGAATATGTAAAATATTTATCTGTATAAGAATTTAATTGAAGGAATGTTTTTTTTTCATTAAAAACATTAAGGGGAATACGAAGAAAATATGAAATTGTTATGTATGACCTGAACAAAGTTTTACACGTTGAGGGCAGAACGATGAATTTCTAGGAAATGAAACAAGGAGGAGTGATATATTATATATGTATATATATATATTTTATAAAAAGGAATAATTCAGGACTATTTACAGAAAATTTGATATTTAATTAGAATGTGTTTGTTTTGTTCAAAATGGAGGAAGACAGGTTGACGATTTGATGGATAGGTTTTTTTTTTTTTTCCTTTATAGAGTAACATTTACGTGGAAACTCAAAAGAAGAATAAAATATGAGAAGGCGAGGGAAAAAAGAAGGGGGTAAGAATTATCACAAAGTTATTTATATTAATTTTTTTCTTTTTGTAATTTGACTAATGAGATATTTCATGATAATAAGTTTCAATAACGATATTAATAAAACCATGAAACTATTAATGTTAATAGTGATGAAAAATGGTATACTAATATTATAAGGAGCTGTGTATTGGAAACTAATGGTCTCTATTAATTGGGTAAATTGTTTACATTGTTTTTTACATACTTCTTAAAAAATTAGAGACATTAAAATTGTTGGAATAGGTATAATTTGGATTGTTGAATCAATAATAGTGCTTAATACATGCGAATTTCTTTTAAATTTACTATTCAAATAGGTTTTAATGTGATGGACACACTCAAAAAAAAAAAAAAAAAAAAAAAAAAGGCTAGATTTAATCTATGCAGAAGAGTGAATGGTTGGAAATGCATATAAATATATGTTGAAATATTACAAAAAAATAAGTATTTCTAAAAGTGGTAAACAAACATGAGGAAGAATAAAATAAATAACGAGCCCGAAAAGCATTATTTCGAAGTAATGTTTTAGAACTTCCTATAGTTTCTAGTGCTGTCTCAACTTAAGAATTAAGAAGCATAAAGAATATATATAAAATACAAAGAGGTACAATAAAATGATAGAAATTATTTTGAACTCTTTAATTTTACATTCTATATTTATCATGAATACATCAGTTGAAGTTATTTTTATAAATTTTTGTATGTATATTGATGGGGATGGGTGATTGCATTAATTGCCAATTTATATGCAATCGATTTAGGAGTAGTCCGTGGTGGGACAGACGGTGCAGAAGAATTTTTTTTCCCTTTTTTTTTTTTTGGGAATTAAAATTAATACTTTCTTTTCTGAATTTTTTTTTAGTAATGCATTTTATCGTGGGCTAAAAAATACAGCAATGGTCCCCCCCCCCCCCCTCTTGCAAATAAAAAAGGTGATTTATAGAAACAACCTGATAGCTATTTTTTTTTGTTTTTTTTTTTTTTTTGCTTCTCAACATACGGTTTTGAGATACACTTAAAATTTGTATGAAAGAAAACTATTTCTTAACAATTATTAACATACCCTACATATGAAAGAATTGTCAAGTGGGTTTTTATTGCGCCATTCAAAAGATAAATAATACAAGAAATGGGCTTTTCTTTTTAATTTTTATAAAAATGGATACAACTACTTTTTTTCTTATTATTGCATATTATTTTTCAAAGTATAATATAACGTTTTCTATTTTTTACAGATATCTTTTTGTTCTGATTTTTTTTTTTTTTTTTTTTTTTTTTTTTCTTGTGGTTGTCCTTTTGTAATAGCAGAAGTCTCGTGGACAATTATTAATTCTTATGAAAACGGTTGAAATAAATATATAAACAAAAACATCAGAAGCTTTCTAAATACAGCATATGTTTTTCTTCACTTAAAAGTATGCGATAAGCATGCTTTATTCTATGGTAAAAATACAAACACACATCTAATTGCATGCAAAATAAACATAAAATGCAGATTAAACAAAAAAAAGAAAGAAAATAAGGAGCTAGCTTATTCTATCCATCCATACATTGTTTATTTTTTGTTTTTTAATATTTTTTAAGATTATATTTAACGTCTTACCTGTTATATTTTTAATTCAAATTTAATATATTATTAGCGTATTTTAAAAAAAAAAAAAAAAAAATTCAAATGCACCATTTATTTTTTGCAGAAAGAAAAAAAAAAAAAGAAAAAATCACTAGAAAGAAAAATTAGGTTTGTATTATATAAAAAAATTTTTTAGCGTGAATATTTGAAATTTTTTTTTTTTTTTTTATGTTTTTTTTTTAATACATTTTTATTTTAATTATATTATTTTTTTAGAATTGAAAAATTTTCAATTACTATTTATTTTTAATTTTATTTATAAACATTTAATATAACCTTATTATTAAAACTCTTTCTATTTTTCTTTGATTTCGAAGAGAGGGATAAAGAAAACCTTTTTTTTAAAACAAAACTTGAAATAAAGAAGTCCAAAATTTTTTCTACTATATTTTTCTTAAAAAAATATAAGCCCTCAAGGCTAAAAATTTTTACTGGAAACACCAAAATTGCTAATTTTAGAAAATTACAAAAAGATGGCAAAGAAAACAAGAGGCATTTCTGTACTTACGAAATTGGCCATATTTTCTGTTTTCGTTGGAACCTTAAATACTTTTAATTTTGTAAGAAAATAAAAAATCCTAAAACAATGCTGAGAGAGGAGGGAGGGGGGGGGGGGAATATTTGTTTTAATTGTGTGGATGAGAGGATGATATGGGGTGAAGTAGTGTATCATGTATATGTAGAATTCTTTTTGTTTTATTCTAACTCATGTAGTGTGCTAGATGTGTGTTATTTACAAAATACAATGGTCTTATAAAGTGCTGTACTGTTTACATAATTGAACCACGTATACATAGATTAACATAATATATGTATACATATATATATGTACATGTCTTTTTTCTCTAATGGTTTTATCTCCCTTTTAGAATACGAACGATGGATGCTTAAGTAATCAACTTAACATTGAAACTATTCAAACTGTACAATCCAACAGATGTTTAGCAGAAAAAAGCGGATTATTAAGCAAAAAATCAAGCAAAAAAGGAGGAAAGTGCAAGAAGAAAAGTTGCGATATGGAAAATCTCCCAGTAGAGAGTGGAGAATCTAGTGGACAAAATTTAGAAGTTAAGGAAGAAGACATGGAACAATTAGGAAACTTATTTCAAGAATTATCAGAAAAGTTAAATGTTGGTGAACATTTAAAGCAGTATGAAGGACAAATGGAAGAGTTTGCAAAAAAATTTGAAGAAGGTAATGAAGAAAGTTTGGATATGGACTTTTGTAAGGATTTATTTGGAAATTTAGCTGATTCATTGATAGAATCATATGCTAAAGGTATGAGTGATGAAAAAAAAACGAAAATGAAAAAGAATGCCCAAAAAGCTACCAACAAATTACTTAAATACTGTCTAAAAGAACAAAAAAAACGCCATAATTCTGATAAAAAATAAGCGATTTTCGTTTTATATATCCACGCCCCCATATCGTATATGCAAAAATGTACTTTTTTAAGTGTGATTAACGAGACATGGATGATGAGAAGAAGAAAAAAAATAGAAAATGCTTTGAACAACACATGGTTATTGGGCACTGAGCATTTTTGAACATCCGTAACAAAATTATATTAAATATGTGCAAACAGTGATATATACAATGATTTACATAATTATAATTTTCAAGATGTTGTGCATAAAGCAATGTTCGTTTCTCCTTTTTTTTTAATACCTATTTGTACACATGAAATAATCATAATGGCATTAATAGAGGCAGTTGGCAAAAATATATACATATATGTGTATATATAACAAAATATATGACATAATAATTTAAATATATATATCATTCCTAAGAAAGCACAAAAATGTCTGAAGCACAGAGTAAACATTAGACGAAAAGATATATTGCATTGCTATTAATAAATACCCATAACATTATGGAACACAGTAGAATTACCCAGTTTTAAAATAAATATATGTTATGTATTATATATAATTTAAATATATTTATTTTAAGTGTGGTGCAGAGTATATATTTCTACACTATATTTTCTTTTGAAATGGAAGAAGTGTGGAATTGCAGATAAATAAAGGTTTTTTTTAGCTTTTAAGAAAAATATTTGCACATCATTCTTTTTAATTTGTTATATAAATAAAATTATAATACGTTTACTTGTTGAGCTTTTTTTTTTTTTTTTTTTTTGCTTATATATTGAGTTTTTTTTTTTTTTTTTTTTATATGTATATATTTTTCATTACATTTGTAGTTTGGACATGATTGTCAACATTTTCAACTTAGAAAAAAAAAAATTTTTTTTTTTTTGTATTGTATATACATGTTTTTTTCAAATTGGTAAATTCGCATTTATGTTATTTTATTCGTGTTTATTTAATTAATATTACTGTCCATACACATATATATAACCTCCTGTGCACTGATGATAAACCCCCAAAACACATGTTTTTGTACGTACAAAAAACTGTTGTGTATATATAACATGTAAAGTGTGTATAAATCCTTGCACCTTATATGTGTTAATGATTTTAGTTCCCATATATTTTTACAATGTTTTATATGGCCACTATGAACTGATGAATTAATTCGTTCTTTTGATTTAAATAACAAATAATTAAAGAAAATCAACATTTCTTTTTTTAACTGTGTTTTTTTCGTCTCCTTTTTTCGCCGATATAAAAATTTGAATATCGATCGATTTTTATGATCCTTTGTGTAAAAGAAATTTAAAGATAAACGTCTTTCTCATTTATTAAAGGGATAAAAAATTAGAAATTCTCTCTATATTACTTTTGTAGTGTTATTATTTATTTTTCTTTGAGCATATTCTTTTATTAAATATATTTTCTTAAAAGTTCAAGACGGCGAAAAGAGAAAAGGAGGTTTAGAGAAGAAAGGAATCTCCACAGATATTTGAATTGCATGGGGATGGGGATGAAATATTTTCCACCATTTATTAAAATATGAGACATACAGAAATGTAAAATTACGCTGTGTTAATTTTCTTAACAGGTTAAAAATGGTACTTAAGTTAGGGTAATAGCTTAACGTTAAAAGTGAGGAAGAATTAAATACATTTTTTATGAGTCCATGATTTAATGGTCCCAAATTTGCATGTAAAAAAGCATAATAATTATCTACTCCCTCTTTCAGTCGGCATGTATATCTTTCTATGCACATTTCACATTCCCATATTTAACCTTTTCACTGAGCATAAAAATTGTAGAATTAATTATTCAGACATATGTAAAAACTTAAGTATCCACCCCAAGTGGTCCTGTTTTAAGAATGAAATGTATTTTATTTTATTCTTTTTTTTCATTTTACGTGTGTAGCTAATCAAATTTTATATAAAAATATTGACAGGATCTCCTACCCTATATAATTTTTTTTTAGATATTGGACAACTTCATTGTGTCTACTCTTCAGAATCAATAAAATAACACTTTATTAAAAATTTTTAACTTTAGATCGAGTCTTCTTAAAATTATTAGAGGCATTTAATTTATTTATTTATTTTACCATTAAACAAATATGCAGTAATACATTGAGTAAGCAAGAAGGCATATTACAATAAAGAGGGGCTGTCACGGGGATAGTGCATACAAGTGCATGTACAACTACACAGATATTTATTCAATCATTAAATTTGTTAGACATCTTTTCGTAAATGGACTAGATAAAGTCTGAATTTTTTTCTTCCAGTTTTATGCGTATAACAAGTGTCTACACAAATTAGGTTAAAACCCCTACGTAGTATCTAATATGTTCATTTTTGTAATTATATAATTTGCAAAGTGACAAAAGGGGGGAAGGGTAAAAAAAAAAAAAAAAAAAAAAGTTCTTGATAAAACCTAATATTCAATTGTGAAATTCCCGTTTAAATGAATATTAATAATATGTCCCTTTCCCTTTGAGCAGAAAAACAGAATAACGAAAAAATACTAATAATATGAGGGAAAATTATTTGAACCTACCAAAAATATCTCTGAAATGTACGTGCACCAAATGTAAAATGGTTCAAAAATATTGTAAACCACATAATTCCTTTGAATACGTATTTACTTTAAGGAGTAATATTAATGTGGAGCCCATTTCCTCATTCACTTTCCACACTAAAAACAATTCGTTATTTTAGAATGTTTATGATATTCCTCAAAGGTAGAAACACATGTGGGGGATTAGGAGGACATATCTGTAAGATCATCCGTGTGAACAAATTATATATATTTTTGCTGAATAATGTGGATATTATGAATGTTATAAAATATGTTTTGTATTACTGTTGTAAGGAATGATAAAAAGTATTACAAAAATTTTTTTTTTTTTTTAACTGCAATTTGTTCACATTGTGCATTGTGTTATACTAGGTTGGACTGTGTTTTTTGCTGAAAATTTTTTTTTTTTTTTTCAAAAATCACGAGTTATATATTTATAATTTGTTCCCTACGTGTTTTCTATGATAAAGAAGATCAATGCATTATCTCATTGGACTATATATCATTCTAAATTTATATGTATAATTCTAAATATGTAAAAATAAATAAATACATAAATTATGAAAAAATAATAAATTATAAACTTATAAATCAAAGTATAATAAATAATAATAACTTATAATATATATTAAAAAGCATAAATCTTCGTGGATTTCTTACAAAAGGGTAAAGAAGTCATAATACTAGATACAAGCATAAATGTATTATACACATGGGAAATCATTTTTTAAAACATGCACTTGCCGATAAAATTATACAAAATTAATAATATATATATATAGTCTCCATTGTAAAGGATCTTTTAATTTTAAAGGATATATATATATATAATCATAATGTAATTTTTCTTCTTTTTTTTTCTTTTCTTTTTTTCTGCTTTCTTCTTTTTACTTGCACGAATGAAAAAAAAAAATAAAATAAAATAAAAAAAAAACTTCAAAATGATTGTGATTCTTATATATATATATATATATATATATATATATAATAATTGCATATTTGCATGTATATTTATATGCACATTTCTGGTATAATATATTATTAAAATCTAGGAACACTTGACCTTCTTAATATAATATATTTTATTCAAATTAAAGATTTCTTGAAATATATATATAAATTTTTTTAATTTTTTAATTTTTTAATTTTTTTTTTTAATCAAAGTAATATTCTACAGATTTCATGTCGTTAAAGGAACCATAATTTGATACCATTCTACGGCACTTTCTGCTTTTACGCGATACATATAATACGGATAAAAGTAAAAGTATTACAGATGTTATCATACCTACATTTGATGTCATTAGTAGGGATATGATTATGAAGACAATGTTTACTATAACTGGAGATGCAACAGCGAAAAGTTTGCTATATTTTTTTCTAGAAACTGGTCCACCACAGATGTGATCCTTATGTTCTGTAGACATCAATTTGATTAGTTCGGTTTCGTACAAAGCATCAGATTTTTTGAAAAATTTCATTAAATAGGATATTAAATCTCTATCTTTTTTTCTTTCATATGACATGTTTAAAATGTCTGATTTTCCTTTTGCAGATTTTTTTGTTTTTGCAGTTATAATTGATTGGTCATCATAATCGGAATCTTTATAGTATGAATGGGATTTCTCATCATCATAATAATCATCGTCACGATATGAAGATTTACGTGATGATTGCTTGTCGTCGTCATTGTTTGCAGATTCATCTGCAGTTTCATTACCATTATATTTGGTGGATGCTAAGGAATTTTTAGATTCATCTATATCTTCATATTTTCGTGTGCTTCTTGATCTTGTGGATTTACTTGAATAATTACTATTTTCAGATAAGCTTTCCGAACTTTTGTTATATAAGAATTCTTTGGATCCTTTTTTCCCTTTCTTATTATCATGAGATTTGCGTGCGTTAGATTTTTTTCCATTTTTCTTGCTACTCATTAAGGATTTAAACTCACTTTTGAAGTCATCATCTTCTATCAATAATTTTAATCTCCTTTCAAAATGACTATCATCATCTTCATTTACTATATCCATTAATCTTCCATGTATGGAATTATTCTTGCTTTGTACGTCCACATCTCCACCTGCTCTTAATATTCTGCCAGTTCTGGCATCTATAGCATAGTTTGTTGTAAACTCGTTATCGAATGATTGGCCACAAGTTGTCACCTGAGTAGTGTTATGAATAAGTGTTAGAAGTGTGAACATTAGCTATAGAGAAATTATGAAAATATATACAATGGACGTGTACACAAGCTAGGGGCCATATATGCTTGGTAGGTATACATGCATAAGTGTGTGCATACATATAGGGTAGGAACATGTATATAAATGCATAAAAAATATATATAACGACATTATTTTATACTTGAATGTAATATATTTTTCATGGAATAAAAAAAGTGAAATCGCAAAAACTACATTTAGGCCATTAGATGTATATATATAAAATATTTTTTTGTTTACTCCATTGGAATAATACTGCCACGTCCATATTAGCGCATTATATGTAAAAATTTTAAAAAGAAAAAATTTATTGCTTTGTTCCTTCATCTTGTGACATTTCTTCAATTTCCTAAAATCTTGTGTATCAAAATTTTTTTTTTATGTATATGAATAATTATGAAGTAATTCAACTAATATGCATGTATTTATATATTATACATATAATGTGGTATATTCGTTTATAGCTTCATTTATTTATTTTTCTTTATACAATGTTTCTTAAAACTTTTTAAAAGTATTTTTTTTTTTTTTTTTTATTATTATATATTACCAAACTTTTTTTTTATGGGCTGAAATAAACTTTTATTAAAATTATTAAAATGGGTACTATGTATGTAAATTAGGGAAAAATTAAATAAATAACTAAAATATTTTCGTTAGCAAATTTCCTAAAAGAATATTATATTAAATGATATATTATTATAATGTTTCATGTAAATTACTAAGAAATAAATGAAAATTAGGAAAAAAAATGCTTCTTAATAACTAATATGTAGCGTGAAATAATTATTTTTCTAAAAAATGCAAAATTTTTAGTTGTGATTTTTATATGCGTTATTTGTGGAAATAGTAAATTATTAAAATATAATTTACATTCTTTTAAAAAGTACATATAAAATGAATGACATTTTTATATGGAATAAAAACATGTATATTAATTTTTTTATTACATTAATTATAGGGGAAATAAGTAATTCAATGGATATAACATATATATACTTTTTTTTTACTTAATGAAATTATTTTATTTTTATTTTTAGAATTAGAAAAATTGTAATAAAATGAATGATTTTAAAAAAAAATTTCATATTATTTTTAGAAAAACATTTTTGGTGAAAAAAAAAAAAAATGTAATAAAAGAATAGTAATGAAAAGAAAAAAAATCTAAATAAAGGGGTGTAAATAAAAAATAACAAAATAATTATGTGTATATATTTATATCATTACATTTACTTATAAAACTTGTGATTTCGATTATATTAAAATTAAATTTTTTTTTTTTTTCTGTATTTCAAGCTGAAAATAAAAGAACAATTGATATAAAATAAAAGAAAAAAATTATATATATAAATGATCCTAATTTTTTTTTCTATGTCAATGATATACGTATATTTAATAACGTTATATTTATGTAATATAAAAATAAATATCATTTACAATTTTTTTTCTTAATATTGACGATGGAAAAGCCCAATGCATATTCAATCCAAGGGAGTTGTGCGAAAGAATCATAAAATAATTTACGTATGACACAGGCCAAAAAATAAAGATAATAAAATAAAAAGGACTTTCCAATGAAACAATAAACATATATATTATACACATATATATTTTTTTTTAAAAGGAATTAAATGAAATTCTATGCACATTTTATTTTATGTATACTCTTGATTTATTCTATAAAAAAAAAAAAACAATAAACAGAAGAAAATATATTATAAAATTATATAATGTAATATAGTAAAAGGGATAAAAAAAAAAAAACAATTAAAATTATAATAATAGTAGAACAAAGAAAGCAATTATTGTGTCACACTAGATATGAATAGGTGGAACACATTATTAATTAGTTATAATTTTTCAATAGAAAAAAATAAAAAAGCAATAAAAATCTACACTTATTAACAGGGATTAAAAATTCTCCAATAATGATACATAGAAAAAAAATATTTGACACATTATACGACAAGAATGATAATTTGTAATGTAATGTAATTCTTTGAAAATTATTGTGCATACATATGGCTATTAAAATATTAATTTTTTTTTAGTTATAATACACGCTGCTCTTGTCGTTGGAAAGTATTACACAGGTGTGTTATACACACATAATAACACTTTAAGATGAACAACACTGCACTGAAAACATTCCTGTATCTCTGCACGTGGTCCCCATGATAAAGGATTATGTAATATAGAATATTTACAGTGATAGTTTTTAGTATGTGCTACATGTGTAATAGTGAATATATATATAAGATACAGATTAATATACACAATTAGAGGTATTTCTGACAACGAATGTTATTACTCCGCATAAACCGAATTTGTTATTTTAATGTTGGAGTATCGTGCTAGTATTATTTAAAAAACAAAAAAAATTGAATGCCTATATGTATACACACATACATATATATATATAATTTTGAATATTCAAGCTTTGAATAACTTTTACCTTTGGGTATATGGAAAATTAACATCTTATATTTTATATATGTGTTTTCTAGTTCATAAAATGTTATGAAGTATTGTACTAGATTTTTTCTTGAATATTTCGGGTAATTCATAAACTTTTTCCATAATTTTAGAATAATTACATATAAATTGGTGTGTGGAACCTTTCAAAATGCGCTATTATGTAACATTTTTTATTAAAATTTCAGTTTTCCCTATTATAAATATTAGAGCTACTATGTTTTTAATAACAAATACTTTTCATTTTATCTTTTCATTATATTTGATGGTTCTAGGTTAATACCTTTTTAAATTTCTTAATGTATTTTCACTGAAACTATATAATGTTTTAATATGTATATGTGTAACAATTTGAGGGATGCAGATTAAGTTAAATAAACACAAGTACATCTCAGAACCCCATAAAAAGTATAAATGGGAGGAACACGTAATATTATTTTAAACTCAAAAGAAGTTAACTAGATTTCTTAGGTTCTATTGTGGATCAGAAGAATATCCCTTTATATATAATTATTTTTCGCAGATCCGTAATAACAAAAAAAGGATAATATGTACACAAAAAATAAAAAAAAATAAAAGCATATGTTAATGTACTAAAGAGTAACCAAATTTTTCAATTTTTTTCATTTATATTTTAGTATTTTTTCAAAAAAAAAATATAATATTATAAACAATTCTTTATTTATTTTATTTGTATCTTAGTAATATATAGCATAAATGTAAATATTAATTTTGTTCTTCTAGTTACGAGTATATGAAATATTATTAAAAATGCCATTTTTATTATAAGATTTGTCTTTCATTCTTGTGCAAATATCACTTCATAATGATTCATTTTTTGTAATAACTGTTTCATATTTTATTTACGGAAGACACACGTTTGAGGGGATCACAGATATTATTTGATTAGTTAAAATTGTGCTCCTCAGAAAAAACGTCAATATAGTTATTATAAAATAGCACTTGCTTCTACAAGTGCTCAGTCCAAGTCTGCCATGTGTTTTTTTTTATTCAATATATATTAAGACACAGCTAATTAATGTTAAAAGAAAAAAAAAAAAAAAAAAAAAAAAAAAAACTATATTATTTTGGATGTATACATATGTACATATTTATAGCCTTATATTTGAATTATTCTAAATGCATTTCATAATTTTTAAGTGCATAAATGTGAAGTATAGGAAAAATGTATTATAAAGTGCTCTCAAATCATAATATAGACATCAAATATGACGGGTTTTAAATGCCTGCTATACATTAATCATGGAAGATTATAAAAATTGTTATATATATTTAGAGACTCAAAATAGTGGTGATATTTTCGTCTCTACACAAGAATCTAAAATAGATAGAAGCATGTAACTAGACCTATCTTGGTGAGTTACAGGAAAAGCTGAAAGAAAACATATATCTTGAATATTATTAATGATATACACGATTTAATTGTATTCAAGCAAATGCACGTTCTTAGTACTGATAACATTGTTGTTAATGCTGAATAAGGTTTAAAGGTTGTTGAAAAATGGAGCTTAATGATATGAAATTTTTTTTAAGAGCACTAAATTAAATTCATGCTTATGCTTAATGAATTCTTATAAACAAGGAGTAAGAATATGCCTTTGAAATAAACCAAATTGTAGTTTATTAATATAATTTGTTACATTTCAATGCAATTTTCACTTACTAATTATAAAAGATATTTTCCGAATTATAAGAAAATTGAAAAGGTATATGGATAAAGGGATTAATAATTTTATATATAACATATCAACATCTATTGCTGTGCATGAACCTTTTCTTTTATAACATATTAGAAGTGAATATTAAATGGAGGTGACCTTGACATGTGTAGTAATGACAAAGATCTGTTGTAAAAGCACTGAGAACACATAATAATGACAAAAATATAATAATGTGTAAAGTAAGAAAAAAAATGTTCTCAATTTTATTATTAACTAGTAAAAGTCAGATCTTACTTTCAGTTTAAACTGGTAAAGCAACGATGTATAATTATGCACTTTAGTTGTGAATTTAATTTATAGAAAATAATGGAATTTAGAGGAATTTCAGTGATCTGAAGCGACAGAAAATTCTGAAACAAGTTCTTGTTTATGTTTCGCATACATATATAAAGATACACATGAATAAGTGGACGTAACGCATGTACATACACATATGATGAAGAAATAAAAAAAAAAAAAAAAAAAATGACAAATATTAGATGAAAAAAAATTTTACTGGTACTATGGAGTTTTTTTTTTAAATTTAGTTAAGTTTCTATTATACAGTATGTCCACAATAAATAATTCTGCTTTAAGAAAATTAATTTGTTTATTTTTCTTGAATAAGCAGAAAAAACAAAATTCTTTATCTATTCATTATTCAATCTTTTGTAATTTTTTAAGTATAACTTTTTATTAGCTTTTCATTTTGTTTAAACATATATTTTTTTAGCCTTTGATACTTATTCTAATATTTATATTTTCATTACGATTTATATTATAATTGTAGAGCATTGTAAAAATACTTGTTTTGAACTGCTCGAATATTTAAAAGAATATAGGATAACTCTATTAAATACTTCAACTCGATTTAGGAGCTCTTTTAAAATTATATTAAGCCACTTAGTGCGCTGGAGTGTAAAAGAATAGACAAATAGTGAGCATTTTTTAAAAATATTCATGGAGTGTCTGGGAAAAAGTACTTATAAAATTATTAGCCCTTTGAAATGAGGCATATAATTCGCAAACATAAATGAGCACTTAAAAATAACTTAAATTTGGAATATTCCTTAACAAAAATATAAGATTTTTCTATTTTCTGTTACTCGTAGGGCATTGTACAAATGGGTA